CGCCGAGTGCCTCTCCGGGAAGCGGAAACCTCCGAGTTCTAGAAGCATGTGCGCCACTACTTTCTGGGGCACCTGCGTTTCAGAAATAGCATCAGACGTCGCGCTGGCCGTGGGCAGGGTGGACTTTCGGAAGGAAGGCACCGGGAAGTGGCTCTTCGCCGCTGCCTCTGCGGTTGCAGCTGCCAGGGGCTGGCACAGCCGCAGGGAGCCCGCCGACTGGGAGGGGGTGGGGGGAGGCGGTGGAGAGAGGGCCCAGGGCCTCCCTCCTCCTCCGAGAACGCGCACAGCTCCTCGGGCGGGTCTCGAGGACTTCTGCCGGACCGGCGCGAGTCTACCAGATGCGTCTGAACGCTGCGTGAAGAGTTGCGACAGAACACAGGCCAACGCAGCCTCTCGGGGCGTTCCTGGCTGCGGAGACCCAGCTCTCCCTTCAGACCTGGAAGTGCTGGCGTCTCCGCGTTTTAATGTTTTGGTGGCGTCTTTAGGAACGAAAGCAGTGCTTTCCCGCTTACCCGGAGCGCTGCGCCTTGCTGGTGGGGTTGGTCCTGGGACATTGTGTCATTCGGCCGACCCTGGTGTCCAGACGCAGCCTCAGGGTCGGGTCTGCTCCCCTGTGGGAACCCCGTGTCCCGTCCACCGGACTCCGGTCGTGCTGATGGGGGGCTGTCCTCGAGCCTTGCACGCTGCACATTTAGGGGCTCCCACCCCCCACACACACACGCGCGCATTAACAGACGACCCCAGTGTGTGTTCTGGTGACGTGACCGAGCCCTTGGTCAGCTGCTCTTTCCTCGTCCCACCCACACCGCAGGTGCCGTGCCCACATAGAGGGGGGTGTCCCCAGAGGCAGCTGCATTGCTGACAGCGGCCTGCTTGCCAGGGGGACAGTGGGGTCCATCTATTTTTGACTTTTCTTCTAGGATTTTCATGTCCTCTGTCAGTGCCTGCTGCTGCCCACGGTCATCACCGCTTCCAATTAGCACCGTCCCAGCACCACACCGAGCCTGGCGGCTGCTCGCTGACACCCCGACACTCCGCCCCTCCTCCATGTTTTGCTCACCACTTGTCCTCCCCGGGCACCTTCTGCCCTTCCCGCCCTTCACACCATGACAGACGGGACCCTTGCCGGCTGCTGGCACACTCACTGTCCTCGGTGTGAGGAAGGATTAGTCCCAACCCTCTGGGTGTGACTCTTGTCGCCGTGGCCCGTGTGGGGGGTGGTGTCGCTTGGCCCGCACTCCTGCTGGGTGGGGGGAGCAGTTGGTTAACTCTTCGCCTTTCAACAGAGGATTTCAGGTGACTTCTCTGACAATGTCCATGGTTGCTGAGAGCCAACGAGTTGGCGACTCGGTCCAGAGAGCCACAGAAACTGTTCTCGATAGAACCCAAACGTTCCGACATGTAAGCCAAACGTATGTTTCCACGGCTGCTTTGACTTGCACACGGGTACTCATTCTCCTTGCTCCCTGGACGCAGCGTGGTAAGGCAGAGAGAGCCTGGCACGGGACCGCTGAGTCCCGCCCCCCCGCCCTCTGCCTTTCGGTGACCTGGAGGCAGGTACCGCTCCATCCGAGTCTCTGCATCCGGGGCGTCAGGGTCCGTTCACAGCGTTTTTGAACGTCTGCTGCACGGCGCCCGGCGCTGTCGAGGTGACCCAAGTGTGAAACAAAGTAGGGAGCATGAAGCATTTGTCTCCGGTTGACCTCTGGGGACAGGAGTACCCAAGGAGACAATAAACAGGGAGATGAAATAAGGTTAAGTGCGCGGATTCAGGGCAGACCGGCAGCGTCACTAAGCGCAGGCTGGAGTGGCAGGAGGGGTTTCGGAAAGGCTTGGGGAGACTCCGTGTTCCCGGATGAGCAGAATCTTGCAGGAGTTCTAGCGATGACCTGTGCAACCTTACCCGCAGCTGACGGACCTGTGGTCCTGTGGTGCAGGCGCAGGCTGGACCGGGGGCGGGGGGGTGGGGGGAGACAGGGAGGATGTGAGCGGGGGGGGGGGGGCGCAGAAGCAGAAGTGTGCCCCCAGGGGGAAACACGAGGAGCGTCCAGAGGCAGGTGGAGTGGGTCAAGAAGGCGGGCAGCTCGTGGGAGCGGCCGCACGGCGCTCTTGTCATGCACCTGCAACTGCAGGCCTCTCTCCGGAGCTTCCCGCCTGCTGACCGGGGGAGACAAAACCGAACCACACGTCCGATCCCCGGTTTAAGCTCATTTTAAAAATTTTTTGTGTGTTTTGCTTGCTCAGCAGACACTTACTCTCGTTCAACAGGTGAATGAAGCAATCAATAAATTAAGCAAAAGGCGGGCCCTGCATTTCCTAGCCTGGCCAGCTAGGACAGTGTGTCTGTGCCTTTAGCCTGGGTCTGAGCGACCTTTGCTGGCTGGTTTCTGCCCCCACCCGTCCGTCTCCACAAGGGGACAGAGACCCCCCTGCCGGAGTCCCTTTATGGTCCACGTGCCCTCCCTGGTTCGGGGCACGCCAGAGAGTTGCTACGAGGCCGGTTTCACTGATGTCAGGCAGATATTATAAAGTACATTTTCTCTTTCAAGAAATTCTCTCTCCGATAAAGTCGCTCAGACTCCCAGAAAGCTGGCCTGCCCTGTGTTCTCCTCTGCAGCATCTGGGCTGGGGGGAGGGGAGCCTCTGTGTCCCCTGGAGGGGGACATCTGTACGTGGTGTCCTCTGGCTCTTCTGGTCTCTGGGCAATGTTTGTTGTCTGTTCGGGTGCCGTCTGTCAGCGGAAGCGACTGGATCTGGGCCGACCCGCCTCTGTTAGAGCCCAGCTGTGCTCCCTGGAGCCCGGGGTTTCCGCTCGGCTCCCACGGGCGGCGGAGCGGGGTGCCTGCAGCACGTAGGCTGGGTCGCGCTCCCAGCACAGCAGCCGTCCTAGTCTCGGTGCGGGCTCCCTGGCTCTCCCCGAAGGGTCCACACTGTGCGGGGCTGCTGGTGGCCCGAGAGAGAGCCCTCACCATTCTGCTCCTTGACCAGACTGGGCTGCTGCAGACGTCCGAATGAAATACGCACAGCAAGACCCCCGCCTTCTGTGGCTCCGCAGCCTGTCGGACCCACGTGCTGGCTTTCCCCCTCCCTTCTGCTGGGCCGTAAGCACCGGGGCAGCGCAGCTGCCGTGGGGGAGCGATCTCGTCTGCGTGACGAGGGCACTCTGGGGCCAGGCTCCTTCAGAACTAGTTAGAGAAAGAAGGAATGGAGCAAATCCTCCCTCAAGGCCATTTCCCTCTTCCCAAGTTCTGTGTGCAACATCTCATTTTTCCTGCAAAAAGCTGCCAATCACCTTGATCTTGCTCTTTGCACTTGCCGGGCACGGAGTCCTGAGTCGGCCGGAGCAGATATCTTCCACTCGGAGAGACACAGAGAGAAGCACCTTACCCACTTTTCAGAAAATACCCTTATCGTACGGGCGCGCCCTTGACGGCATAGAACTGAGCTGAGTGGTGTGTTCACGGGCCGCAAACGGCAAGGGAAGAAGCCTGGCGGGGTGTGGGGGAGGGGGTGGGGGGGCAGGCTGCCGGTGCCTCTGGAAGTCAGCCAGCGGGTCCCAGTGTTTGTTTTTCGCTTTAAGAAACACATGGGAGTGCGGGCAGAGTTGAAGAGGAGCGAGGTGCAGGGGATGACGGCTGTGGGGTGTGCGGAGGAATACTGGGGCCGCGGGAGGCCCTGGGAAGAGTCAGAGTCAGAGTCAGAGTCAGCGCTAGACCCGGCCAAACCCCAGCGCTGCGTCTTGCCCGGGGTTACCGGGGGCACCCTCTTGTGAGCACAGTTCTCTTGTGTAGGAAACAGAGGAAACAATTCCTGCTTCAGAGCATCGTTAGGAGAATCCCACACAACAGCCGCATGAGACACACACGCACACCCCAGGTCCTCGGTCAAGGGCGCTTGCCTTCCCTCACGCCCTCTCTGCGGACAGCGGCTACAACGACCCGGCCGTGACCTCGGAAGGCGATGCCAGCAGAGAGGCCGGGAGGGAGGGTCCTAGACCAGACGCTCAGAGTGCAGTGACAGCCAGCGTCCAGACAGTGAGTCACGGATGACCTTCACGTTGCTGAACCTGGATGAGCAGCCTGAGATGCTGGGCGCTGGCCTCAGGGAGAAGGGAGTGACCATGGACAGAGACTTGCACCTTTGGGACCTGAGGCCAAGTGAGAGGACAGGGCCGGGGAAGAGCCTGGGGAACTCAGCTGGACAGATGCTTGTTGAGTATGTGGCCCCCAGGGGACATGGGGCGATGACAGATAAAGCATGACCTGACCGTGCAGGGCCTGGCAGGGGCCGCTTGTGTGAGGAGGTATTTGCTGTAGGAACACTCCGTTTTTAAAAATAATTCAGATAACCATAGAACAGGTTTGAAACACTTGCAGTATAGACAGGACCACTGATTTAAAGTCTACGCGAGGAAAAAGGACTCATGGACGTGGACGACGGTGTGGTGACTGCTGGGGGAGGGGGGTATAAGGGGACTGAATGGTCATGGAAAAATATTAAAAGATTAAATTTTTAAAAGCCCCTGTGAGAAATCATGTAGGAGGGGAAAGATTGTCGGAAGTCGGGGATAGGACTGGGAAGGTAATGGAGCAGTTTTAGATCTAAGCTAAGTTCCTGGATACCGTGGGCCAAGAAAACAAAATTTTTTTAAAGGCCACAGTTACACAGTTTATACTGTTAGATTAAAGGAAGCAAATTTATCTAGAGCGAGGGGCGCGGTGAGTTCCGTCTCTGCCGGGGTCCCAGGCAGGCGCGGGTGTCTGGAAACGGTTTCTGGTCCTGTTCCTCCGCAAAGCCTTTTACTGCGGACCCGCAGGTCGGGTCTGCACGGCTGACGGCGGCTCCCGAGGTTCGGGTTCGGGCAGCCCCGGCGCTGGGGTGCGCCCGAGGGGCGCTGTTAGCCACCCACCGGGTGCTGCGGCCCCCAGCCGGGTCAGCCGCCCGCAGGAAGCCGTTCCCCCTCCTCGCCTACAGCTGGTCTTTCCGTTGCTGCCCGCCAGGTCCATGGACGGGAGCCCATCCCTGAGGCGCAAGACGGTGATGCGGGAGAAGGGCCGGCGCCAGGCCGTGCGCGGCCCGGCCTTCATGTTCAACGACCGCGGCACCAGCCTCACGGCCGAGGAGGAGCGCTTCCTGGACGCGGCCGAGTACGGCAACATCCCCGTGGTGCGCAAGATGCTGGAGGAGTCGCAGACTCTCAACGTCAACTGCGTGGACTACATGGGCCAGAACGCGCTGCAGCTGGCGGTGGGCAACGAGCACCTAGAGGTGACGGAGCTGCTGCTCAAGAAGGAGAACCTGGCGCGCATCGGGGACGCGCTGCTGCTGGCCATCAGTAAGGGCTACGTGCGCATCGTGGAGGCCATCCTGAACCACCCGGGCTTCGCGGCCAGCGGGCGCCTGACGCTCAGCCCCTGCGAGCAGGAGCTGCAGGACGACGACTTCTACGCCTACGATGAGGACGGCACGCGCTTCTCGCCCGACATCACGCCCATCATCCTGGCGGCGCACTGCCAGAAGTACGAGGTGGTGCACATGCTGTTGCTGCGCGGCGCGCGCATCGAGCGCCCGCACGACTACTTCTGCAAGTGCGGGGACTGCACGGAGAAGCAGCGGCATGACTCCTTCAGCCACTCGCGCTCCAGGATCAACGCCTACAGGGGCCTGGCCAGCCCGGCCTACCTGTCCCTGTCCAGCGAGGACCCCGTGCTCACCGCCCTGGAGCTCAGCAACGAGCTGGCCAAGCTGGCCAACATCGAGAAGGAGTTCAAGGTAAGCCGGGCGCCCGCCCTGCTCTGCTCTGCTCCCCAACCAGTGTTGTCCCCGGGGCGGGGGGTGGATTTTATGTCACCGGGGATTGGGAGAGTCCTTCAGAAGGGATGCGATGATTTCTCCTGCTCAGCATGGTGCTGTGAAAAATGCGCTTTTGGGACAGGACGTGCTGGATCCCAGAGCTGTAATTCCGGGGCTGCTCTGTGCTCTGGATAAGTGTTGAGCAGAAGACGAGACTTCTCCGCTTTTGTCTAAAGGAGATACTGGGTGTGCCCGTCTCCCTTCCAAATTCCTCCTCCTCTTGTGTAGTTAGTTGTTTGGTGGGACCCAATGTGCAAGTAGTTATTAGTTCATGGCTCATTGGCCCGGACACTCGTGTATCCCCCCGTTAGAGTGAAAGTCAGAAGGCTAATAATAGAGGTGCTACCAAGGCCCTTTTCACTACTACGACAAAACTGCCTCTCCCGGAAATTCACGGTCGTGGGTTCAGCCGGCCAATGTGACCCCATAGACGTCAGGTCTGCCCAGAAATACAAGGACAGAGGAGTGTTTTGTTTTAGTGGATTAAAAAAAAGTGAACTTTTTTTTCTGGACATCATCTCCAAGCAAGCAGTATTATTTATTTCTTTTTTAAAAAAATATTTTATTGGTTATGCTATTACAGTTGTCCCATTTCCCCCCTTCACTCCCCTCCACCCTGCACACCCCCTCCCACCCACATTCCCCCCTTCAGTTCATGTCCATGTGTCATGAGTTCTTTGAGCTTCTACATTTCCTGTACTAGTCTTGCCCTCCCCCGTGTCCATTTTCTACCCCTACCATCTGTGCTACTTATTCTCTGTACCTTTTCCCCCTCTCTCCTCCTCCCCCTCCCCTGGTGCTAACCCTCCATGTGATCTCCGTTTCTGTGGTTCTGCTCCTGTTCTAGTTGTTTGCTTAGTTTGCTTTTGTTTTTGTTTCAGGTGTGGTTGTTAGTCATTGTAAATTTGCTGTCGTTTCACTGTACATGTTTTTATCTTTTTCTTAGATAAATCCCTTTGACATTTCATATTTCTTAAAACATTGTACATTATGTGAGACGTTGTAAAAATTCAGCTGTTGCATCCTTCTCCGCACGTTGGCAGGCCCCCCACCTCACTCGGCGGCACAGGAGGGTGCGTGAGCTGTGGGGACAGGCGGTCAGGCCGGTTTCCCCAGGACCTCGTCTCCGCTGTCCGCCTCGGAGGAGGGCTGCAGACTTCGGTCCCCTGATCACCATGCTACCAATGGTGCCCAATCACTCTCTGGGCGCCACGCTTCCCTGCTTCTTAGTCCGGTGTCCCGATGCCAGACGCCAGACAGAGGGGTGGGTCACTCTGTCTTCAGATCTTGCTGCGGTTTTTCACGCTTACGTGAGATTTACACAAATGCAACCGGCAATATAACTGAGGCTAAGGGGCTGCAAGAAAATGGTAGGAAAGTCTTGTGGGTTTTTCCCTCTTTCATACACACCAAATTCCTAGATATCCATCAACCTCCATCATGTCCAGGTAGAGCCCTGGCTGTAGGATAATCTTATTTGTTATTACATTAAAAAATGTTTTCTCCCTGGCTGGCGTAGCTCAGGGGATTGAGCGCGGGCTGCGAACCAAAGTGTCGCAGGTTCGATTCCCAGTCAGGGTACATGCCTGGGTTGCAGGCCATGACCCCCAGCAACCGCACATTGATGTTTCTCTCTCTCTCTCTCTTTCTCCCTCCCTTCCCTCTCTAAAAATAAATACATAAAAAATATTTTTAAAAATTTTTTCTGACATAAAAGCTACACAATTTTTATATTTGCTATAAAAATTTTGGAAAATGTGGAAAAATACCAAGTCTAAAATAAATGTTACCTTATATCTACCCCCTTTGAAGAGATTCATTATGTGATACTTGAAAGACTTATTTCCTTGGACCCATAACTCAGAGCAAATCAAAACCTCAAATTCTGTTTAGAGAGAATAGAAAAGCATTCAGGTGAAGTAGTTCTAAATGTTACTTCTTCATTTTGGCATAGGAATAAAAATATAACTGTACATTTATTTGCCACTTTCAAACATTATTCTAACCTTTTTATACATTTTGCCTGATATATATCAAAAAGTGTATAAAAGATATTCTACAAAAGGGGATGTTTTCTGAGACTACATTTTAATATTTATGACAGGTGGTGAAGTGTGCAGCTCTGCCCAGAGAAGTCACCTCAGTAAGGCCAGGGTTAAAAATGCTGTCATTCTTAGTTTCCCCCAGAAATCGGCTAAATCTATATTGATAATGCTTAGAATCTCCTTTACCCCAACTGAAAGAGTCCCCTCTGATAACCTTTCAAAGGTGGGGAAATATCACAAGTAAAGAGGAAAAAAAAAAGAGAGAGAGAGGAAAGAAACACCATTGAGTTTAAGAGGGCATGCACAAAGGCCACCAGATATCCCAGAACACGCGAACATCATCTGATCTCTCCGTGTATCTGAATGCCGTGGAAAGCACTTGGGTAGGGGAACCTTCTCTGAGTCAAAACATAGTCAGTTCTCGAGAAGTCACGATCTCCAAGGGCCATGGGCACCCCCCCGCCGATGGAATATTCCTTTTCCTCCCCATTCTCACCTGTCCTGCTAGTGCCTTTTCCCTGCCCTCCCCTCGCCTCCTTGCCCTCTTGTCCCACACGCATGTCATCTGTCAGGGCTTCAGACAGACGGAGAGAGCGGCTCTCACAGCTGTGACCCCGGGCTCCCCGCTCCGAGGGGCCGTGGAAGGGATGCTCGTGGCAGAGATGAGCAGCGGGCCTCCTGTGTCCTGTTCCGTGGCGTTCTCTGTGTTCCTTCCACAGGGCCTTTGAGCTCAGAGCACCAGCTCTGAGATGAAGTCGTAGACAGTGCGTTCCCCAGTGAAAAGCAGGTGACTGTCCCCTTTTCCGACAGCTCTCCCCGTGTCACCCCCCCCCACGTCACCGCCTGTCAGAGCCAGCGCCTCACCCCCCAGACTGCCTCAGGCAGGGGCTTTGGGGGAGGTTCCGGCTGCCTCACCGTCTCCAGAATTCCTGGAGGAGGGCAGGGGTCCTACTGCCGAAAATACATGGAAGCCATTACCCCAGGAGGCTGAGCGTTCTCAGACAGAGATTTAGATAAATTAGAGGAGGACAGCGTGGTGACAGGTTATTACAGAGGGGCGGACGCGGCCTGCAGCTATTCTGAGAAATGGACTCTGGCAGGGTGGGCTCGGGCTGCAGGCCAGCTAGCCGGCCATGTATCAGGCCGTGGAAACGCTAAGTGAAATTTCCTAATTCTGAGCCAGTGATGCACTTGTTTGCAAAAAAAAAAAAAAAAGGAAAGGAAAAAGAAAAAAAAAAAGCTATTTGCCTTCCCTGTGCCTCAGTTTTCCTCTCTGTCAAGTAGAAAAGCAATTCCAACTATTATCACGGCAGGGCTGTAAAGAAGAGAAAAGTGAATACAACCCTAAAGCAAGGAAGCATTTTGCAGCAGGACGATAGTCTAGGAGTCATCTGGCTAAACAGACCTCTCACTTTACAAAGGCGATCTCCTAGGTCCCCTCTGCTAGGCCTAGGCTTGGGGGTCCTGGGTCCCAGTCCTAAACATCCCGTCTCACCCGCTGTACCTGGTAACATGGAAGCCCTCCTATAGTAGTCGGCGTGTACTAAGCACCTTCCAAGCATTTCATCCAGTAGCAACATTAGGCAGGCTTATTCTCATCAGAGAGGCCGAGTGACTTCCGCAAGACCACACAGCTGGTCGGTGGTAGGCACAGCGTTGGATCCCAGGACCCCTGGCCTCCGCCTGGTGCTGTGACCGCTACCCTGTCTTTGTCGTCAGGGAAAGTGTCGGGCGGGACCCAGCCTGCTTCCAGTTGAATTTCCCTTTTCCTCCTAAGGATAAAAAGGGGTCAAGAAGAGGATAAAAAGGAATTGCGACGATGAGGAATGTCGTCGATACGCGTGTGCTGAAGGCCGCAGACAGGCTGTCACAAGGACGGAGCGCCGCTGCGCCCCTCTGCCTGGTGCGGGAGCTCGGGCTGCGGGTTCCGCCCGATCACTTCGTGACGGCCCTGGGGATGGAAGAGTGAGGGTGACCGAGCCAGACCAAGTTAGGAGGCGATTACCAGGAAATGCAGAGCCAGCAAGCGGTCTGAGCCGTGACGGGGCAGGAGGCAGGGCCCCCGGCAGAGCCGGCAGGCACCCGCAGGTCAGCAGACTGCAGGTGGTCCCTCTTGCACCCGAGGAGGGGCGGTCTGTGGCTCTCCGTCTCCCGGGAGCTCTGTATGTGTGGACGACGTGCTGCCCCACGACCGCGATAAAAGAAATGCCCGTTATGTCCAGCTCCGATTATTATCTACACGGGGTAACAGACTTCTTCCAGCAGGAAATGTTTTAAATTGTTAGGAAAACAAAGTGTTGTCCTCGAAACTTGGGTCACGAATCTTTCAGCAGATGTGGGGGGGAGAAAAAAGAAACCCCGCCCCCCACAGCTTTCTTTAAGACTGGACAATTTGCAGAGTCTAATTTTTTTTTAAAGATGATGAGCCATTATTTGGGTATTACTGCAAAAGTGGTCCCTATGTTCTCTTCACACATAGAAAATAGTCTCTTTTCTTTCTGCTCAATGGCACGGTGGCCATCCTAGGTTGCACCGAATCTTACAGAGCAGTCTGAACTGAAGAGTAACACAAGGAAATTTCATCTAAAAAATTGTATTAAAAGGGGAGCTTTCTATAGAAACAGACATGGATTTAATACTTCTTCTGGATGCTCTAATAAAATATTTCATTAGCCTTTCAGGCATGGAAGGCAGATGGATATGTAACTGACACTCTGCATAGAAACCAGAGGCTGAACGTTTTATTAATTTTATCAGTTGCCGGGTCCCAGCTTGAATGGAAAGCAGACTGAAGTTTTTATTCATTGTATCTGTTCCCTTATGAGGGGAAAAGGATTAACTGTAACTGTTCTTTATCTGAATTTCTGATAGCAGAAATGGAAACTATTCTGATCTGCGTAGCCTTTAAACAGAGTCTCCTCTTCGTGTTGATTTCAGCTGGTGATGTGATTTTTTGCCCATCGCATCACACGGATTAATTGTTCAAGGGACAAAATTGGAATTCTTCATGCCTTTTTAAAAAGTATCATTGAAAATATAATTTTTAGATGCCCAGAATTTGGAGATCCTTCTGGGCAGTGTTACTTGGCTATTAGAGAAATACCGTGTCTCAGGACATGTGGAAATGAGGAATTCTGTTTTCCCCGAGTGCACTGAATTAGAGTATCATCCGGTTAACTTGCTTCATGGGCTGGGATTTTAGTGGAAGCCGTAGAAATGGAACTGGGGTTTCCGAAAGGAAGACCCTTGCCTAGGGACAGTGGTTGACGCGGTGGCAGGGACCTAAGGGGAGAACGGGAGCTCCATCCGGGAGGTGACAGGGAGGCTGCCGAGTGGCCTCCCCATATGGCGCAGGCACGACACACATATGCTGAAGACACGAGAGATGAACAGGTTGTTTTTAGGAAGGTGTTCGTTCCAGGGACACTTCTCTGCCTTCAGGGTCTGCAGGACCTGAAAATGTGCCCTGCAGACAAACCAGGAAAAATCACCCGCTCTCTCTGCGGGCACCCGTCCATCTCTTCACTCTCCCTGCACACCGGTCGTTCCCAGGCGTGTCAGGACCGGGGCCCGAGAACGGCCGTTCTGGCGCACGGCCAGGTGCCGTCGGTGCTGCAGGGGTGCGGGCTGCACTTGGAGAAGCACAGTCCCCACCGGGGCAGGGATGACGAGCCTGACCTGTCAGTCTCACGCATGGCCAATCTTCTACGTCAAATCGCCACTTTAGAAAAATCACCATTTAAAATTTTTTCATTGTAATTTCAACTGTAATTCTTAAAATAAATTTTGAATAAAATAACCAATACATTTGTTTTTCATTTTACAAATGGTTTTGTTTGAACTTTGAGAAAATTATTGTTTATCTGCACAAAAGAGATTCAACTCTTCTTGATCCTTTGGTCTTTCAGCGGTAGCGTTTAGCCAACACCACTTACTCCAGACCAGGGACCTCAGTGCATAGCGGTTTCGGGGCTGTCTCATATGGGGGAGCAGGTCGCAGAAGGTCCTGGCTAGTGGGGTGGGGGTTCAAATCCAGCCACGGCTAACTCAGCAAGCCTAGCATCCACGTAGGGACTGCAGCGCCCCACCCGGAGGAAGGGACACCTCGGTCTGATGCACAGAAAATCCTAAACACTTCCCATGGGATTAAAGCAAATTCTTTGTGCTGAACTCCAAACCTCTCGTTCGCAGAACGACTATCGGAAGCTGTCCATGCAATGCAAAGACTTCGTGGTGGGTGTGCTGGATCTGTGCCGGGACTCGGAAGAGGTGGAAGCCATTCTGAACGGCGACCTGGAGTCGGCGGAGCCCGCGGAGGCGCACAGGCACAAGGCCTCACTGAGTCGCGTCAAGCTGGCCATTAAGTATGAGGTCAAAAAGGTGAGCGGCCCACTGCCACCCCGCACCAGGGTGGGAGAGACACGGAGCACCCACCATGCCGAGATTCTAGGGCGTTTTCTTTTCCGTAATAAGAATAGATCTTACTGGAAAAAGATTTTTTTTTCTTCACGAGAGAGACGAAGGGAAGTATGGTAACGTTGGGAGCCAAGTATCGAGCTCCCAACCCTTCCCATTTGTTGTTGGTTGTGAGACCTCGGATAAATCATAAGACTTCCTTAAATTTCAGTGTCTTCTATAAAAGGAGGATAAAATACTTCTTATCTGCCTCAGAGGTGTGGTGGGATTTCGGTGGGTTGAGATATGACAGAGATGTCTGTAAACTGCTCGTTGCAACGCCACTAACAGGGCAGAGAACCGGGAAGATCCTCAGCAGCACTGCAGCGAAATGACTCGTCACGGCCTTGTCAGCTACAAGGGGACGGCGCTGGCCCCGCTGCCCCCTCTCCCAGCGTTCTGGCTGGCAGAGGTTTTGTCATCGTGGGGAAAAGAAGATGATTTTGAGTAAGACTGATGTTGGAGCGCTTTTAGAAACCTGTCTGGATGTTTACTCACAGGTCTTGGGATTCGCATCTCTTCTCGCGTGCTCCTGAGAGAGGAGGATTGGTTTCCGTTGTCCCGGGTGCTCGATCACGGCTCTGAAAGTGTCACGTTAGCAGAGGCAGCTCGCCTGTGGGCGTGCCTGTGTCAACCAAGCTGTCTCACAGAGCGAATGTCCTCCCGCGTGTCCATTTTAAATATAAATCGGTGTGCAGATTATAGTGTATGAGGTGTCCGCAATACTCAGCTGGCTGCCCGTCAGCTCTCAGGCCACAACGGCAAAAAGAATCTGTTTGGAACTGAAAGGAGGGTGAAGACTTCGCAGGTGTTTCTGTCTAGTTTGTTTTGTGCTACCCAGTGAATAGTAGTCAAAGTTTTAACTTGGCATGTTCATTTGATCAATGCCTATGAGAACTCTATTCTGGAATGCCCCAAAAGCCCAAGTCAAAAAAAAAGCCCTTTTTTCTCTTAAAGGCCACCTTTATCGTTCATTCAGCACTCACCCACTTACACTCCAGCGAAGAGGGAGAATACGACGCCCATCCTTTCCCCATTGTTCCCACCCCCCCTTTCTAGTCCCCAAGAAAAATCTCTTCATGGATCCTAAGGCTGCATGGACCCCCCTCCGCCAGCTGCGGCCCTGGAGTAGTCAATGGCTATAGGAAAGGCATTTCAAAATAATTTTAAGTTACAGAATTTTCCCCCGATAACAAAACAAGCTCATATTTATTCAGATCGGCCTCTAATTTCACCAAGGAGCCCAGTTTGATGTCATGGTGAGCTGGCTGGTCCCCTAAGAGACTCAGGCAGCCGCTCTGGCCACTGCCCAAACCCGCCCCCGGTCTGGGTCCGGGCCTGAGTCTGCTGACCTCTCTCTGGGCTCCAGGCTCCCGGAGCTGGGGTCTTCCCTACGAACCACACCTCGGGCTCCCCCGGGCCTGAGAGACTCAGTGGCAGTTTGTCCAGAAATTGAAATTTAAACACTGCGTGGGAGGGATCTGAACATGAATTCAATGAGTTCTTCCTTCTGCTCTCCTGTTTCCCCCATGGTGGGACTAAGTTTAGCTGCAGAACAATTGTCTAGAAGAGACACGGGCAGCAATGTAAACACACATGGTTGTGCAGAGAAATGTGTGTGTTTCCCAGTGTGTGCAGAGGAAGCCCAGGAGTGGAGCCACGCGTGGGGGCTATAGGCCCCGAAGAGGCTTTGGGGGCGTGTGCCAGCGCAGCCCCGCCCCCTGCCCCAGGCAGCCTGGGGGCCAGGTGTGTGCCCGACTCCAAGAGGAAACCAGGGCATTTCACACCTGGCCGGTTCGGAATCCGGAACACCATGCCCTGTGAGTTCTCTGGTCATATGCCACGACTCAAGGACTTGAAAGAGAAAACAGCGTCATCTAGGTTCTAGATCCACCAGAGTATTCTCTTCTCAAGTGTGAGAGCGGGGCTCCAACCATGAAATCAAGAACGAAGCAGAGCTTTCCTACCCTGTTTCTGCCCCGGGCTGTGCCCACGAGGGCAGTGCTCCTGAAGGCTGATCTGATGAAAAGACAGCTTAACGTGAATTTTTTTGAAATTGAAATTATCTACACGTTATCAACAATGATCTTCTACATGTTGTTTTCCATACCTGCCCTGAGTGGAGGTCCGGTTTACAAGAACCTATCAGGCATTCCTAGCTGGAAAAAAAAAGCGTTTTTTCTCAATGCCACCGTAGTATTGTTTGTGGAAAGACTGAGATTTTCTTGTGTGTCAATCATCCTCCCTTCAAACCAGAAAACCTCGCATAAGGGTTTTATTTTTGGAACGGTTTCAGTTTGCTGGCCGCCGAGGTCAGGACGCGGCACGCAGACTTTCTCCGGCTGGCCAGGGCTGGCGCGGCAGGTCAGGGCGGACGCAGTCAGAGCAGATAAGGTCGCCGCCCTGTCCCGAAGTCACTGAAAAGAGTGAAGCTCATCTCCGGGAAGGATTAGCTTGGTTGCTCTCAGCCACTACGATTGCATTAGTTTTATTTTCTTTTTCAAATGTTCCCTGTGGACCCGTGGGAGGATTTAAAACCGCTGGAGGGGAAGTAGCCATTTGTGTGCTCTTTCTGTGGATTAAAAGAAGTCACAGGAAGTGATTTACTGAAATGACAGGCACCGTCTAGTGGTGAGGGCAAAATTAGTAGGGTAGGAAACACACCTGCTCAGCAGAAGGGCACAGGACGACAAGGAAAGTGTGAACATGATTTGGGCTGGTATTTAACACAGAGGAAGTGTGTGCATTGCGTGTACAGGCCTCTGTGGGTCACCTGTGGGCCGTGCAGACAGGATCGATTTCCATCAGGTCTCCGAGTAACCTTATTCAGTATAATGAATGCCATACAGCGCATCATCAGACTTAAAGACTGGCTCAAGGAGGAGGACCAAGATGAGGGAGCAGCCGTACTACAACATGAGTATTTCTGTCCCCGAGCGCTGAAAACCTACGAAAGAAAGGCTGGACACTCCCAAGAGGGAAATCTGCCCGCCGGTTGCATTGGACACGCCCACCTGCCTGTTGACTTCATGGTCATTTTCTGTTTTGCTCGGACCCTTGGCCCATTAAACAGTGCTTGTTGACGTCCCAAGCGGTAATCTGATCTGATGATGTCACCTCTCTGCCCGTGGGTGGATTTCCCAGGATGCACCACTCCCCATCCAAGCCAAGCCTGGCTGCAACCACAGGCCTGCCTTGCCTTTGCATCCACCCAACTTCCCACAAGTGCAGACCCTGTACACATGTCAGACACCAAGACATTGGACCAACATTGACATTAGGACTACGTTAAATGCTGATCATTTATCTTGGGAAGCATAGGAGTGCAGCTATTGTAATAGCTGTTTTTCACATGTATTGGTACCGTCCCTTGTGCCCAAAACTGGGGACCCCTCATCACTCAACGGAGTGCTGATGCTTCCTTCCATCTGCATCTTCCTGCGCCCAGGGCCCAGCTAGGCTCCTCCCAGGGGCTCATGCCGTGCTGGAGAATGAGTGAGTGCGTGAGTGAGTGGGACAAATGGTGGCGGGTGTGGAGGGCTTGAGGGTTTCTCACGTAGGAGGAGGGGTGAGGCAGGAAGGAAGCGATCCAGTAGCTGCAGGGGCAGGGGTGGGAATACGCAGTTTTCGGGAATCCCAGGAAATGGTCGCAGAGACCCCTGGAAGCTTTCAACCTTGAGTATATCCACACGTTATACCATGAGTTCAAATGATGACCCCCATTGACTTTGAAATACAGTTTTCAAAAATCAGAACGTGGAGATAGTGACGCAACCTTGAGTTTGAAAAGAAGGTCTCATATAATTTCGTGGCTGGCAGTGACCAGTGACCCCCAGGACCTGGGAGTTTTACAATTGAATCAAAAGGATCTTACAGGCAGGATCAAACACTCTTTTTCACATTGAGTTCATCCAACCAGAAAAGATAGTATCTTATTGTTAGTACTTTTAACTCTCCCAAGCCTTACCAGTTTGCGTTATTGAAAAAAAATTCAGTGAAGTACTTCAACTCTAATACCTGTAGATTCAACCTCAGACACATCTGTCAGCCTGTGTCTCCTCCTGCCGCGGGCGGGGTCACCTCGGGCTCCCAGAGCACTGGCGCACTGGGGGTGGAGTCTGGGGGGCGGGGTCTGGGGGAAGCTGTGCCGAGGTTTTACTTCTTATTACCACTGTTCTAGTGGAAAGTGCTGGTGGAAAACTATACCCCAGTTAGTGGGAACCTCTCCGCCACCCTGGAGCCATGCTCTTGGTACAGAACCCGACAATGTGCAGAAGTGTCTGGAGTCACCAGGAATCCCAAGGAGGCAATTAGGGAACTAGGGCTCGATTCCAGATGAACCCTGTGCCCACGGGGCACCGCGGCTGCCCCTGTGCCTCCCTGAGTTCGCAGACACCTCTCACGGTGCTTCCTAACGGGGGTTTGCTGTTGCCGTTCATCCTGTTCGTTAGAAGACAGCGATGCTTTGACGTTTGCATTGCTAAACTCTTTTTCCGAAACCCTGATGGCACTTCCCGTTGATGTGTGAGTGACCTTGGATAATTCCCAAACTTGGGCAAACTGCGCTTGGCCATTCAGAGAGAAGCAGCTCCAGCTGCAAGGGGGCACCTTTTGGCGTAGGGACCTTTCTGTGGGCCGGGTGACACATACAAGTCTGCTCCCTGAATAAGGGCAGGGCCTTAAAGAAGTCCCAGTTCTCCTCAACAGATTCAGGCAGATGGGTCAGCAACACCAGACGGCAAAATCAAACTCCATGGAGGTGAGGAAGGGAGTCTAAGTTGCTCATTTTCCCTGGTTAGAATTGTAGTTAGGAAATCACGGCTGCAGATAAATGTGGCTTTTTCCTGACCTGTGACAGAGGAAGCAATAAGAAGAGCGCAGATTACTCAATAGGACGGAAGTGACATGGGACGCCGGTTCCCGGAGCCGTGCAGTGTGGCCCGAGCACAGCGCCTGCGGGCTCGCTGGCTTCTCGCGACTCTCGTGTGGGTGTGCAGGGACTGTGCACCCGTGCACATCAGCCACATCCTGTGCATATTTTCACACGGGCAGTGTTGCAGGGGTCGCTCGAGAAACTTAACGCATTTCGCTTTTCGCCATAGTCTACATTGAAAACCAAACTTCCTCTTCCGTTTGGACTGAAAGCCAGGACGGGACGTGTCCACAAGGAGCGACTCTGTCCCCAGGTTCCAGAAAGGAACCTGAATTAGGGAGAGCTTGGAGCAGAAAGAGCTGGTTCGGGACAGCATCAGTGTCGCCCTCTTGTGTCCACTCTCGTTCTTCTCTGGGTTCTGGAGCAGTGTGGGAAGACGGAGGGAAGGAGACGGAGGGTAGGACCAGCACCTTCCAGCACCCGTGTGCTGGGAGCATGGGCGCTAATATCTTCAGGAGGTTAGTCTTGATGTTCAGCGGTCGAACTGTGGCCGACGGCATGGTAACCCGCCTCCCTCTCTCTCCCCGCAGTTTGTGGCTCACCCCAACTGCCAGCAGCAGCTCCTGACCATCTGGTACGAGAACCTCTCGGGGCTGCGGGAGCAGCCCACAGCCGTCAAGTGCCTGGTGGTGCTGGTGGTGGCCTTGGGCCTTCCGTTCCTCGCCGTTGGCTACTGGATTGCGCCTTGCAGCCGGGTACAGCTTTCTTACACTCTCTGTCACCTCTGTGTCACCTCTGTGTCACCTCGCCCTATGGGGATGAAAAAGGACAAAGCTTCCCACTTCGGGCTCTTAGCGGTCCCGCCCTGAAGGATAATGGACTCCAGCACACGGGTGCTGCTTTGTAATGACCGGATTGATTCAAATAAGGGGTGAGAAAGCGTTTGGTGCCAGTGGGGTAGATAGTCTTGGCAGGCACATAATGCTTAGGCTTTTATGATAAAGTCCCCATGGTGGGCGGGGGGGCGGGGGGAGAGCTGCTGGAAGGAAGGGGCAGGCGCTCTGGTTCTGCTGACAGCTCCGTGCATGGACACCCGACGGGCCGGCCCAGGGAGGAATGGGGATGTGGCCCCTGCGAGGGCTCTAAGACACGGCAGCCAGCCTGCCCGCCCCAGGGTGCCCGCCGGGACCTGTCCACGCCGTCCGTGGCTGGCGTGGTAAGCCCAGCTGCACACGTGGTGTTTCCCAAAGTCCAAGGAAGCGCATGTCGGGTGCCCTGAGCTCTTTGTTCTTCTTCGGAAGGAAACACGTAGACTCAGGCCTGGGGACTTTGGCATTTTTCGATGGTTTGTTCAGTGAGTTTTGCTTGACTCGTTTTGTTCACGACCTTTCCCCGTCTCTCCACTCGCCTGCGGAGAGTCAGCCTGGCCGCGCCTCGGAGGACCGCTGACCGCGATGGCGAGAGGAACAGTGGGCATGTGCACAGACTCTGCGTAGGTGTCCGGGGCACGGCTGGGGCCAGGAGGCTGCTCTGAGATGCTTTGATCCCGTTTTTATATTAGGAAATCTGGTTTTGTTTAGATCAGGGGCAGTTTCAGGCAAAACGAGTCAGGGCCCTAGAACGGCCCCTGAAGTCCGGCATCTCCCTGGCTCAGTGGCGCCCCCAGCGCCGTGCGTGTGCGGGAATATTCGCCCATCGCACCGCGCGCTCGAGCTGCCTGTGCCGGCAAGGCTGAAATTTTGTCCTGTGGATCAGTTTTGATGACTTGACTGAGTTGCTTTGTCGTATATCATGGAAGAGTATCTTACGGCAAGACTACAGACTAGAAACTAGAAATAACGTGAGAGAGCGTGCCTTAAACACAGAAGTCACATCCCACGCCAGTAGTTCCCCTTTCTGGGGAAGAGGCGCTGGAGTCCGGTTTGCAAGTGTTGGTGTCTTTGGGCAGCTCTGCCGGCAGACATGTGGCGTTGGGCCTGGCGTGGGCATCTTCAGTCCCCCTCCCTGTTTCTCTCCGCCCGGCGAAGCGCGGCTCCTGGCCTGGGGACTCCGCCCAGCAGAGAAGCGAAAGGAGGGGCTTGAGCCCTTTCTACCCCGTTCATACCTGCCCTAGGCCCTCTACTCAGTGGTGAAAAGACAACGTAGACAGAATTCTCTCCGTGTACCCCACTTTTAGGATAGGCGTGCTGCTTTCTGTTCTTGCTGTTTGGCGTTTTAAAAGACCCACCTTTTACAGACTTGACAACTCCCAAGAAATCACCCAGCGCTACGAAGGCGGGCCCCCACCCCTCCCCCTGCAGCGTGCAGCTGCGGACACAGCACGGGGGCCTGTGAAAACGTTGTTTGTTTTCCCGTAGAAAATGTGACGTTGGTCTGTGAGCCTTCGTGGCCCATCCCAGGAGGGATCGGCAGCTCGTGGCTGTTTGTTGGCATCTCGTCAAGGTTGGGGACGCACACAAACACTCGTTGGAACTTGCCGTCTTTTGCATGTGGACTGCGGTGTTTGCTCAGGGCACAGACGGAGTTTGAAAGTGGGGTTGGGGGTGCAGAACGGAGCCCTTCCCCAACAGATCTACCAGATGTACCTAACTGGTGGGCCGCAGAAGCCCTGGGGACAGGAGGAGTTGTTTCCATTTCTCCCAGAACATGGGGCTTTTCAGGACAGCGGGTCACATGGGGTTTTAAAGGAGTTACCTTAAAATAACTACAAAATGAACTTTAAGATGATCTCCTACTATTTATGTACTTTTCCAGACTCGAGCATGACTTTCAATTACATTGACCTACTTAGAGGTTTTAATCATTGCGTATCTATCTCCCTCTTCTAATTGCGATAATAACAGACAAAATATTTATCCTGATTATAGTATTTTCTGCCTTGTTTCTGTCATGCAAAGCACGACGTGATTTTGGAATATTTGGAAATGAGAACTAAAGTTTACTTCTATAGTGGCTGGATTTTTTTAATCTTCAGAGGGTTTTCAACGTGCTGCAGACACATCATAACATTTCAGCGATAAGCGAACAAGGCTGCAAATTCATCATAACATTTCAATTATAAAGCAGTAGAGGATTACACATGGCAAACTTGGAATTTCTTTCCCTAAACCCTAAAAACCTTGACATTGCACAGCCTTTCGATGTAAAAATAAGAACAACCAGTACAGACAGGCCCCATGATTTTCAGAAACGCACCTGTGAATGCAGCATATTCTAAGACAAACTGGCTATTTAGAAACAAGGAAGTCTGAAACCTTCTCAAATTATTTTTGTGGGAAACATCCTTTCAAAGGAGTGATTTTCACAATGTATAGCTTTTCAGGAATGGAAGCAAAGCTTTGAAAGTGTTCTCATGTCATCTGTGTTTAATCCTGTATAGTGATTTTCATAAGTGGAAGCTGGATTTTCAAAACTGAAAAAAAAAAATTTTTTTTTTGGCCCTATCACAGCTGGGGAAGGTTCTGCGAAGCCCCTTCATGAAGTTCGTGGCTCACGCCGCTTCCTTCATCATCTTCCTGGGCCTGCTGGTGTTCAACGCCTCCGACCGGTTCGAGGGCATCCGGACGCTGCCCAATGTCACGGTCACCGACTACCCCAAACAGATCTTCAGGGTCAAGACCACCCAGTTCACGTGGACCGAGATGCTCATCATGGTGTGGGTTCTAGGTAAGCCTTGCATTTCAAGTGCTCTTAGAGCTACCCCAAACAGTGCCTATTTGCCGTTTTCACTCTCTTTTTTTAAAATTGAGTGTATTGGGGTGCCACTGGCGAATAAAATGATGTGGGTTTAAGGTATACAATTCTTTTTTTTTAAAGATTTATTTATTTATTTATTTTTAGAGAGGGATGGGAAGGAGATAGAGAGACAGAGAGAGAGACATCAATGTGCGGTTGCTGGAGGTTATGGCCTGCAACCCAGACATGTACCCTGGCTGGGAATCGAACCTGCGACACTTTGGTTCGCAGCCCACGCTCAATCCACTGAGCTACACCAGCCAGGAAGGTATACAATTCTGTAATGTACCCTCTGTGCAGTATGTTGTATGTCCACCAACCCAGTGTCATTTTCTATTTAAAATGTTATTTCACGTTCTATGGTGGCAATATCACCATGGTTAGATTAGTGGGAGAGTGAAATAATCAGATAATTTGTCAGCTGGATAACGCTAAAAGGTATCCTAACACTAAAGGTTAAAAGTTTTATAAGTAACATGAACCTAGCATTAATACATTGTGTTTCAGAAGTTGAACTTCAATTACTGAATAAAAATGTAAGTTTTTTCACGTGGCTCACTGTGACAATCACACATTCCATTGAAATTCTTGTGAGGTCACCCCAGTGGCTATGAGCTGATGAGTCAAGAACACGTGTGCATTGTTCTAGTTTGAGAGGTGTTCGGGGAGCGTGTCCGTTGTCAGAGTGTTTGTCACGCCCCCTCCTGGCAGCCCGTTTGCACAGCCAGCCGTGCTGGAGGGAGAACTGTGGGCAGGCAGCGTGGGGAGGGTGACGGACGCGGGAACCGTCTACCTGTTGATCACTCATGCAAAGCCATTGTTGTGCGCCCCCTCTGTTTCGCCCGGCGCGCTCCTTGGTGTCCCCCCAGCCCTGATTAAATGGGTTCCTTCCTCCCCCTCGTTCACGCCCACGGTCTCCATCTGGGTCAAGCAGCTGTTTTACACATTTTACGTTGAGCCATGACATTTCTTTGAAAAGTCCCACAGACTTTTCCCCTGACGCAGTCAAGACAAGGAGAGCCCTCCCTCCCGGAGTGGCGTTGGCTGCCTCCCATGTCTCCCCACCCCCGGCCCCCGCTGCAGGGCCTCCCCTTCCCGTCACCTGCCTGCAAGAAGTGGGGTGGGGCCCAGGGTACAGGGCGGCGGGAGTGATGGAAGGGCTCCTGGGGGGGTCAGTGGGGAGACGTTCTTGTTACAAGTCCACGGTCAGGTGCTCACTCACTCCACACCATTTCTCCAGTAACCACGGGGGTTTGATAAGGGACCCTTGTAATTTCATAGAGATGCGTTTTTCTCGCCTCCAAAAGCCTCATGGGGCAAACTCTGTTGACTCCCTGGCGTCTCTCCTCCTTCCGGCCCTCACCCCTCTGTCTGAGTGGTGGCACGTCTGGGCCCACGTCGGGGGTGGGGGGTTCCCCGAATGCCAGCTGGTGGAGGGAGTCCTTCCCGTAGTGGGAGCTTCCTCTTCTGCTGACTATGCCCGGTGAGCCGGACAGTCCGGGCTTCGGGGCACCCGGGGGTCGGTGCTTCCCAGACGGGGCGTCGTGTCCACGGGGCCAAGGGAGCACGACTCCCCGGGGCCAAGCATGAAGCCTGACGTGTGTCCCCCGCCCCGTGTGCGCTGTGGCAGGGATGATGTGGTCCGAGTGCAAGGAGCTCTGGCTGGAAGGGCCGAGGGAGTACATCCTGCAGCTGTGGAACGTGCTGGACTTCGGGATGCTCTCCATCTTCATCGCCGCGTTCACCGCCCGGTTCCTCGCCTTCATCCAGGCGACGAAAGCTCAGCACTACGTGGACAGCTACGTCCAGGGGAGCGACCTCAGCGAAGTCACCCTCCCCCCGGAGATACAGTACTTCACTTACGGTGAGTCGCCCGCCGGCAGGGCCCCGTGTCCGTGTGGGAGCCGTGCTGCGGGAGGGAGCGCCGAGAATGTCGACGATGGTGGGAGAGCTGTGCCGAACGCTTCTGGGCGGTAGGGGCAGCGGGGGACTCCGAGCTGGATTCGTATCCAGGCTCTGACTCCCCATGGCGTGTGACTTGGTTCAAGTTCGTTTAGTTTCCCGTGCCTTAGTCTCCACATCCGTAGAAAGGAGGTGCTGCAAGGTGGGAGAAAAGGGGCCTTTCAGCCCAACAACCTAGTTCACCCTGATGGACTGTCAGGACACGAGACTGTCTCACGGGGGGTGGGGGGGAGACGGCTTGAGAAAGGGAGTGACGGGGATGGTGAGTCCCTGAGGGTGCGGCTCTGAGGAGGTAAGGTGGTGAAAGGTGTAAACTGCTGCGCAGGGGGAGTGCGCCGAGACCCAGAGGGGCAGGGGCTACTCTGGCCGTCACGGTGTGAGCCCGGAGAACCTGCAGGAATCCCGGAGCTGGGAGGGGGGATGCCCCGTGCCCCGTGCCCCTCCCCACACGGCGGTGATGTCACAGGAGAGCACCAGGCCGGCTGGCGCCCACTGGGCAAGGATACTGGCGCCTCCCTCCCCGCACACGCCCGAGTTAGGCTGCCCTGACCCCCTGAGCCCGAGGCTGAATGGGGAGCCGCAGGTACCAAATGCGCACACGGTGGCAGAGTCTCAAGTCCGGAAAAGACCGCAGACGTTCTGGGCTCACCTTCATGTTACAGACGGGGAGACTCGGGTGCCGAGTCCACGTGGCTTCCGCGTGGGAAGCCTCGCTCGTAAGAAGTGAGACGAAGGCTCGCTTCGGGGTACGGATGAGCAGCGTGCGCAGGCTACTGCGGAAGGCTGGGCGTCCGCACCAAAATGTAGATGTGCCCCTCACACGGCGAGAAATGTGCACCCGATACAGCTCTCACAGCCGGCGAGCGAGGGCGTGTCTGTACCAGGGAGAGCAGCTCCAGTGAGCAAAGGGTCGCCCTTTCTAAGGAAAGAATTTACTTGGGCCGCATGTTCATGTAATAAAAACCTCGAGTATCACAGTCGCCTGTTTACTTACGCGTATTCACGTGTCTTTGATGACGGTCATCTGAAGGGAACTTTGTGAATTCGGGCTGCGCTGCTTCTCCCGTGTGTGATTTCCATCAGGTTTTTAACCTTTCTCAGTCTTGGAGTCTGCGCCTCTGAAAGCAGAAAACAGTTAACACCAGAACTGTCGGGTCTGTTGAAAACTCAGAGTCTGGTGCATATTAGACATTCAGTAAATGGTAACCTTTGTTGTCGTTGCAAATGCCTATGCTGTGTGCATTTTTCTGGGAGTGGCCCGGTTCGCACAAAACTAACCACAGAGCGCTGCATGGACCTTCCAGGGAAGTAGGTGTAATTCGCTGTGACCTTCCTACGTGGCCTTCAAAGGGTGTTCGGGGTCCTCATTTGGAATCTGTCTCCAAAATGGGGGCACCTCAGTAGCAGTTCTCGTTTTCCAGGAAGAAGCGTGGTGTTCAGATACCAGGGCGTGGTGTGGGCAGCACCGTCGTGATTTGGTGACAGTCTCACCTCTCTGACTATGACACTTGACTTGCATCGGCCGTGAGACCAACTCGTGTCCCCACGAAATGCGGAGGTCGTGCGGCAGCCAAGTTCCCAGGCTGAGAAACTGACCGGCCGATAAACCTAGTCCCCGAGGGGGGCTCAGTGAGGTCGTCGCTCCGCGGTCCTGGCCCAGGCTGTGTGCGTCCGAGGAAGTGTGAACCCTCTTTCTCCGTCCTTTGTGTTTTACTCTGTTTCTGCTCAATGCGAAGTCAGCTCAGGGTCTTTATAATGGTGTTTTCTCCACCAAAATAGTTCATCTGAGTGTGGAATTCATATGTTTCTTGTTTAATGCGACAAAGAGAGCCCAGACTGGTCATCGGGTCTAGAGTATTGTTGACCGAGACGTTAACCACCTACCCACAAGGCAGAGCCTAGGGAAGGCACTGACTTTGCACAGTGAGCGATGCACAGGAAGTCCATCTTTAATCTCTCCTGCTCTCTCCTTCCAGCCCGAGATAAGTGGCTCCCTTCCGACCCGCAGATCATTTCCGAAGGCCTCTATGCCATTGCCGTCGTGCTCAGCTTCTCCCGGATCGCCTACATCCTCCCCGCGAACGAGAGCTTCGGCCCCTTGCAGATCTCTCTCGGCAGGACCGTGAAGGACATCTTCAAGTTCATGGTCCTCTTCATCATGGTGTTTCTCGCCTTTATGATTGGCATGTTCATACTTTACTCTTACTACCTTGGGGCCAAAGTGAACGCTGCTTTCACCACGTAAGTAACATATCTCGTAAAAATCCCGCCCTGGCTGGCGTAGCTCAGTGGATTGAGCACAGGCTGCGAACCAAAGTGTCTCAGGTTCGATTCCCAGTCAGGGCACGTGCCTGGGTTGCAGGCCACGGCCCCCAGCAACCGCACATTGATGTTTCTCTCTCTCTCTCTCTCTCCCTCTCTTTCTCCCTCCCTTCCCTCTCTAAAAATAAATAAATAAAATCTTTTTTAAAAAAGCAGAATGAGGAAGACCAGCTCAAACACGTCTAGAGGAAGCAAAGGAAACAGTGCAATGATCATAATGGTGTTAAGAGCAGGAAAAAATCCATTAAAAACAATTGGCGCCTGTGCGTGATTACGTTGCTACAAAGATTCCCCATTTGGAGCTTAGCGAGCATTGGGCCCCAGAATGAATCGGCATTCAGAAAAATCTCAGACGAAATTGGCTATTTTGAGAGAGTTGAATAATAAAATTTTAATACTGGATGTCTCTTACATTATGTATGACATTAAATTTAGTTTCATTATTTTGTAGCCATTACTGTTACTCCAAAAAAGAGGCGTCGGCTCTCACTTTAAAGTACCATTAATTAGTGCAGGGGGTGGAGGAACAGAAATCACAGCTACATGTACACAGCCCACTGTGAGGGCCATGCTGTTCCCTCCCTTTGGTCGTGCTGGTGACCTCAGTGGAGGCCCACCTCCCCCAGGAAGTCTTCCTTGATTAAGCTTCTTCAGTCTTTGTCCTTTTTAAGTCCCTTCGGCATGCAGACATCCAGACTGTAAGTTCACTGTCACCCATCTGCGTCTGGTTGTCACGAGGGGTGGCCCTCCCTCTGTACTGTGGTCCTTGCAGGTGGGGAGGTCACAACCCTGCCGTCCGCCTTTGTGCTCTGCAGTGGCACACTGGACACCAGCCGGACAGTCCGCAGGTCCCCCGTGGACTCAGATGGAACCTCCTGGCCTCCCAGACGCCGAGTTGTCTTGAAGTGAATGTTTTCCAATGGTCCATGTAGAGCAGGTCGTAGGGGTGAAAGAGATCTGAAGCTCACCCACTTTCAGTGAAGAGAAAAAACCCTGTTTGAGTCCCGCGGGGTGGGGGGTGCAGAGAGACGTGGGCACAACACCGCCCCCCCCCCGCTCCCCCTCCCACCAGGGCTCCAGGACTCGCCTGACGCCCGGCGTTTCCTTCGGGGTCTCTGTGAGGACGGGGCAACCTGCTGGGGTGGAACGACCGGGCTCGGAAACCAGACCTGGCTGGGAATGCAGGCCCGCTGGGCTCCAGCTGCGGCCTCTGATTACGTTCCTTAATGCGTGTCTGGGTTAGTTTCCCTGCTTGCAAAATGAGCACAAAAAGGTTTAAATCAGGTCGGAGTGAGGGTCGTGTGAGGTGACTCGCAGAAAACCTCCTGCGCACAGTGTGGGGCTCAGGACCTGCCAGCGTCCCCCGGCTCTTCCTGTCTGTCCCCTGTCCCCACCCAGGGAGAGACCTCACTCTGGACAGTCAGAGGCAGACAGTGAAGGTGGGGGTGGGGAGCAGAGCAGCGAGAAGAGGAAGGCGGGGCAGGGAGTTTGTGACGCGGTTCAGTTGGTGGTGACAAGGTCATCATTCCTCTGTCTCCGCCTGGCACGCGCACTGTGACACCACACGGTCGAGTGTTTTACGCCAGACAGTAACCGCAGGAGCAGCGGTCTTCACTCTGCCCTCGGCCCCCAGGGTCTAGCACCGCTTCTGGAACATGATGGGAGCTCCATCAAGACTTGTTGAACCAACGAATTCATAGACTAGTACCGAAGCCCATAAATCTGTAGAATTACTTAGAATCTGTTATAAGAAATAAAAAAAAAAGTTTTCATAAACCTTTCCTCCAGAAAAAGGACTTCCTTTTGTCCCCTCCTTGGCGATGGGATTGCACGTGCCCAACTGTTCAGTTTGAGGAGTGTCCTTGCTGCTCACAGACCAGCGGCTGCGGCGGGGTCCTGAGATAAACCTGCTGGTTCAGCTGGCGACGCCCACCGAGGGGGGAAGCGGGGACTTAGCCTGGGGAGGCAGCGGAAGAGTCAAGAGTCAGGGGTGGCTTATTTAAATTGAGGGGAAAGGAGAGGAATCTTTCATCCTGTCGCCTCCTCCTTTCGCAGCCAAGCATAACTTCCAGCTGGGTAATCAATCCTTGTGACAAGACAGATCATCCACTCGGGGCGGTGTCTGCGGCGAACAGCCTGTCCTCGCTCGCCCGTGGGCCTCAGGCTCCGAGTGCGCGCGCCTTAGTCCCCACGGCACTGGCAGGGACAGGCGTGTCGGCGTACTCCTCTTTTTTGTTCCAATGGTGCAATACCTTTTACTAGCTCCATCGTATTGTTTCACTTCAGACCATATCACCGCTCCCGTTTTGTCTAAGCCCGTAAGGCTGGACCTGGCTCCTTTGCCCCACGGCTGCACAGCGGGGCATCGTAGGGACCTGCCAGCATTATTTCCCCGCGCCCCTGGGTGGGTATTTGGGGTGCTCTCCTTCCTCCCCACTGCCGGCCTGCAAGGACGATGCTGGTGCATCCTTTTCTGGAAGTGGGAATATCATCCGAATCCCGACCTTGCTCACCTTTTGGAAAATCCGATGTAGACTCTAAGCCACCTACAAAATCACACCCCAGTGGTTGTCTTTCCAGGAGAAAGGACTGGGGATTGTATGACTTCTTCCCTGCTGACTGCAGAGAATCCTTTCTTGGTAACTTACAGAAAAACTGGGATTCAGCACCATTTGGTTGCGAGTTCCTGAAAACCCGAGAGAATGCTTTCTGCTGAATGTTACAGTGAAATAGCTCTACTCCTGGGTTTGTGCTGATGCTGTTTCATGATGGCGTTTTGCAGCGGTGGCCAGACCCTAACCTGGCTTTGCTTTGGACTTTCTAACTCTGAAAACGGCTCATTCGTTGACTGTGTACCTTATTCTTCCAACAGCGTGGAAGAGAGTTTCAAGACGTTGTTTTGGTCCATATTCGGGCTGTCTGAAGTGACTTCCGTCGTGCTCAAGTATGACCACAAGTTCATAGAGAATATTGGATACGTTCTTTATGGGATATACAATGTCACCATGGTGGTCGTTCTACTCAACATGTTAATTGCTATGATTAACAGCTCGTACCAAGAAATTGAGGTGAGCATGATTCCTGCCCGCAGTGTCTCTACTCACCACCTGTTCTACGCACATCATCACACGTGTGCTGTGAGCCCTGGGGGTGCCCCGCTCACGTGAACCAGGACGCTGGACCCAGGAAGAGAGAGCCCGACCCTTCTCTGGGTCTTTGTCCTGGGTAGACAGCCACACACACACACACACACCCCATTGTCCTCCAGGAGCACAGTGGGGGCCCATGGCCTTCCCCTCACTCCCAGGGTGTGTTTCAGAAGTTTCGAAATTAGTGCTAGCAGAAGCACTGGCCATTGGGAAGTTATTCTCCCCTAGGTTAGCCAGCCAACCCCCTGAAAGACCCTGGGGGAGGAATCACTAGACGTCTGGCTAACACTGATGGTGTTCTCATCCAGCCAGAATTCTCAGTATCCCAGGAATCCCTTTGCTTTGTGTTCTGGATTGGGCTCGTTTGGAACTTCCTTCACCATTCGATATGTGTTTTCTTATGTCCTCCGGTTTAGCGCTGGGCATCTGCTTAGTGCTTTGCCGATTGTTAAGCCCGTTGGGTCTCTGTGCGCTTCAGACACAGCGGGACGGTGCCGTCAAAGCAGGAGTGAGGTCCCCCAGCGTGGAAACAGGTGCTTGGCACGCTGGTTGGGTGTGGCGATGGCAGCCCAGGGCGTGTGAACCGAGTGAGCCCACTTCCTCCCCCTGGGGCCTCCTCCTCGTCCTTGCTTCTGGCCACCCTTCTCCCAGTTGGTATGTTATGCCCATCCCCAGGGGCAGCACCAAGGACCGAAGGAGATATAGGACAGGAGTAGGCCACGGAGGGCCCTTGTGACATTTGAAGACATATGGCAGACACATGAACCCCAAAGAGCAGTTTCATCTGAGTACGTTTTCCCCTTTGCTCCGGGGGTGTGAGGTGCTGTATCTACAGCCTATTGGAGGGGCTGGAGGAGGAGGGAGGGTGGCCAGGGTGTGGGGAACTGTTGTTGGATGTGCAGAGTTGGTGGTGGGTGGGGGCGACGGGAATGAATCTTTCCACCCTTCCCCGGTCCTGAATGACTCTTGTGCTTCGGCTTTGTTTTTGCGTGGGGGACAGACATTCTGGTTGAATTTCAGTGGGTACACACAGACGCTTATGGGAGAGAAAAATTGTTAAGACACGCATATTAAGAAAGTGATAGAATATTATACAGGACAAGAGAGACCAGTAAGTCACTTATCTATTTCAAAAGCACAATTTAGGTTCATTGTAAGACCCTACAGGAAGCAGTTACTAGAATTTTTAGTCTTTAAAATGAGTTCTCTCTTTTCTGTCTCATGACACAGGACGACAGCGATGTGGAATGGAAGTTTGCTCGTTCGAAGCTGTGGCTGTCTTATTTTGATGACGGAAAAACCTTACCTCCACCCTTCAGTCTAGTCCCTAGTCCAAAGTCGTTTGTTTATTTCATCCTGCGGATCATTAACTTTTCCAAATGCAGACGGAGACGGCTTCAGAAAGACATAGAAATGGGACTGGGGAACTCGAAGTCCAGGGTAGGTATCGGACCACGATCTTAGGATAAATGTCCTCTTTCTCCTTGTCTGTGATGTGTGTTCAGTAGTTTCCATGTGTGAGCTTAGAAGAGACCGAAAGTATTGTCCACGCCATGGTCTTCCATAGACTAATGCTAACACCTGTACAACGTGTCAGGAGGTCACTTAGTCTATGCCTTGCCTTTGGTCATGATTGCATGTAAACCTACAGATTCAAAGCAAGCAAACAAGAAACCTCTTTAACTTGTCGAGAGTGAACAGAACGCTCTGTCTCTTGTGTCCGTGCGTCTCAGTTGTCCTGAAGTGACACGGTCTGGACGGCGTGTTTCCCTCGCGGTTGCACATGCAGTCCCCACGGCCACTCATGGTTGCACATGCAATCCCCACGGCCACGGTCTTGCTGGAACAGACCCTTTATGGGGCTAAAAATTGTTTTCCTTCATTGCAAGGTCGCAGCAAGCCTACGAGCACCCTCAGATATTCACCGCAGATACCCCTTTTATAAATAATCTAGGCTGGTCTGTCCCTGAGTGGTCTCGGTAGAGTCAAACTCATCCACGGGGGTGAGTTTCACGGTAGCAGTTCCCTGTCGTGACCTCCGTTTCCAGAGACAGTCTGGGCGCAGGAGACAGACGGACATGGGCCGAGCCCCAGATGACAGTGAGCGAGGCAGACAGCAGTGAGCACATGGGGCTGTAAACACGGCCGGCAGCCGGGAGCCCCGAGACAGCAGCGCCGTCCTCGTGGAGGGCGGGCCTTCCTGAGCCGCAGGAGATGTGTGTGCTCAGCGGCAGCTGGGTGGAGGCTGGATGGGTGCCATTTGATTTCGCACGTCTTAAGACAGATGTGCCTTTCCAAGGTTTGCAAAACCCTGGCCTCTTATTTTTTTGAGAAGGTGGCTTTTGGAACCTTTGCACCTGGAGGTGGGCCCATAAGGCAGTGAGTGAGGCTGCAGGGCAGCGACTGGCTGGGACGTCCTGTGGTTTCCAGCGAGGCCCCGTCTGGGCCCCATGAGCGACGGTGTAGTGTGAGGGACAGGCGTCGGCGTCACGCCCGGCCTTGGTTTCTGGTGCTCGTGGCCCGTTGGCACGCCCCATGGAGAAAGAAGGCCCTCCATCGAGCTGAGCCTCACTTGTCCCAGCCGAGAGAGAGGTTCCTTCCGAGGGTTCTTGTGGGGATGACAGATGCACCACATTCCAGCCTCAACAAACGCCAGTGCCCTTCCTCGTTCACAGTGTACAGAGTGCTGTGCTGTGCGTTTGAACCTCAGGCAACGCTGTGAGGTAGGTGTGACCGTTACCCCCGTTGTATAGGTGAGATAACCGAAGCCATTAAAGTGATTCACTCACGCAAGGTCACGGTGCTAGCCAGCTCGGGCTGGGTGTGGGGTTCAAGTTCGTGTTGGGTGCCTAGCTCTTCCTGCTCCACCTGCTCCGCTGCACCTGGCTGCCTCCTGCTCACAGCTGTGCTCTGGCTGGGTTCCTGCCCCACCCCCACCCCCCTCCCCACCAGCTGCACCTTCCACTGCAGGGCGGCTGGTCTCTTAAAGGGGCGGGGCTCTGAATGCCGCCTTGGGCAAATTCTGCTCCTGCCCAAATGGACTTTGTTTCTCTGGGCGTTTAGTCACCGAGGTTTTATTATTTTCAAAGGAAGCCTCTCAAGGATGGGAAGACACGGCTCTTACACTTGACACCTTAGAGCCGTCTTCCTGTAGGCAGCTGGTTTCACTGACTCTGTGCCCGAAGTTGTGGTGATGTAGGACAAGCACTAACAGAGACGGCATGTAGATAGAGGCCAGGGGGCTTCCTGGACCCCCTGAAGGAAAGGTGGCATGCTCCACTCGGGGGTCAGCGGGAAGGACAGCTGTTCTCCTCGGACAGGTTGCTGGAAATGCAGGGAGGGCTGGGCTCTGAGCTCAGGGGCCACGCCCCTGGACTCCCGGCTCCAATATCTGGTTGAAAACTGCCATTTTGATTTTACGTTTTAAACTGTGCATGGAGCTGGACTTTAAAATCTCATAGACGTAGACACTCTCTGTGTACTGAACTGAGCACAGAGTTGGATAAACCGTGTTCCCGTTTTTCTTTTTTAGAAGAAAGGAAGGAGTCCCCAGAACGCTTTTGTAATCCAGCCAGCCTCGGTTGGCGGTCAGAGACTGACCCCTGGTGGCTCCTAGGAGAGTTCCCTTTGCCAGCGCCAGCGGAGGTCTCCTCCAGGCTCCACTGTGGCAGGACAGAGCAGGGAGGGTCCCCTTCCTTCCTCAGGCACCCACACTCCCGGAGTCGTGCCCCTGGGAGACCATGGGCTGGTGGGAGCGGAGCGCTGACCTCCAGGCACACCTTGTGTGGGCAGAGTGGTCCCCTTGCTGCCCCGCCCTGCCCCGTGCAGAATGGTGGTGACCACGTGCGCCTCCTGCCTCGGGGTCCTACCCACTCAAGTCAAAACGGAGAGAGAAAGAGAAAAGGAAAGAAAACCAAACTTCTTCAGCCCAGTTCTCTCCAAAGTTGTGAGCCTGGCTCAGTCCAAGGCCGAGATACTGGGGAAGATGTGTTCCTTGGGCAGATCGATGCGCGGGTCACCAGTTGCTGAAGGGTGCTGCCCGAACGTGCGGGTTCCTGTTCGGGTGTGGGAGACCAGCCGGGCTGGGAGCAGGGGCCGCCCCTCACTCCTGTGCAGCTTCGCCTTCTGGGTGCCCCAGGTTCACTGTGACAAAGCAGCCAAGGTGCCGGGGACAGTGATGCTTGCTCAGCACAAGCCGACTGCTCAAAGAATCTTTCCGGATGGTCAGCTTGGCTGCAGCACCTGCTGCCAACGTGCCGATAAACCTGAGCGTGTGGCTCACACTGACCTTCAACTTGGAAATAGATCAGGTCCCTTCCAAAGCTCGACTTCCACAAAAGGTTCCTCCAAAGGGGGGACTCCAGGAGTGTTATCGAGGAGAATGAAGTAGATTTATATTTTTGATTTTCCAAATGAATGTATTCTAATTTACTAGGTTAATTGTATTTTTTCCTAGTTAAACCTCTTCACTCAGTCTAACTCGAGAGTTTTTGAATCACACAGTTTTAACAGCATTCTCAATCAGCCAACACGCTATCAGGTAAGTGTTCACTAGACATCTCCCCTTGTCTGTCTGTAGTTCCGTGTCTGTGTGTGTGTGTCTGTGTGTGTGCATGGTGTGTGCAATTAGATTTTTCAGATGTACTATGAGAACAGAATAGAGCATGTTCAACTATGGAGGGAATTTTGTAAATCAGAGCCCAAGGTTTTTGGTTGAGGAGGAAGTTGTTTTGCTCTCTTGAGAACAAAATGTTGCCACAATTTCCGAAGGATGCTTACCCTCTGAGCGGGAGGAAGTGGGGTGAGATACGGTGTGTTTGGAAAGTAATGTTCTGATTCACTTCTTCAAATTCATTTCTTCAAATGGATTCTTAGGCCGTGCTGTTTCATCAGTGCTACTTTAAAATACCGTTTGCAATTTGATGTCGGATGTGCCATTTGAACACTATTTTCCAACTCAGAAGAGGTTCTAGTCCTTTATTTCCCATCTGGTTGATCACTTTCAATTATCCAGTCTTTAGATATATGATGTGTACAAGATCTCAAGAATGAGGAACAAGGAAGTTCTAATGTGTGGTGATGATAATGAATGATTATAATTCTGTTTATACAGTTTTTCTATAGCAGCAAATTCTGCAAAGTTGCTTGGCACACAGCCAAAGTCTGGCTTTTTGATGGTTATATATATTCCATTATATGGAGTTCTAAATTTGTCAGTCTTCTGTTGTTGGAAATGGATGCTATTGCCCATTTTAGCTGCTGCAAGGCGCACTGCAGCCAGTGACCTTGTACACATGACATTTGCGGTGGGGCAGTCTGTAGCACTGTCTGGCTACAGTGTAAGTGCATTCTGATTTTCTAAGCATTATCAAACTGATTTTGATGGAATGTGTACCAATTTAAATTCTTAAACTAAATCTATGAGAGTGCCCGTATCCTCCTTAATTTTCCAACAACGTGTTACCAAAGATTTTTCTCTTGCCCAGATGGTGAAGATGGTATCGCAGTGTAGTTTCACTTTACATTCTTTATCATGAATGAACTTGACCCTCTTTTTACTGTTAGTGTTCCCTATACTTAAGATCCAATATCTCTCTTTTGGTGGGCTTTTTGCTATGAATTAAGACGAATTCTCTTAAGGATTATTTTACAAAATCAGTCCTTTGTGCCATGAATTGAATTCCCCACTTCCCACCCCCCAGTGTGCTGTGTCTTTTTAATGGTTATGGGTGTTTTCCCCAACTTTCTGATTTTTGTGTAGTCAATTTTACAAATGTTTTTATGATGTCAGATTTTGTGTCCTGTTTAGAAAGATCTTCCACCATACGAGAAAAAAAAATATGTATTTTCTTTAGTACTTCCATGGTTTAACTTTTTACTGGAAGATAGTTGATCCACAAAGAAGATATTTTGATGCAACGCGTGAGATGAGGATTCCGATTTATTTTCCGGACGATGGCACAGCGGCCATGCTGAGTCATCTACCTTTTCTATCCATTTAAAATACCACCTTTATCATCGACTAAGTTCCTGTGTCTATTTAGAGACAGTCCTGGGCTGTCTGTGCTGTAGAACCACATCATCTTAATTCTTATAATTTAAAGGAAAATCACACCAATAAAATACATACACACACTCCCATGTCCTTACTTCAGGACTCTTATTTTACGTGGTTTCTCAGGCTCTTCTGTCTCGTTTATTTGTTTGAACTTTAGAGTCTGCGTGGCCAGTTTGCCAAAGACCCTGTTGGTGTTTTCACTGTGACTGTGTTAACCCAAGAGTGAACATCCTTGTCATGTTCTGCCTTTCTCGTCAAGAACATGATGTTTACCTGTCCATGCGCTCCGGTCTTCTCCGGTGTGCTTGGTGTCACCTCAAAGTGACCCTCATAATGCTCGTATTAATTAGGGTCCAGTTTGGTGCGAAGGACACAGAACCACCAAATACACCAGCCAGTGAGTGGCTCAGAGAAGACAGAAATGTCTTTCTCACGTTCAAGAAGTCAGGAGGTGGCCATTCCAGGCCTGGTAGGGTCCCTAAGGATGTCTGGGACCCAGGCCTTCTCTACTGTGTCAACCTCTCTCCCCGTCTGACAGGTTCTCAGGGCCCAGGAAAGCTGTTGGAACCCTGGCTATTGTTTCTGGATTCCAAGATACAATTAGAAGGCAACAGGGAAGGAAGAGAGGCCTCCTCCCTAGAAGGAGCTTCTATAAAGTAGCACAGATAGCTTATCTGCAGTGGAAACTAAGAAAGAAAGTTTCAATTCCAAGTGGCCTTGTGCCAAGCTAAAAAACAAAACAAACAAAACAAAACACAGGGAAGAGAATTGATAGTGCCTGCTGAAGTGGATTATGTCGTTTGTCTTGCGCTTATCTTTGTGTCTTTGCACATAATGGTATCTCTGTTACTTGGTTTCCAAGTTTCAAGTGTTATCTTTTGACCCTCCGGCCCTAAAAGATGAGAAAATCAATGTGCTTGTTTATCTTGTATCGTGTTCCCCCTTCTCCTCCCAGTTTTTGCTGGTTAAATCATTAGAACTGTAGGAGAGGGAGGAAAAAAAAACCTTCCTCTACCCATCAGGTTTGGCACCTAAGGCCTGTGAATTAAACTAGCAGAAGACAGATTAATGGGAGGGGGAAACAGCTTATTCACACAGGCTGAGCTCGCAGGCAGGGGAGAAGAGCAGTAACTGGGAGGGGCAGCGAGAACGTGGGGTTCAGATACCTACCCTCTGGGAGAAGCAACGAGACACAGGAGCTGAGGTTTGGGCTCCTGGGGGTGGGAAGTCCTGGGAGGTAAACAAGTCCGTTTGCAGGAAGGATGGTGCTGGGAGAGACAGGTCGGCAGCGGCTCTGGGAAGGGTGGCTTGTGCAGACCCGTCTCCGTGCCAGCCTTCGGTCCCGGTGACGGTGCCCGAGGGTGGAGGGTGAGCCCTTCCCCGGGGAAGCTGACCTCCTGCTTTTGGGGGGTGGGAGGGGCCGAGGTCACCCTCCTCATGTTCTGCTTCTCAGCGGCCTTCAGCTCAAAACAAGCCTTCTGCCCCTGTGGCATGTTTTGGGGTGGCCTCTTCTGACCCCCTTCCCTGCTCTGCCAGGGGTGCAGCCCACCTTTGTCAGTTGGAGCCCCGCAGCCGGTCAGTTTGCCAGTCTTTGCCGCGGTTTTCAGTTCACCTCTTTGTTGCCTGTTAGTGTTCTCGTAGAGTCTTCAGGAAGAGATCGTGGAAACTATGTTTTCTGCGTTACTTCGTGTTCTCAACTATTTTCTATTTTCTGTATGTTTATACTGACCAGCTGTAAAATTTTTGGACATGACTATTTCTTAACGCATGTGTGCACCTTGCCCCCACTCCTGCAGTGGCATGCTCACGGGGGGCGTTTGAGGCCTGGCTGAGTGCTTTCCGGCTGAGGTTGCGGTTCGAAGGACCCAGATTTTATTTTTATATCTTTTAAATCCAGTAACTTGCTCTTGATCGTTCCGTAGATGGCTCTGTGTGAATTTTCCCGACACACAGTACAGCTGTTCCATCTGCAAATTCAAGTCTTCTCTTCTCTCTGAATGATTTTCTTGAGTTACATCTTGAAACATTGTTTTTGCTCCATCGTCTGGGGTTTCGTCTTCAGACTCCAGCTAGGTGCCTGCTGAGTCTCCTTCGCCTGTCTTCCACAGCTACCATTTTTTTCTCTATTCCCTTTCACGTTTCAGCCAATTCTCCTTTTGCCTCTTCTTTCTAAACTGTATTTTGTCTTGTCCCTCTGCATGTGTGCGACCTCGGATCTACCTTTCATTTCGGTGGTGATTTGGGTTTTCCCTTCTTGAAAGTTGTCCGCTTATATATCATCTCTGCCTCCCTGAGGACTGCTGGACAATGTGACTTTTCTTCATCATTCCTCCTTCAAACCTGACTTCTAAGCTTCTGTAGACTTTATATCAAAAGGTCAAGAAAGAAAGAGTTTGTTTCTCTGTTTATGACTCTCCTTGTTGCTTTTGCGTAATTTAGAAGAAATTCCTAAACTCCCTGGCGAGTTCAAACGTCTCATGGCTGAAAACTGTTGCTTCTAAAGGAGACGACTCTCCCTAGATGCCCAGGGGCCCTGGGATCCTGCGCCGTTCGTGTTCTCTAAGGACAGCGGTTCTCTGCGCCGTGGCGCCATCCTCCCTGCCTCCCGGAAAGCGATGGTAGGGAAGGAGGAACTCAGAGGGAAAAAGTCTCCATCAGCTGTTCGCACACCAGTCGAACTTGGCCCAAATGTCTTGGTTATCTTTAGGTAAAACCTCTCGATTACGGACTCCGTGAGTGACAACTACCATTGGTTTAGTTGTTATGTGATTTTAATACACAACTTGCCTCAAAGAAATTCCAGGTCTTACTCTGCTAGACTGGGGGATTTCTCCTTGAAAGCGGTCCCTGTGGGATACAGTAATTCTAATGCTGCTACCAGGATTCAGAGCATTTTTGGACTATCTCTGAAGAATCGCCCAACGTCATGGAAAGGGCTGACCTTTGTCCCTGGTTCGAGCAGCACATCATCTTGGCATTCCCACCAGCTGTCTTTCCACCGTGAACTAAGGGACAGGCGGTTTCCACGTGGTGTCACCTGCGGGGCGAACCGGACCTCAGTCCAGCGTGAGGTGACTGCTCGCCCTGCGGCAAGGCTCACACTTGGGGCAGGGGTGCCTAAGTGTGTGTGAGCCGCAAATGTGCAGGTGAAACTCTTTGCGGGGTGCACGGAAGGCCGAAAACACACCTGGTCTTGAAGGGGGAGAACTCTGAGCGGGTGACCACAGTCTCCCCCGCAGCTGGAAGGGGAGACGGAGAGAGGTGCGCCTGCCCGCTGCCCGCTCCTGGTGGGGGACTGTGACCCGGGGGGCTTGGCTCGGGACGTTTCCAGGGAGCCCGAGCCCTGGGTGAGCTTCCAGAATGTTTTCTTTCCCCGTTATCATCCCTCTGGGCCCAAATGTTAGTTTCCATAGCCTTCTTCTAGCATGGTTTCCGATAAGGTTGCATAAATAGTTTAGAGAGATTGTACTAGGGAGTGTAGCGATCTTAGTCCTCAAACTTGATCTCTGCACGTGACGCTAACAAGAGCTGACCTCTTCTAAGCAGGAAGGGTGCTGTTACGTGCATCTGACTAGTTAACGCACGCAAGGCGGGAGCGGAGTCTCGCGGCCCCCATGGCGCCGATGAGGACAGGGACGCCGGCAGCGTTGCAGCCCACGTCCGCTCCCCGGCTGGAAGGGAAGGCCCGCGTTCGGGAGGAGGCCAGCGGGCAGACACGCTCGCCCCGGAGCCGCCCGTGGGCTGAGGCTGCTCCCCGGTGTCGGTCACCGCCGCCCCGGCAGTGCCCACGGTTCTCAGTGTCCCCTGCCCTCCATGTGGCGCGCCTGGAGGGCCGCCTCTCCGACCGGGCGGGGTGGGGTTCGGGGCTTGGCCGCGCGGGCGGCGTGCGCCCCCTCTGCACAGCTCCCTCACTCAGAAACCGGGCTCTGACTTGGGGCGGGCCTCGGTGTCCCCCTTTCCCTTCGGAGAGCCACTGTCCCAGGCCCGTTCGTTTGTTGAAAAGACGTCCCTTCCCGCTGACGGCGCTGCCTGCCTTCCCCGCGGCGAAGCGGGAATTCCTGTTTGCCGGGGAAAGGAAGCACAGAGGGGCCCGAGGGCTGTTTCTCTCTCCTCCCGGGGCTCTGTGCTCCCTGACAGGTGCCAGGGGCGGCTCGGCAAGCGTGCGGGCAGGTCTGCTGGCCGCGACGGGTGATGGGGGGCAGCCCGCCAGGCCCCCTTTTGTTCAGGCAACCCTCGTCTTCAGGAGTGGTGGCCTTGGCTTGGGGCAGGGGGCGGGGGGCACCCCCTCCTTTCCATGCCGGGAAAAAGCTCATGATTTCCGTCCGTGCCTCAGCCTTTTCCTTGCGGGGGAAGGAGGAAGCGGGCGGTGGGTTCAGGGCTGGCCTGGTGATGGACTAAGCCTGAGGGCAGGTGGCCGGCCCCTCCTGCTGGTGGCAGCGCGGACTCAGATCACGGGGGCCCTAGCGTCCTCGGTCATCCCGTTTGGGGGTGATGAACAATTCCAGGACAACAGGAGAAGTCCCCTTGGACATAAGGTAGTGTTTTATTGGTACCCTTTCTGGTACAAAAGTGTTAAATTGTCTTAATAGAGTCAGATTTATTGATCTTTTCCTTACGGTTTTTCCTTTATGTTAGCCTTTTCGAGAAGCATTTCCCTTTCCCTTTGGAAGCGGCTGCTCGCTGCATCCAGACCTTTTGTCCAGTCGGCGTGTGGCCTGAGGCAGAGACCCGGACTCGCCTTTCCCTCGGGCGGTCCACTGTCTCGGCACGACTTGTCGGAGAGTCCCTCCTTCCAGCTGCTGTCACCGCTGCGCGTTTCTTTGTACAGGAATCTGCCCTCGCTGTCCCCGAAACTGGATCACACCCTGGGTGTGTCCGCCGTCCTCGTGCATTGTTCCAGGGACGTTTTGTTTGTCGTTGCCTCCTGAGTTCCTCGTGCCCCGGCCGGCACGGAGGAGTGGGCTTTCCGTAAATATTGGTACGTGACTGAGTTCAGGCGAGTCACACCCACCCAGCTGGGAGTCTGTCCCACGGCCTGGGTGCCACGGAACTCGACGGGTTTTCTGTGCTACCGTGGCAGGCACGGTGGGCTTTTCCTGTAAGCCGCCTCCAGATCGGTCGTTATTTTCTGAGACAGATGTTTCGGGTCCTCCCAGATCCTTGTACTTGACCTTGGCTCCTCCCGGGTCACGCAGGTCTGTGATTTCTACGGCCTTAAAACCGGGATCTGTGTCTCATTCTCACTCTACGGTGGTCCTTGCTCACCTGCGGCTCCACCTCCCGAGGTTCCAGCCACCTGCCACCGACTGCAATCCAAAAACGTTTTGTGGAAAACTCGAGGAATAAACGGTCCATCAGTTGAATTGGGTGTGTTCTGAGTGGCATGATGAACCGTCCCGCCACTGTGCTCCGCCCCACGCAGGATGTGGATCAGCCTTTCTCTCTTTGTCCAGCGTAGGTGTCCGGCCTGTTGGTCACTCGGTAGCCGCCTCGGTGATCACGGGGACTGTCAGGGTATCACAGTGACGAGGGCAGTGACGCGGGCAGTTTGGATGTGACAGAGGGACGCCACAAAGCGCTTCCTTTAAGGGAAAAGGTGGAGGGCCTCCATTGAACAAGGAGAGAAAAAAGACCACACACCGAGGTTGCTAAGGTCCACAGGAAGAACGAGCCTTCTCTCCGTGAAGCTGCCTGATTTAGAAATTAAGCTTTATTATAGGTTTCTGTGTACAGGAAAGAGCAGTATTTATGCAGTTTAGTACTATCTGTGGTTCCAGGCATCCCCTGGGCGGTCTCGGAAGCCACCCCCATGGACAAGGGGGGACCACTGCGTCTGCATTTGAGCTCAGGTCCTTGTGCTCTTTCTTATCTTTTTAATGCGGCGTTTGCTATAATGCGCCCACGAATGTGTGCGCCATAGCAAGTCATGGAGCATAACTATGGGCACACCTATGGCGCCACCTCCTGCCACAGAAGAGCATCACCAGCCATCACCTCTACGGTAGGCGCCGCCCCCCAGCCCACGCCCTTGCCTCGGGGTCACTGGAGCCTGAAGTTTGGGTCTCTCCCCCTCTCACTCTGCTTTTCTTTCCAAACAATAGGCTTACTGCCTGTGTAGATCATCCTGAAAGTGCATCAGGCAGACTGACTTCTTACTGAGCTTTATAAGAATGATTTCATACTTCGGGAATTCAGTTTGAATTCCCCACTCGACATTTGTGCTTCTAAGATCCTACCCATGCTGTCGTGTGTGGCTCCGGTTCACTGATTTCTTTAGTGAACACGGTAACATCGTGTTGTGCAACCTGCCCCCGCGTGTCTAGTCTCTTGTCGATGCTTGTGTAGATTGCTTTCCGTTTTTGTTTTGGGGGGTAGTTTTTGCTATTTTGGACAAGATTGCTGTAAACGTTGTTTACGTCTCTTGGTCTACATACGTGGATGATGTTTCCCCAGGCGCTGTACCAAGGGGCGGACTTGCTGGGCAAAAGCGTCCCCAGATGTTCAGCTCTGACAGGAAGCGCCAGATTGCTTTTCACAGGGGTCTGTTTATACTCACGCCGCCACAGCGGCGATTTTCAGCTGCCCCAAGGACTTCTACAGCCTGCGACACCTGACTATCTAGTCCAGGGCACTGGCCTTGTTTCCCGTAGAGTGTCAAATAAGAAATGGCAACAGCCAACACAAGAGTAGCCGTCCAGTGTGAATGAATCCAAATTATACTTACGTTTTTGTTAGATCAGCACAAAATGCATTTTTTGCTGTGCTAAAGAATTTTAGTAACTAGTCTGTGTGTGCCATTACATGGAAAAGGCTGAAAATCTCTGCATAAGAGTATAAAAATCCTGTTGATCCACACCCTTTCCATACTTGGCATTATACGATTTATTATTTCTTCCCTTTTTAGATGTAAAATTCCATTTTCCTTGTAATTTGCATTTTCCTAAGAGTCGAGGATTGTTTTACATGTTTATTGAACATTCATGGTTCCTTTTCTGTGAAATCTCTGTCTTTTGCCCCTTCTTCTACGGGTTCACTGAGTTTGTCATATGGAGTTAAAGTTCTTCACATATTTTGAATCCAAATTCACTATCGGTTACGAGTATTGCCAATATTTTCTCCCAGTTTGGGGCTTGCCTGTCCACTTTCTTTATGGTCTCTTCATAAACAGAAGTTTTCACAAAATTTTAACTGCAACAAAGTTCAATTTGTCAACCTTTCTATTATGATTGGAATCTTTTATCTTGTTAGAAAACGTGCAGCTCTGAGTTTACACTCTTTGGTACTGTCTTCTGAAGAGGTGAAAGGCTTTGTCTTTCATGTTAAGATGCACGTTATGAGTTCACTTCTGTGCCTGGTAGGAGGTAGAGCTCCGGCGTAAGTTTTCCCTTAGGGATAAACAATTATCCTGCGAGAGCGTTCATTTAGACTGAATATGTTCACCCTACGTCTTGCTACGAGAGGACAGAGTAGAGCATAACAGAATAAAAGAAAAGGGACTGGAAGGAAGCACACCGAAGCAACAACAGAGATTCTCTTGGGTGGTGGGCTAGTTGATGACTTTATTTCTTTCGTTCTTCCCTGTGTTTTCCAAATTCTCTCTATTACGCATAGATTCAGGTTTGTTTGTTTGTTTTTTAATGGAGAGAAATAAGGTAATGTCTATAATGACATTGCAGTGCCAACACACCTGAAAGAGAATCCATACTGGAAAAAGAAATCATGAATTCAAATCTTCCATCTTAAGCTTTTTACAAAGCTTTTTCCGTTCTTGGGGGTGGGAAGGTGCTTGCGAATTATGCAGTTAGTCTCAGTAGAAGATAAAAAAAGAGTTGAATTCTGAAACCTGCGTGATTCCTCTGTAGAGAGTCATACAGACTTTCTCTCCCCGAGCTGTTTGCTCGGCAGGCATGTGAGGCTCTTTGGAGAACAGCACCCAGGCTACTCCGTGCCTCACTGCTGATGCGCTCCCCTCTTCTCCTCCGACAGCAGATCATGAAAAGGCTCATAAAGCGGTACGTCCTGAAAGCACAAGTAGACAAAGAGAACGACGAAGTCAATGAAGGTGAGCATCTCCACGTCGGGAAACATCCCCTTCCAACTAATGTGATGAACTCGCAGCACTTCCTAGGGAAGGAGACTTTAAAAATCCAGTCTCGGGAACAGTTTGGGTCCCTCCAAGACTGACAGGAGAATCTTAGGTTACCTTTCCAAAACTCTGTCTTTTTAAAGAAACAGTTTGACCAAGTCAACCATTGACAACTTATCCCCACTCAGAGTGCCCCAATTCTTAGCATGCAAAGACTGTTGTCTTTCTTTTACTTCCCGGTTACGTAAGCCGGTCGGTAGTTTCTATGAGTTCCCAGGAGTGTTAACACCTTTCCAGTGATGCAGGTAAAGTAATGGTTGGCTCAGACAGAGTCCACACTTCCGAAAAATTTTTTTTATTGTCCAAAAAAAAAATCTCTAACCCCCGCTTCCCATCCGTTTTTCTCTTTTGCCTTTCATATTTCTCCTCCACTCCTTATTTAAATGTGTCTATTTTCCCCGGTAAATCCTAGGCAGGGCACCCGTGTGAGCTATAAAAGTTTGCCATGAAAGGCTGGGGTGTAGGCCGAAGCACCGGCCCAGAGTTGAAAAGAAATCAGCCTGGAGAAATAAGTTGAAACTATAGCTTATCACACCAGCGAGGTGCCCGCACCTGTCTGCACTGAGAAGAGAAGAAAGAGCGCCAGGCATCAGCACTGTTGCTGGGCTGCGAAGCCAGTACTCGATGAATGCCAGGAGGCCTTTGCAAATCTGAGTCAATCCGCTGGTGTGTGTTTGTAGAAAAAAAATCTGCAAATATGCAAATGAGGACCAACCAAAAAATCCGATCATGCTGACCTAGAAAAAAATCTACCTTGGTGACCTTACGAGGCAAATGTGTCTATGTCATATGACTTTTCACTCTTTGTTCTTTCCTAAATCCAAAGAGCAAATTACTAATTGTGGTTGTTGTTTTGTTTATGCAAATACTTTAGGTGAATTAAAAGAAATCAAGCAAGATATCTCCAGCCTTCGCTATGAACTTTTGGAGGACAAGAGCCAGGCGACCGAGGAACTAGCCATTCTAATCCACAAGCTCAGTGAGAAGCTGGCCCCCAGCACGCAGAGATGTGAATGACTGACGTGTGACCCGGAGTGTGGCTCTGACTATAGCACAAACGTGGGCAATAATATTTCTAAGTATGAAGTACTTGAAAAACCATGGTGTAAATTTTTAGTACTAACTACCTTTATCATGTGAATCTTTAAAAATTAGGTCTTAATGATTTTACTGTTTTATCACATGCAGATGGTCTTCGTTTTAATTGTCCGCATTGACATCGTGCACAGTGACAAGCCATTGCATTGAAAGGCCCGATTACTGCCATTGTTGTCCATTTGCAAATGAACTGTACTATGTCTTTGCACTATCTGTTTGCCTCCAAGAGACTGTGCGGAAGCTCCTTGGGTCAGGGACCGCGTCTCATTCATCTTTGTGTCTCCAGCATCTAGAACAGTGCCTGGTACAAAGTAGGTGCTCGGGACATGTTGTTAAAACCAACTGAACTGAACTGCCAACTAGATGCGAATGCAAATACAGATACAGATACGAATGCAAATACAAAGGCCATCACTATGTAGCACACTTTCTCTTTTGTCCAGGCGCTGACGGGATTTTTTACAAAATAGACACTGAAGACATTTTACAAGCAGCTGTGACTCGGTCAGATTTTCTTCGAATTTTTGGCCTCACTGGTAACCCTAGAACCTCGGAGTTCCAAAGGAAGAATTTAACAATGAAATGGGTTCATAGAGAATATAGTTATGTTACATATTTAAGTTTCGTAGTATTGTTCAAAGCGACACATTAAAGATTTTTCTAAAGTATATAGTCTTTGTTTTCTGTCTTAGATTTTTCATTCGTTGTTTTTCAATCATGTGACTTGAGTCAGTGGGATGGCGGATTTTTATAAGGGGGCTCTGCAGGGTTGTTATTTTGTTAGAAGCTCCTGGTTTCTGCCTCTGATGCTTTAATGCTAAATAAGGCATCGACAGCTGACTTGCTGCCTTGCCCACTTGCTCCTTTCTGAGTTTTGGAGGGCGTGCTCACGCGCAGAAACGGGGCAGAGCAGTGGTGGTGCACGCACCTGGCGGGGGGGGGGGCCTAGCATCACCAGGTGGGCTTCATTTCCCTTTGACACCTGTCTTTGCCCTTGCGTCCAATGATTGACATCCTTTCTCTGATGAAAGCATTTCAGTTACACTTTCTATGCAAAACAGGTTGTGCTGTGTCTGTATGTGAATTACTACAGATGTTCTGTGACTGAGCTGGACACTGGTGACACCTACACTGCCTCGAGACTTTAATAGGGAAAGGGGACACAGGCCAGTAAGTTCCCTGTCTCTTCACGGACCCTGAGACACTCAAAGCAAGTTTTGGGGGGTTCTTTTGTCCAGGTAGGTTTAAATGTCTCACAGAATTATGCTTAACATCCTGATTCTCTTTTGTCTGTTCCTGCCAAGTCTTAGAGGAATACGAATTGTGATCACACCTCAAAGATAGTTTTATAGGCCCTAAACACCGATTAAATACATGATACTTAAAAAATCATTACTCTCACACAGTAAGCTTTCTAGACATGAAGACAAAAATGAACATGAAATGAAACTACGATGTAAAGCTCTTTTAAGACAATTTCGTAATTTCTTCTTGGGATTGTAAACAATTAAAATTAAGAAAAGAACTTTATACATTTTTGCTACCACTGTAGACTATTTCATGAACTTTTGTGCTATTCTAATAGTACTTTGTCTTAAACGTTTTTCAAACTTGATGTATTTTATGTTATGCCTCAGAACTGAATAAAATGTTGAATTTTTTCATTGTTATATGTTACTCTAGTATATGAAAACAGTAAAGATACGGAATTTCCATCATGAACAATGCTCTCGGTCTTACAGTATTGTCTAGGATTCTAAGTGTGGGCATTTTTGAACAGAATATTGAGTAACATTCCTGATTGGGAGTTGGGGAAATGTCGGATTCTGCTGGAGACATTCAGCCTAGGGTCCTTGGGGTCTCAAGTCAAGATGAAACTCACAGCACGTTTTCAAGTCCATGCCTCCCACGACTGTGGGGCCCTCAACACAGATCAGGCATGCCCCTCTCTGTTACGGGCTGGACCGTGCTCCCTCCCCAAGTTCATGTGTTGAAGTCCTAGCCCCCAGAGCCTTGGAATGTGACTGTATCTGGAGACCGGGCTGTACAGAGATGATTAAAATGAAGCCATTAGACGGGGCTGAATCTGACAGGTGTGAGCATGACAGGTGTGCTGATCAGAACAGGAGACGACACGACCTAGAGGGAAGACCAGGTGAGGATGCAGGTTGAAGACGGTCAAGGGGAGATGGCCTCAGGAAGTTGGTTTGGTTCCCTACTGACACCTTGATCTTGTACTGCTAACCATTTGGATCCTGTAAGAAAATGAATTTCTGCTGTTTAAGCCACCCAGCTTGTGGGGCTTTGTTATGCTGGCCCTATCTTTCCAATCCCCCTAAATTCTATAGCATTCTGATACAATTCTGTGTTATCCTATCTCCTCTATGGTTATTTTTCAATTTACTTCTAAGGTTTATCTGTGTTTTTGTTGAATCTAGTATATATTTCCCCCAATTGCTACACGGCTAACTCATTTCGGGGCATTATTTATTTTAATATGGTTATTTTAACCTCAGAAATTGTCTGGAACAACTTGGAACCTAGGCAAAACCTCATAACCTTCTGTTGGAAATAATTTATCTTCCTAAGAAGCACCTCTTCTCAGGGGTTTTATTTAAAAAAATATTTCATTTATTTATTTTTAGAGAGAGGGGGAGGGAAGGAAAGAGGGAGATAAACATCGAAATGTGGTTGCCTCTGACATACTCTCCACCTGGGACCTGGCCCACAACCCAGGCACGTGCCCTGACTGGGAATCAAACCAGCAACCCTTTGGTTCGCAGGCCAGCACTCAATTCACTGAGCCACACCAGCCAGGGCAGGGGTTTTATTCTTGATTCACAATTGTCTGTGAACTCTTCCTTAGGAGACCACATAAACCAGGAAAGGGACAGAGTCTGTTCACCCACGGTGTTTCTGCAGGCAGAGCATGCTGTGTGCACCAAGGCAGGACTGATGGACAGGAGTCGAGGATTGTCAGCTCTGGGTCAGATCCCGGGTCACCATAGGTGACAGCAGTCTGATGGTCCCTGAGGCCTTTTCAGGAGGTGTGTGGTTTTGAAACTATGTATTGTCAGAACACTGAAACATTATTTGCCTCCAAAAGCCGTGCAGGTTAATACTGCTGGTACTTCAGCATGAATCAAGGCACAGCTTTCAAACTGGAGTACTAGTCTTTCTTCTTCTTGCCCACATTGGCAGGAAACAAAAGTTTCAGGGAAAAACATTCACTATGAAGCAGTAAAAATAGTTCATTTTAAGTCTTCACTCTTGAGTATCTTTTTAAATACTCTGGGTGATGATATGGGAAGTATGTATAAAGCATTTCTACTAAACACCAAAGAACATGAGTTGTCTCAAAGAAAAGCACTGGTGTGATTATTATTTGGGTTGCTAGCTGAGCTCATTGCTTTTTTTCCCCGAAAGCACAACTGACAAATTATGATTATTCAGACTTCGCTATTTGGCATGCACATTCTTATGAATTGAAGAAGGAAACATCATTTCAAAGAAAACAATTGACATTTGTTGTCAAAGCTTAAAATTTGAGCCTTGACTCACAAATTAGAGTTTTGCAACATTTGTATCCACTCTCTGAGGTTGGCAGCTTTCAATACTTAAAATCTATTCTGATGAAATCGTTGGTGACAATAACAAAAGGGACTTTCGGATGTTGTATGATGAGGCCACCTTCCACACTGCAACCAACCTTCAAAAACTACCATTTGTTGAGTTTGGACCAAATGTTCTTCATATACTTAAAAAAATCCACACATGTACGAATAGACTGAATGCAGAAGGAGGCCCGGGAATCCCCTATTACTACCCCAGGGGACAGTAAATATATTTGCAAACAACGCTAGTCTTTTTACGTTTTTTATTTTAAAGAATATTGTTCTTTTTCACTACAATATTCATGCAATGATTTTATTTTTATTGTTTTTAAATTTCATCGATACTTTCTGATATGATAAATATCAATAGATAACTCATATAAACAAAAGGTCTGTGGGTTCCTCCAAAGTTTTCAAGAATGTTATAAAAGGATCCTAAGGCCAAAAGTTTGAGTACTGCTGCTATAAGCTGACGCCTATAACGGTGGAACTTAATTCCTTGAGGGATCCCTTTGCTATGTCTGAAAAATAGGTACGAACTTACCTGTCTTCACATCAACCGTTTACATCCAAAACCACTTGGAAGTGTGGCTCAGGCCGGCGGTGTGGGTGGAGCCAAGACTGAGTCTCCGGTCTCCCTGGAAACCACCGTTCCGGAGCTCAGGGCTTCTCCGTCACTGATTGGAGCAGGTCGGGAGAGGGGCGGGGCTCCCCTGTCGTCCGGGGGTCCTCTCCGGTGAACGTGTTGACGTCACGCCTGACGCCGCTGCCCCGACGCCTCGCGTTTGCGTTCGCGCCCAGGCCGCGGGAGCTGAGGTTGTACCTGAGAGGGGACGACAGCGGTGTCCCCTCGGAGGCCTGGCGCCCGGCAGGCTCCGTGCGTCCGGTCCCGGCCCGGAGCTGTCCTGCGCGTCCGAGCCGCCGTCATGGATCTGCATCTGCACCGCGCGGATTATTTACAGGTAAACCCCAGGGGGCGGGGCGGGGCGGGCCCGGCTCCCTGCGGGGATGCGGGGATGCGGTCGGTCCTCCCACTGACGTCGTTGCGGTCGCGGGAAGCGGGGCCGGCGGCGGCCCGTGGGGCTGGGAGTTGCCCTCGGGTCGCTCTGCTCTCGGGCAGCTGCAACTCGTCCGTGACCGCCCGCCCGCGGGGACTTGAAAGAATGTGGCGCCTTGGGCCGCGACGCGACCCCGCGTCCCTCTGACCCCGAGTCTGCGTCCTCCCCAGCCCCTCCCCCAGCCCCTCCCCGGAGCGCCCCTCTTTTGGTTCTGTACGCGGGACCCCACCGGCCAGACCGGCGTCAACCCAACCACGGCCGCAAACACCGCGGCCCCCTAGAGGACCTTCAAAGTGGGCCCTGTGGCCGCGGAGGAGGCGGGGGCTCGGAGGGGGCAGTTGCTATTAGAAACGGCCCCGGCCCGCCGAGCCGGCGGTCCTTCGGCTCCTGCGTCCGCCTGAGCTGCTCGCGTTCCCCACCCCGTTCGGCTGCCGCGGCGGCGGCGCGCGCTCGCCCTGCCGGCTGCCTGCCCCGGGAGTCGCGCCGAGCTCCCCCCACACCTTGCAGGCGCCTGGCTCCAGCGGCTCGCCGCGTCCTGCCGCGCTCGTCTCCTACAGGCCCTGGGATCGGTCCCCGCGTCCCCGCGTCCCCGCCTGGGTCGGGGGTCCGGGAAACAGCTCCCAGCCTCCATCCGCCCCTCCCTCCAGGCGCTCCTTCCCGGGCCTTGCTAGATCTCTGTTTCCAAATCCAAATCCAGAGACAGCCTTTTACAGGTTAACACCCTGGCGCACGGAATGACGCGGGGTGGGGGTGGGGGCGCTGCACTGCACGGGAATCCGTCCGCGAGGGCCGTTTTCTCCCGCCTGCCCCCAGCCCTCTGTGCAGGGCTAGGGACAGGTGCCCCGGGCCGCCGTGGATTTCCAGCTTCGTCCCTTCTGCAAAACCGTCTTCGGCGTCAGTTTTCTTGGGCGCTGTTGCTGTCAGGATGTTGGGCGTTTTCGCAAAAATCTTCTTCGCTGCATTTTTAATAACTGCTCTGTTTCCAAAGATGTTTAAGTCACTTTACAAAAACTCCTTAGCAAACTGTGCGAACTAGTAAAAGAAGGCTTCTGGAAATATATTTTTGTGAAGTATCTTGTCAGTAATGGCACAATTGATTTTTTTTTTTAATTTTTTGGTTTGGCAACACAAATTTCGACAAGCAGAAATCTTACTATTTGGGTTTGTTTTCCTTCTTCCGACGTTCGCGGCGTATTTCATTAGATAAGTTCGTCGCTGGTAACAATACGTACTTCGTATTTCGTGTCACTCCCTGAGCCTCGCAGTGAAACGTAGAACCGTGCTCTGACTCTGCGGATCTCCGCGGCAGCCGCTCAGATCACGGACCAGGAGGGCACCCGCGGGTGCCGCTGTGTTCCCGTAGGTGGGAGTCACCTCGCAGAAGACCATGAAGCTGCTCCCTGCCGCCCGGCCCAGTGCCACGCAGAAGGTACCGTGGGTGGGGCCCGCCCCTGCCCTCTCTGCAGCCCGGACACCGGCCAGGGGGAGGCGCCCTTCCTTGTGGGGGAGTTGCTCCCTTCGACACGGAAATGAATTTATTCATCCAATTATTTGAACAGAGGTTGGGATACCATATTAAAATAACCTGACCAGGCAGATTTCCCAGGAGGTTCTCGCTGACTTCCAGGCGTCCAGGATCCACCCTTCGCGAATCCTTGGGATACACTGTTTTACAGATTACTGGGGTAGTGTATCGTCAAAAAATGAAAGCCATAGCTATGTCTTTTTCCGTCTCTGCAAAGGTCCGTGACTCTGAGTAGGTGAACATAATTATTTGTGCACACTCACTGTTCCACGGCGAGGGCCCACGGCCTCCACCAGATGCACAGAGGGGTTTGTGGCCCCCTAGAAAGTTCACCGGTGGCCTGGGAGCAAGTCTGCACAGTGTCAGCATTGTTGTACTTGAGACTTGTTTTACACCCCAACACGCGGCCAATTCTTTAATGTGCCTTTGTGCTTAAGAGAACATTTATGCTTTGATTCTTGGGATGAACGACTTATTTACATACACACGTTCTCACATGTATAAACATGTTCATATATGTAAGATCAGAGATAATCGTTTTTCCAGCCTCTTACCTTTTGTCTTCTTGTGTCCTCTTGTTACCAGTTTTTGAGAAAGAGATGTTAAACTCTCCCTCTCCCTTCACTTCAGAGTAGTTCATTGGTCACATTCAATCATCGTTGAAGCTGAGTGAGGGGTACATGGGAGTTCACTCTATTCTGTCGACTTTTGCCCATGTGAAAATTTTCTCATTAAAAAGGTTTCAAAAGTATCAGATAGATCAGTCACAACCTTATTTGATAATGTTTAGAAAATTAACCTTAAATTGTTCTCGTGCTCCAGTTCAGGGAGAAAGCGTGCACCCCCGACACACCTGCCCCTGTTCTCGGACCCCGCCCACGCCGCAGGGGCAGGACGCGTGGCCCGCCGCCTGCGCAGCCGCTCTGCACACGCTTCTGTCTGGCTGTGCCCTGTAGTCTCTGGAAGATTGTTTTTCTGGGGGGGGGGGTCCTAGGTTTTCTGATTTCTGCTTTCAATAATCATAATTTATATATTGAGAATATTGTTTTCTCCATTCACAGTTAGTAGGGAATAATAACCATAATAATTTTAGATTCTCTTCAATGTGTTACAGGTGGTTATTGGAGACCACGATGGGGTGGTGGTGTGCTTCGGCATGAAGAAAGGAGAAGCAGTGGTATGTGTAGCTTTTTTCCAGGGGAGAAAAGGAATTTGTAAAAGAGAAACACTCCTTCATGAATAATCCTAGGTTAAACATTCTCTAAAATACAGTGAAACATGGGCTGTGAGGGAAGTAGTTAAAGGACGAGGCTGCAGCCGTCACAGGAGTCCCTTGCCAGCTGTTTGTAGAACGCCTAGGCAGCCGGGGTGATTGGTTAGTGTTCCAGGCTGCAACGAGTTACTGCAAACCTGGAGGCTTAGCACAGCACGTCACCACTGTCTCCGAGTTTCCGTGGGTCGGGAGCCTGGGCCCAGCGTTTCCTGGGGCTGCCACGTAGATGTCCACCGGACCCCGTTCCTCTCCCGACTTGGAGCCCTGTTCCGGGCTTGCGGGGTTGTCCTCGCTGTTGTAGGACGGAGGTCCCCACTTTACTGCTGCCTGTGCACCAGGGCGGTCTCGGCATCCTGAAGCCCCCACAGTTCCTTGCAGTGCGGTCCTCCCACAGCCTCTCTCCCAACACGGCGACCCGCTGCTCCAGAGCAGCGGGAGGACCTGTGGCGTCTGCCAGCGTGGAGTCTTACAGGGCACAGTGGCGCCTGGAGTGACTGTCCCGTCACCTTCGCCACCTCGTGTAACCTAATCCAGGGCCTGCTTATCACGTGGTCACGTTCACAGATGATAGTTTACAAGTGATGGGTTCCAGGTGGGAACTCTCCTACGCACTACACTTTGTATGGAATCTACAGAAAGATAAAGAGGGTGAAGCTATCAGAAACTCAGCGTTTCCATCATTCATAATCCTCTCAGATATTTTAAAGTCACGGGAGGAAGGGGTGGGCGGGAGAATCTGATGGCAATGATAAAATGGAAAATAAGCAGGGAGAAATTAATACTAATGTTTCCTATTAAATAGAGAAATAGTAAGTGAAGGTTTCCAGTAAATTACGTAGTTCTTCATTTATACTGCTAAAAGTCATAAATATAAAGAAACCAGGAGAGATTGATTTAAAAAAAAAAACAAACTTAAACTGTATAGACATATCCAGTGGAACCAGCTGGGGAATCTTGTTAAAATGCGGATTTTTATTCTGGGGATTGGGGGCTGGGCCTGAGATTCTGCATTGTTTATCAAGTTAGTGCTACAGTGCTGCTGCTTGGTGAACCCTACTTTGAGTTGCAAGAGTTTAGATTTTTTTAACTTTATTGTTATTGTTGACACTATCACTGATGTCCCTCCTCGTTCCCCCCCCCGCTTTGCCCACCTGCACCCAGCCCCACCCCCCCTTCCCTCTGCCATCGCCTCACTGTTGCCTGTGTCCTTGGGTTATGCACGTTCTTCGGCTGATCCCCTCACCTTCTTGCGTCCAGTTCCCCCTCCTCTAGATCTTAATGATGCCGTTGAAATACGTGTGGGAGTAAGTATGCCAAAGTTGGACCATATTTAGCAAAAAACCCCACTGAAGTAAATACATTTGTGTCTGAAAGTGTTTCTGTGTGGTAGTACTACCATGTTTCTGTGAGTGTAAGACCCCAGCACTTTCCAGTGGAGGAAAACACTTGCGGTAAGTTTGTGCACTTACTTGTCCCCGATGATCTTTGCAGGCGGTGTTCAAGACCCTGCGCGGGCGGCCGGTCGCCAGACTGGAGCTGGGGGGCGTTCTCAGCGCACCCCGGGAGAAGATTTTTGTTGCCACGGGGTCTGAGATCCGGGGCTTCACAAAAAGAGGGAAACAGTTCCTCTCTTTTGAAACGAACCTCACCGAAAGCATTAAAGCTATGTATGCTTATTTTCTCTTTTATTTTTCTATATGCGTTTATGATATTTTGGATCGGTGTCAAGCAGTTGATTAAGTATCTTAACAGGTTTTCTGGGACATAAAATTGACTAAAGGTATTTTTACTAGTCAGAAATTAAATTTGAGCTAGACTCAATATGAAATCAACTGGTTGTTGAAATATTTTTTGTTAGGACTTTTATAACATTTATACATTTATTTTTTGACTGATGGGTTCAGTTATGACTGGTGATCAAGGTATAAAAGAAAAGTGAAAGAAATCTCCAGACATTTAAGTTCTGTTTCTTTGCTGCCTCTGGAAGGGGTCCCCACTCACCCATCCTTCCCAGCTTACAGCTTCCATCTGTCTCACTTCTGTCAACAGTAGTGATCGCTGAGAAGTGCTTTGGACAGTGTAGTGCAACTATAATGCAGATGCATTTCAAAATGGAATTTCAGATCTTGAAAAAGATGAGGAATCTCATCGGGTTGGTGGAAGTGGTACTGAGAGAGCCGCTGAGACGATGCGCAGGGCCGCAGAGGGAGGCCGCCCACGCAGTACACACAGACGAAGAGCTCAGCGAGGGTCATGACAGGATCGGGAAGAAGCTTAGTATCAAGTCGAGTTTTAACTAGACCTTAGAGGTGGGGAAATAGGTGAAGCCTTCAAGTAAAACCATAGCAACCTCTTTATGACCACATGGTAATAGCAACTGGAAGTGAAAGATACACACTAGTGTGTAATTTTTGTCAAATTTCAGCTCTTCCGTGGAAAACTTGATTCAGTCTTAAAATTTTGGAAATAGTTGTGATTATTCCCTAAATTTTATTAAATATAATTTGAAATGAGTTTATTTTCATTTCTTTTTTCAAGATAAAATTCTAATGAAGGCATTTTTTCCACTGTTTATCATTTGAAGTGGATTCTCTTCAAACAGCCTTTTCTAGGCAGTACTGTGTTGTGATAAGAATGCTAACTCTCCAGTTGAAAACGACCTGAGTTGCAATTCCCTCCACTGTCCACTGGGGGGGTGCCATTGGGCACGTTACCTAGCATTCCTCACCGGGAAAGAGGGACAGTGGTGGTCCCTAGTTCAGAGTGGTTCATGCGCGTGCATCACTCAGGACGGTGATTCAGGACAGCGCCTCGCACATAGTGCACATCAAAAACAGTTACTTTTTGGCACGCTGTTTGTCTTCAGGTGCAGAGTTACTATCTTGACTTTGTTTTCAGTTGTTGCTGACCTCAGTTTTTGAGAAGCCTGAGGCCTTTTCAGAGCCTCATTTTCAGGGGTCAAATCAGTGTTGTACGAAAAGGCTAGGAATAAAGTGGGGAGAGATGAAAGAAAAAAACCCGTGCATTGGGGCTGTGACGAAATGACCGTGAAGCCGTATGAATGTAGAGTTTTGTGCGTGTTTCGGGGGTACGGGCGCTCTAAAGCCTTGTGGGTGTTCCCAGGCACGTATCTGGCTCGGACCTCTTCCTCGGCGCGGGCTACATCTACAGCCACTACTGCGACTGCAAAGACCAGCACTACTACCTCTCCGGGGACAAGATCAGCGACGTCGTCTGCCTGCCGGTGGAAAGGCTGGCCCGCGCGACGCCCGTCCTGGCCTGCCAGGACCGGCTGCTCCGAGTTTTGCAGGTGGCTGCTGTTCGCGCTGTTATGGTTTCTCCTCGTTTGGGTTAAGGAGTCCTGGTGAACAATGTCTCCTTGAGATGAATTATCGATTACTGCCTCTTTAAATGTTCTACTTAAAATTATATCTGGGAATTAAAAAATATATATTTTAATAACTATTTTTTTTTTACTTGAGGCACATGTGTTCAGACCTTTGGCAAGTTTTTAGAGAGGCTTGTATGGAGAAAAGGATGATTTCCCCACCTGCGTGACTTCTGAGCTAATACAGTCAGAATGGAGTACCTTCAGAGAACTCTCCCCAGCTTTTTATAATACTTTCCTTTTCTGTTTTTATTTTTCCATCACCCTCCCCTCTCCCAACAAACCAAATTAAAGGAAAGGTTCTTGGGATTTGACAAGAGGTAGTTGAGAGCAGGGTTTATCCTTTGCGTGTATCCACTCTTTGTGACAGGATGCGGGACAGAATAAGCCCTCAGTACATACTGGCTGGGTGAGTGATGGATGGTAATGTTGAAAACCATAACTTGCTCAAGACAACTGCTTAAGGCCATCATCATTAGTAATAACTGTTATAACTATGTCTTCTTGAAAGTAATTTTTCAATAAAATACACACACCAGGGCCTGTAAAATAAAGTTTAAGTGCGAGGAACGTGTAACGGGTGGCTGGATCGGTCCAGAAACTCAGGCCGTGGTGGTGCAGTCGGGCCGAGTCCAGCTGTCCGTCCATCCGTGCGCCGCGGCGCGGGCTGTCTCTGGGCCGCACAGCAGCTGGCACTTCGTGGCGTCAGCCTGTTCATAACAACGGGGGACATGCGGTGGTTCTGTGAGGTTTCTTTCCCAGAAGGGGAATTGAATACCGTTTACGGCTCACTGGGAGGGCAGGAATGAGTGATTTCTCCCCTTGCCTGTGCTCCCAGACTCGCGTTGTTTGAATTCGGCTTTTAACAGGAACAGGCTGGCGTTCGCTTAGGAATTGATGTGGCTGAAATCTAGGGTTCTGCTGCTTTTACAAGAAGAAGTCCATAAGCTTATTAAAAAAAATCAGCAAGGATTTAGTGAAAGCAGAAAGGCGCAGTCTCCCCTGTGCCCTGCGCACCCAGGCTCCCGTCCGCCTTGGGGGTGGTCTGCCGCCCCGGGGTGGGGGGCCTTGTTAAAGCAGTCCTGTGTGTATTCTGCTGTGTTAGTGTAGGTGTGTGTGGACCAATGAATCTTTCCATGTTCGTTTAAATAAAAGATAGAGCATATGGCTCTCTTACATGGTTTCTGTATATTTACATTTTTTACTACGAGTTTGCAGATTCTTTCCGTTGAATGCTTTATCATAGATGTTCTTTCCATGGGCGTGTGAGTGCTGCTGCCTCATTCTTCCCAGCTTCACGGATACCGTGCACGAAAGCACGGCATTACCAGTGGTCAATGGAAAGACAGACGAAAGGACCTAGCCTGTTCCCGTGCCTAAATGCGGGCCGCCCTGCCTCTCACTCAGTGGGCTTGGGGAACACCCAAAGGCAGGCCAGACCCTTCCCTGGGACGAACACCAGGCGTGTTCAGAGGTCTGAGAGTGCTGGTGTGGAAGCCCTGGGGGGGTGGAAGCCCTGGGGGGGCGGAGCAGGAAGCTGCCGGGTGCCTGGGGCGCTTCAGCGGGACGCTGACCAGTGTCAGGTTTCGGGCAGGCGCTTAAAATGCAAAACATTGCAAGTGGAGAATATTTAAATATTTTTCATCTTGATCTTTCCATTTTATATATTATATTTTAAAATGAGTTAACATATGCAGAATTGTTCACAAACACAAGTTAATATTCACGACCTAATTTTTTCTGCAGTTTTATTCTGGAGTTCTTTGTAGGAGTATTGATATTGTTTGTGCGTGCCTATATTCCTTTAAATTGATGTTCTGTTTCGGTTTTAAAATGCTCTCTTTCCCTCAGGGGTCTGATGTGCTCTATGAAGTCGAAGTTCCCGGCCCACCTGCTGTCCTAGCCCTGCACCAAGGAGATGGCGGTAATCAGCACCTCGCTTTTCACAGTCGGGGCGGGCGGTGCCTCGCGTGCGGTCAGGGGCCTCACTGCACTGGAGGTGAACGTGGGCACTTGTGGCAGGAACAGGAGCCGGGACTGAGACGACGGCCTTGTCTCACCACCTGCCAGTCCCCAGCAGTCACGAGTTACTGCACCTTGATGTTCCGTTTTCTCACCTTAAAGTCGGATGATAAGGAAGAGTCGTACCTCAGTCAATTATAAAATCATGTGAATGTAGAACCATCTTCCTGAATTGAGTTTTCTGTCTTTGTGTGTTATTTTAAATGAGATTATTACATGAGTGTCAGTACACATGAGAATACTTGAACTGTAAAGAGGTGAGTTGCGGGGTAAGTACATGGTGACTTTGACTGTGACCAGGTGACTCTGGAGAGGACCTCCTGTTTGGGACGTCGGACGGGAGACTGGGGCTCACGCAAATCACCGCGTCCAAGCCAGTGCACAAGTGGGAGGTTCGGAACGAGAAGAAGAGGGGAGGTATGTTTTCGATGTAGGTCCGATTCTGAAATTTTTGTGATTATTAAATAGAATATCCTAGGCGATACAGTTCATTCCATTTTATTTGTTCATAGCACGTATATAACAGACTTAGCAATTCACGGAGCCACCTCAGCTGTGTTTGCTGTTTGTTCATTCACCAGGTCTGTCATATTTGTGGCATGCTTTTTTAGAATGAGACACTCTGAGAGTAATTTGGGAGGGTCGTGCTCCTACGGGCTAATGTCCATCCGTAACATCGTCCTGTGCTCATGCGCACCCCGAGTCGTTTGGTGGGGAATTAGATTCGGGCGCAGCACTTGGTCTGAGGCAGAGAGGAGGTGCAGGGCGCAGGGCGTCAGTCCTGCTTTCTCGGGAGTGTACGCTTTTCCGTGGTAACCCGTACCTGACTCGGTAGGCAGTGTGATAGGTATTTGTAAGGACAGCGTAGTCACTCATGTATATACTCCCTCAACAAGGCCTTCTGCGTTAGGGGAGACAAAGGATGCACAAGTGTGCTCCCCTTGTCTATTAAAAGTGAGTGAATAAGGTGGCTTCAGCTGGTCACCGAAGGACACCGGAGGGGCAGTGTGCCAGAGCGGGCGCTGGCCAGAAGGAGGGGGCCTCTGGTCGTGGATGGTACCTCCCAAGGTGTGAAATTTGAGCTTGGACCTGAGTGATAGGAAACAGGGATGTAAAGCTTCGGGGGGAGGGTGTTGCAGGAACAGGGAGGAATGCGGGCAGAGGACGCAAGGCAGCGGTGAGCATGCGTCGTCTGACCAGCAGGCGAGGATCAGCATGGCCAAGTGCGCGAGTGCGGCTGAGACGAAGCCAGAGAGGCCCCCGGGGGCCTTGGGGAAGGGTTGGACTGTCATCTGCGTGCACTGGGAAGCCGCTAGAGAGTTGTACGTGGGCTAGGATGTGACCCAGTTGACCACAACAAACAAAAACGTTCCCTGGAAAACAGGTTTTGAAGGAAGCAGGTCAATACCAGTAGTATGGAAGTCGGTTAGGAAATGACAATAGCAGCTGTTGCCATTGGTCCTGGCTGGGCTCGAGATGCTGGCCGGTAGCCTGGACTAGGCTGGTGGTCTCCGCATGTGCAAGGGTGGAGGCAGAGCAGCAGGGTTTGCTAACGGGTTTGACGGGGAGGTGAGAGCGAGAGCAGTCCGAGAGGCGGTCTCCGCTGTTGGCCTGAGCAGCTGGGCGGTGTCGTGCGGAGGGGAGGGGAGGCCAGGGGAGGAGCGGGTGCCTAAGGGGGTGGGGGTGCTGTTGGGGAGGAAGGTCTGAGGTGCAGACGATGCCTCCGGGAAGATACTGAGCACAGACTCCAGTCTGTGAGTTTGGAGCTCTGGAGGGACCACCAGAGCCAGGGATGGGAACTCGGGGGCCACTGCCGTGTGGATAGGACTTAGAGCCTTGCACCTAAGGGCACCTGAGGTGCCCTTGGGTGAATCTGTGGACGGAAAGGGAAAGGGCACCTGAGCACGGTCAGGGTGTTGCTTCGTTTGCTTTTGTTCCCGTTTCCCCATCCCGATTTTGTTGTTCTTGTTTGGTGTACACTTGACTACAGCACTGGTATTACTAATAACTCGCCACTCGCTGTTTTTACAGGTGTTTTGTGTGTCGACAGCTTCGACATTGTGGGTGACGGGGTGAAAGACTTGCTGGTCGGGAGGGACGACGGCATGGTGGAAGTGTACGCTTTGGATGGTGCGAACCAGCCTGTGCTCCGCTTTGAGCAAGTGAGTTCCTGTTTAGAGTGTGCCAGGGTGCCGCGCAGACCTTCCGCAGGATACCTGTTGTTGCGTGTGTCCGTGTGTGCAAGTGCACCAGATTGCAGTATAAAATCCTGTCTCCAAAAAGCTCAAAAACCAGTAACCTGAAGTGCCGGTTAAAGATACAGATTGCTAGTTGACTCACCCACGTGATTACTCTCAGAAAGTTTGGGAAAGTGCTGCTTCAAGAGATGTGAGCCCGGAACGCTCTGGAACAGTTGCCCTCCCTCCGTGGTGGCACCTTCCGCAGGGTTCCCTGGAGGTCCCGTCGTCCTCCCTGTCCCTCTAAGGAGCTGTTTGGAGAGACACACGAGACAGGGTCTGTGGACTTCAGGTAGTAGACTAGAGAGTTTTGCTTACACAGTTTTTAAAAACTTCTTATGTGTAAATAAATAATTTTTGCTCTTCAGACGACTATTGTAGCTGAGTGGTACATGCAGATACGTGAGCCATTTTCGATTGTCTTCCCTGAAATTTAAAAACACTGGAATTTTCTGACGTTTGTGCCGGGTTTTTACCTTTCCAACCTCAGTGTCTGCATATCGGAAGTATTCAGTAAACGTATGTTGAATGTCTGAACACAAGAAAATAAGTGTTGAGCCTTATTATTATAACGTATCTGGAAGTCTTAGTTACTAATAAAGTGCTTGGTCTTAACTCTATTTCAGGCGCTGTCTGAGAGTGTCACCTCTATCCAGGGTGGCTGCGTGGGGAAAGATGGCTATGACGAAATCGTCGTCTCCACGTATTCAGGTGGGGTAAACGGTAGTAGGTAGTTTAAGAGGGAGTCGATAGTAAAAGATGTAAATTTAATAAATTGCTTTTGATGACTTTTTAAAAAAGTATTAGTCACTATTTTTCATCTTAATTTTAATTGTCTTATTTACTTGTTCGTTGAATTTCTTGGCATGACAGTGGTTAATGAGATGACATAGGTTTCAGGTGTGCAGTTCTGTAATACGTTATCTGTATATTGTACTGTGTGTTCACTATCCCAGGAAATCACTCTTATCTACAGCATTAAAGGCTTTATTGGATAAAAAAAAGTCTTGATTTATAAAACAGTTAACGTTTAAAGAATACGTTCCAAGAACGCTTGGGTCCTGGCCGGTGTGGCTCAGTGTGGCTCGGTGTAGCCTAAAGGTCGCACTTTGTCTCCTGGTCAGGGCACACACCTGCGTTGTGGGTTCATTGCCTGGTCGGGGAGGAAGGGCGAGCGGTCGATGTCTCTCTCAGTGATGTGTTTCTCCCCGTCTCTCCCTCCCTTCCCTTCTCTCTGAAATCAGTAAACAGGTCCTTGGGTAAAGATTTAATTAAAAAAATAAAGGAATGTTTGGCATATCACTAGTATCTTTAAAAGTTAAGTGATATTCTTTACTTTAAAAATAAGTTTGTGTTTTGTTACTTAATATACATTTATATAAGAATTAGGTATTTCTTATGAAAAGAGGTTAACCTAACATGACAGTTTTTGAAAAGCAGTTCTTAATTCATCAGCTATTTTTGCATTTGCTAGAATATGTTGATTTCATACTTGAAAACTGAAACTGTAAATGAAGGTATTTCAGGCAAAGCAAATACAGTCTCACAAAATGCTTAAGTACCGTATTTTTAGGACTATGAGATGCACCGGACCATAAGATGCACCTAGGTTTTAGAGGAGGAGAATAGGAAAAAAAACATTTTAAAGCAAAAAGTGTGGTAAAATATTTAATAACCTGTGACCCCGCTCCACCACCACTCCCCCACCCCCCCACAGCGAGCCAGGTAAGCTACATTTGGACTGTCAGGTGCTCTCCTATTTCCCCCAAATTGGGGGCAGTGCGTCTTATAGTCCGAAAAAAATGCAGTAATTTATTTGTGGTTTGAATATTTTCCAGTTGAATTTCTTTTGGTTTCTGTTTTGGTTTGGATTTTGAAGAGGAGTAAGTCCTCGGAGTACGTGAGGCTGGTGCTGGGGGACGGAGGGGCACGCAGCAGCTCGGCCTCCGTCCGACACCGGCAGCACCTGCCCCACGGCCGCAACTGTCCCCCCGCAGGCTGGGTGTCGGGCCTGACCACGGAGCCAGCGCACGGGGAGAGCGGGCCCGCCGAGGAGCTCCGACTCAGCCGGGACACGCAGAGTAAAATCTCCTCCTTACGGTACCTCGGGCTTCGGCCTGCCTGTCTGTGTTCAGTTCATGGAGTTGCCCTGTCACTACTCACAGGCACAGCATGCTAATCACGGAGGGGGACGTTACACAGTTAATTCATTTATGACTTCAAGTTTCAGTTTGAGAAAGTTAGCAGTGAGCACTGATTCATACTTTGGACTTTAGCAGTGTACGTTTTGTATGCTTGATTGTAATTGACTTTTTCTCAAATCGAGAATTGTACACATTTGTGCTTAGTTGCATGGAGTCGGCGTGGTTTGGTTTTACAGGCATCAGGAAGCAACCAACCCCGACGGCACTGTCCCCCTTTCGTTCCCCTGCTTCCTGCCCCTTGGGCCTTTCTGACGCTCTCACTTGGGCTTGTGAGTTGCCTCAGTGGAAACGAGGGCCGGGGCTTCCTCAGGCACAGGGATGGCTCTTGTGGCCTGGTGAACCCGACGGTTCCTTCGAAGAAGGCTCGAGTAACAGGGCTTCACACCGTGAAGAAGCGGGAGTAGCTGAAACTGTTACCGACCGGCCGCTCTCCCTGCTTCAGGTCTTGCCGGCCTCCTGGAGGAGTGAGGGCCAGTGGTTTTGGTGGCAGTTGAGGGTGACGGCAGTGTTCAGTGTGGCAGGTGCCACTAGTTCAGGAAAGCCGCGCCACCCCGAGTCCTCCCACGCCAGCTCCCAAAGCCACAGGACAGCGAGCTGTGACATTCCCGCAGTGGGGGTAGCCCGTAGGGTTAGTGACGACTGGCTCCCTCCTCGGTGCGACACTGTACGTGTCCAGCCAAGCCTGCCCCTCCCGACGTGGCCCATGCGCAGCTTCGGTCTGTCCTGGTCACTCAGCACCTGGACGTAGGTGCGCGTGACGCGCTCAGTAAATGTCTCCTGGACGCCGGGATCTTCCCCTCTGTCACCGCACACACCCCTTCCAAGCTCCTCCCCAGACTTTCCCTCCTAGGCCCGCGTAGCTAAGCCCATGTGGTTCCACCCCAGTGACTGTTCGCCTGACTCCCGCACGGCCTCTCCCGGCCCCTGGCGTGACGGTCCGCAGGGCCTGCCCGCACAGTTCAGTGTCAGCAGAGTCCTCCCCGACGCCCGACGGCGCGCCAGCTGTCCCACTGGCTCGTGAGCGCCCCTGTGGCCCCCAAAGTGAAAACGCTGCAGCCTCCTCCTGCTGTCTCTGCTGTTCCCATCGTCTTCCTGGAAGGGGCGTGCTTACTGCCTTCTCTCATTATTCAGGCTAGCGTCTGCCTGTGCCCCTGTGCCGGCAGGCCCTCCTCCGACGAGTGCTCTAGGACGAGTGCTCTAGGCACCGCGTCCAGGGGGCTGCGTTAGAACCGACTGCAGCCCCCTCCGTGCTGACAGCTTTTTATTAACGTGTCCGGTGTGGGGCTGAGCAGGTGTTTTAACGTTTAGGTGAGAGGCCAGCAGTGCAGGTTTGGTCAGTCCTGGAAGGAAAAGTTTTGTCACTATTAGTGTTACAGTTATAGCTCAACCAGTAAAAATCCATTTCGCACAAGTACATTTCTGGAAATTTTACAAACATTCTGAGAGCCTCAAACGCCTGCACTCACGGTGACAGAGCTGTGCGCCCCCCGCAGGAGTGAGCTGGAGCACCTGCAGCTGAAGGTGCTGCAGGAGCGGGACAGGTACCAGCAGTCCTCGCAGTGCGGCAGAGCGAAGTCGGCAGCGCCCTCATTCAGCATAAACGACAAGTTCACCTTGAATAAAGACGATGCCAGCTACAGCCTCATGTTGGAGGTGCAGACAGCGATAGACAACGTCTTGATACAGGTAAGCAGAACGTCCTAATTTCTTCGTTTTGTTTTTCTTTGGACTAGATCTGTATGCACACCAGTCAGTCATATGCACTAATTATCATCCAACACTTAGTTGTAGAAGGTGATTTTAAATGTTATAGTTAGCTCAGATGGTAATTTTAAAGGTTTTCTTAGTCTTCCATTAGATTATCCATTTTCTCATTATAGCTTTACTTTTATTTATTCTGTACATACTGAACAAAAGACGGATGGACATAAGCTTCAGGATAAATCAGAAAGGACATTAAGGACTTGGTACTTTGGCTGACCTTTAGGGAGACCCTAACAGAGCTGTGACTTAGAAAACTCAGTGTTTAACGCCCTTCTCAGAACCTTCAAGTACTGGAATAAACAGCCTGCTGTGCAGCTCGCTCATCAACCACCAGTGCTTGGGAGGCCGCCAGGCAAAGCGGGTAATCCCAGAGGTGGGGTTCAGGGATGACGGTGTGCAACTTCATTCTTCAGTATATTTAATGATTTTTTTCTTTAAGCTGGAAGATGTTCAGGGAGTGGAAAAGGATGATAGTATGATGAATAGAAAGCAAGCAAATAATAGAAAAACCCATCAGCAAATGAGAACAGAATAAAGGGAGGAAGAAGACAAGGTTTAAAAAGATGTTGAGGCGAGATCAGATTATTAATCAAAACCTGGAGGCAGCAATCTCTTCCACCTAACCTGCACCCAGGGGCTGCTGCGTGACACTGGGAGCATCGTTCACACAGGACCAACTCAGCAGCGTGGTCCTCAGATCTGCTTCTCCCTCCGGGGGCCGGGTGGAACGGGGATGGGGCTGAGAGCCACGAGCTGGCAGGCACGAAATAGCCCCGGGGGCGTGGAGTGCAGCGTAGGGAAAGCACTGTTGTGCTGAGGGTGCATGGTGCCAGGTGGGCGCCGGAAACACCGGGGTGGGGAGGGGGCTGTGTAAAGGACGTGACTGTCTACCCACTGCACTGGACACCCGCAGCTAACTCTAAATAACATTGAATGTGCACTAATTGAAAAAAGGACTTCCTCTCCAGAAGAAACCAAGAATTATGCCTTTTCTTGTGTTATAGCAGCTGGAGTTAAGATCGATAAAAATGAACTGATGTAAGCAGAAGGGCAGTATTTGCAGTGTGTGGGAAAATTTTAGCACCAACAAAAATAGAGAAGTGTGTACTTGTTTAAGGGGGTAACGAGAGAGGATGTTCTCTGGCATCTGGTATTTCAAGTGAGGGAAAACAGGTTATTACAGTATTTTATCATCTATTATATTTTCTAGAAGTACGTATTACCAAATATACGTTCAGGGAATTCGTGCTTTCACATTTAAGGTGAACATGAGGAAAGCCCGTACAGAAGATAGATTTTGGAAGGAATTTCAGTTCCCATCTGAACTGTTTTTTGTTGCTGTTGTCTTGAATGTTGGCCGTAGAGTGACGTTCCCATCGATTTACTGGACGTGGATAAAAACTCAGCCGTCGTCAGCTTCAGCAGCTGTGATTCGGAGGTGAGTAAAACATACAAAGAGTTCTTCCGACACTTCCGTTTCTATTTTGTTACTTTGAACGAAGCCTGTAAACACCAGCAGGGTTCCCTGTTTCTCCTTCAGTTTGTCCTTTCATAACCTTTCCCTCAAAATCTGCTGCTGCGCTCTCTCTTCGCCCTCAGATAATCCGGAAACCGGGTGTTGTCCTGGATTCCTCCCCTTCCCTTATCTGGGAAATCCAATTAGTCCCCAGCTCCCCCGGCCCCGCCCGCTCCGCTGCCTGTCCTGCCTCCGCTGCTGTTAGCTGCCCAGGCCTCGCTGCGCTTGCTTGAACCCCCGACCCCTTCTCTGTGCTGCCGGGATCGCCCCTCACCCCCAGCTGTGCTGCTGCAGACAGCCACCAGAGGGGTGGTCCTAAAGTGCAGACATGGGGACACACAGCACCTGGAGCTGGCGGGGGGCTGCACTGAGGGAAAGGGAGGGACAGAACTGCAGATAAAGAACCAAGTCGGTAGCTGTGTGAGGGACTCGTTTTCAGTGTCATGTATTGTGATTGCATAGTAAAGCTGCTTTTTTCTCCAGAGATTTTATAACAGTTGCATTGTGTTATATTTGATTTATCATCCTGTTTATGAATTAAAATAAACATTAGGGCCTTCATTTTTATAGTCATTTAAAAAGTCAAGTTAATATACATATAAAATCTTTCATTCCTAAATTACTATGAAAGATAAACCTGTTTTATTTACATCACTGCTGGATTCTTTGGAATGAGTATTTTATATTAATTTAAGACCTGTTTTCTGGGATGATAGTCTTACAAAAACCTTCCTCTTACTATGGAGATTTCAAGTGCATACCAAAGTAGCCCAGTACCTTTGCCTTCCCGTACTCCTCAGGACCTCCACACCTGGGGGTCCGGTGTGGTGCTCTGCACCCTCCCTCTCCCTTCCTCATTCCAGCCCCGCCCCAGGCGTGTTACCGCCTCTGATCTGTATCACTCATCCGGAAATACTTCAGTGCCCAACGTTTGTTTTCAATCACACAAAAATGTGTTTATTTTTAAGTCAGTCAACCCTCCGTGTTTACTGAGTTTAAATGATCTGAAATGTAATGTTCAGACTTTCTTTTTGACATTGGCATCCTTTGTATTTCTTAAGTTACTTATTAAAAATAGGGGATAGCAGTACATGAAAGTTGCATGTCAGATATTTCATGTTTTTCTTTACAGTTCATGAACCTAGGTGTATTTTTTATTTTAGTAGCTTAATATTTAATTTCAAAAAGTTACAATACCTGAAATTACCTCTGCAATTTAATTCAACAAACACGTATTGAATTCCTCCATAGGCCATGTGCCGTGCTACTTGGTAGGAATGCAGAGATGAGATATTTCTCAGTCTTCTGTCAGTATCTGTGCAAGTCAGAGACATTGTACACCAGACATTGAAGTCTTTGTCTTTATAATATAAACACTAGGAGTTTGCACCATCCGTTACATTATTAGGAGGACAATTAATATTTTAACACATTGTAGTAGAGATTCCCAATGGAAAGAGCATGAGTTTTAGAGCCTCAAAGATATGAATTTGAATTCCAATTGCATTACTCACTGGCTTTGGGGAAATGACCCAACCCCTCCTCGTGCCTCAGTTTCTTCATCTGTTGGAACTTACTGAGTCAGGCTTCCCGCATCGGGCTGTTGTTAGCACAGTCCCCCCAGGGGACAGGTGCTCGGTAAATGGCAGCCATTTCTGAGGCTCTTTCTGCTGTTAAATATCTGGATTCATCATTTTCTTTAATTTCGCATTCTTCCCAGTCCAACGACAACTTTCTTCTCGCCACGTATCGGTGCCAGGCAAACACCACAAGGCTGGAGCTCAAGGTAAAAAGTGTCTGAAGTCACCTTTACTTTAACGTCTGAACTTTGTTTGTTCTGTTGGTAGAGCTTACAACATGTCATTTCTTTGCATTAAATTTCTCCCTAAAATGAGTCATTTTGGAGTAATGAGTTTTGTACGATCTGTTAGGCTCAGAGCACTATCTTCAGCTCAGAGCACTATCTCTGCTGTTATCACTTAACCAAGCACCTTCGCTAAAGTGGCCAGTCCTTAATCCCCTCCAACTGGAAACTTTTTTCCTAGTTTTCTGTTACAGGAAGTTTCAAACGCATGCACAAGTAATGAGTCCAGCTGCAGCTGCAGCGGCGGCGGCTCACGGTGACCTCGTTTGTATTCTCACTCTCCAAATCACTCCCGATTAATTTGAAGCAAATACAAGATATTTCATAATTTCATTTGTAAATATTTTGGTACATATGTCTGCCTGTGTACCAGTCATGATCCCAATAAGGTCGTTTTCTTGTTGGTTAAAGTGTCTGAGCGTTTGCCCTATGTTTTCCCGCTCCCTGGGTTTCCTGGCTGCGTCCCAGTGGTACCAGTGTCTGTTCTAGAGAAAATCTTCTGCAGTTTTTTTTTAGCAATTTAGTAACATAATCATTTGTATAATTACATACTAATTTCAACACAGAGATCTATTTTAGTTATATAAATTTGTAGTGTGAGATACAAACATTTATTTTTCATACATTTATGATCTAAAAATTAAGGAGGACTATAACTTTTTTCCTGCCGTTGCTGATCTAAGACCCAGAGTATGTTATTTTCAAGAGAGATGCTGCTACACAATTTTTCTAATATCTGCTTAGGGAATTCCAGTTAAATGTCATTTTTTTCTAAGTAATTCTAGTCCATATAAATCCCCTTTCATATATTTTGAGAGAAAAATTGAAAACTAGGATAAATTTATGACTAAGAAATCTATTTAAGTATATTTTATGTTACCTAATTAAGCATTTTAAATTACATTTTTACTGAGTAAGATGGTGCCAGATAATTTGGAAGTAGGCCTAAAAGATATTAAAAAGCTATGTTTTTTTAATGGATACAATAACTTTTAAAGTTCAGAGAAAAGACTAAATGCCTGAAAAGAGTCAAGAAAACTACGAGAAAGAAGAAAAGTTGGGACCTACCTAGCCATGTGGTAAACATGCTGTAAAACTACTATAATAAAGGTATTGTAGGGTTTGCAAGGCCTAAATAGTTAGGCCATGCAACAAAATACCATCTAGGACTAGAAATCAGCACACAGTATGGAAATGTAACGTGTAACATTTTTATGTAGGGAAAAATTCTACTAAGTTACTGTTCCTCTTTAAAAACTGATGTTGGCACAGCTGGCACCCATTTGGAAGAAAATTAAGTAGATCCTTATGTTGTATATAAAAAGTGTTTAGGTGAATTAAGCACCTAGTTATTTAAAAAAGAAGGAAATGTACTTGTCTTCCAGGTAGGTAATGGGTGAATGAATATCAATGAAATACTAAGACTGCCCGTCAGTTGTTATAAAAAAGACTGCCTAAGAAGGAAAATAGGCAGAGGATATGGATGCTTTATTCACGGAAGAGGAGATCAAAATAGCTAACAAATATTAAAAGAACATGTTCTACCTCGTGATTAGGGAAATTCAGATTAAAAGAACAAACCAACCAAGCAGGGTCTGCCCTCTGACAGGCTGGCAGACCGTTTCTAAGGGAGCCTCCCTCCCGGGCGCAGGGCTGCAGGAAGGGCACTCGGTCGCGGCTGGGGGAGGCGCAGAGCCCCTGCGGGGAGACGGGCGGCGGCCGTCCGGAGGGCTGGGTCGCAGAGTTGGGCCACTGTGTCACACGCACCGGAGTGGAACTGGTGGGTTCATCCCAAGGAATACCGCGCACCCGTGATCAAGTGTCCTGGTAACAAGGAGCGGGTCCCGTGGAAAACACAATCACAGATGAGACCCCGGCACACGCGTCTGTTTCACAGTTTATGGGGGCTTACGTACGGAGAGGGCGCGTAGAGGAGCTCGCCTGTCGGGTTTGGTGGGTCGCACAGCGGGGTGGGGGTGGGAAGGAGGTGGTGTTTCAGGGCGGGCAGTGACAAGGGGAGAATGTGGTTGCTGGAAGTAAAGACAGAGATGCTTGTGGTGTAAACAGACTTATTCACGTGGAGCCCCAGGTGTGTTTCTTGGGCGTCCGCGTGGAGGGAGAGACTCGGGAGAGGGCGACTGCCGGAAGAGCGCGCCGGGGGCGGAGCCTTGGGCGGCGTGTGTGTTCATCCTGGTTTTCTTCGTTGTCGGGTTTTATAGGTAATGACTGTGAACCACGGGATCAGAGAGAGTGTTACGACCTTTTATTGTGGAAAAATTATGTTCAGTGTCCTCTTTAAGACTACGTGTAAGCTAACCCTTTAAAAATAAACCCTAAAATACAGCTTTTTCAGATATATTTTTAAATTTTCTTTCAATGTTTTTATTCATTATTTTCTTTTTGTCGTTCCTATCTTCCCATTCAGAGCAATATTTGCAGTGTAACATTTGCAAACAGTCTTGCTTTAAACTAGTATTTATGTTTCTATTCAGGTAGAATATTGATTTTTTTTTTTCCCTTTCACATGCCAGGAAAAGCGTAAGTTAAACTATCAGAGAAACCACCTTTGTATCACAAAGGATTTGTGATCATGGCCTGGTTTCCAGCTGGGAGCAGCTGTGCAGGGCAGGGAGAAGCTGGGCGGCCTTCAGGCCCTCCAGGGTCAGCGGCTCCTTCCTGGGCGGGGGCTGGGTCCGAACTCAGGCCACATCCAGCACGGCCCCCGGGTCCCGGGTCTGAGTTCATCGTGGTGGGGTGTGAGCTGCTGCTCCATCCTCACGGACAGTCCCCAGTTAAGTTCTTGGAAGCACTTCTCTCTCTCAGCAGATTTTTATTATAACAGCATCTTTATGCTATCATCCCCTCATTTCTGAGAAATTGAAATATTCCATATAAGTTTTAGTTATTTGGAAAACTGATCCCTTCAACAAAAATGTCTGCATTTTAACCATTTTTGATGTGAATCTTATTTGTGTTTTTAAATACAGTAGGGTAGTATGTGACAACGTGTGCCTTTCGGCCTGACACGGCATTGCTAAGTAGAGACGTTTCACCTGAAATGTATGGGGGTGACTTTTATAGACGGATCAATTGTGCTTTCAACTGCCAAAATGTTTGAAAATCTCCCTTTACTGATAAAAAGTAGTTGTTTAATAGAATGCCATTATTTTCTTCAAAATATTACAGAAGAGATTAAGGCCTAAGAACTCGATTACTCGTGTTGAACGTTTTAAATACAGTGCTTACATTGCTAGATTATTCTTACTTTCTGTTCTCTCTTTCGTCGGGTCAGGTTCGCTCCATCGAAGGCCAGTATGGCACCCTTCAAGCCTACGTGACTCCAAGAATTCAACCCAAAACCTGCCAGGTCCGCCAGTACCTCATCAGGCCCCTGTCGCTCCACCAGAGAACCCACTGCATTGACCGTGACAGGTAGGACGGAGGCGGGGCAGTGCATGGGGCACGGACGGTGCACGATGCGGGTGAGCTTGCCTTTCATTCTTGTGGTGCGCGCTCTGGTAGGCGCTTGGCTTCTTCACTGAAATGCCGTGGACGAGGATGTCCGGTGGGCTTCGGGGTCTCCGTCTCCTTTCAGAGGCCCGTGGAGCCGGGCCTCCTGTCTGTCCCGGAGACTGCCGTTCCGAGGTCAGCTCCCTCTCGCGACACTGTCCTGAGCAAACGGCCTGCAGCTTTTCAGCGTTCTGTGTACAGGGCCTTGACGCGTTAGCCTCGGACACGTAGTTCCTTTCCACTGCAGCTCAGGAAGTCACTCCAGCAGGGGCATCCGGCCTTCTGGCGTCTCTGCGCCACACTGGAAGAAGAAGAGTTGGCTTGGGCCACACATTAAGTACATTGTGCATGTAATCACAGAAAAACTCATGATGTTTTAGGTAAATTTATAATTTTGTGTCGGGCCGCATTCACAGCCGTCCTGGGCTGCGTGCGGCCCGTGGGCTGCAGGGTGGACTCCCCTGCCCTGAGCAGTTGACGGTGGTCGTCCCTGTGCGTTCTGGCTTCTGTTCCAAGTGAAGGATCCTCCTGTTTGTAGGTTTCCTCTCTCTCTCCTGAAGATGAGAGACCACGGCTTAGATGAAGGAGAAGGGAAAGAAACAAATTACTGAATACTTTCCCTGTGCCGTGCATTGTGCTGGGGGCTTAAGTATCAGTTAAGTCTTAGGGCAAGACTGGTAGTAATGCCTCCGTTTTACAATGAGAAACGGATGTTTGGAAAAGAAGTAACTTGCTGACGTAAGGGACAGAGCTGTGATTTCAGACCAAGGCCCATGTGTTTTCTATTGCAGTGGGTAACTTTAAAGATAGGTAATTTAAGTAAGCCGTAAGGAGAAATATTCCTCAGGAAGATTTTTTTGAAAACATGAAAGAGGCTGGATTCTTTTGGGGTGTCTTCCTGCTTCAAAGTCAGGGTCGTCATTAATGGTGGTAGTGTGGCGTGCTGGAAGGGGCGGCAAACAGGGAATCGGGAGACTCAGATTATGATCTTTCTTACAGCTGTTCCTGTGTGGCTTTGGGGAAGTAACTTAACCTCTCTGGGCTTTCATTCTCTCATCTGCAAATGAGAGGGTTGGTCTGGATGATCTCAGAAGTCCCTTCTGGTGTTAGGTTCCTTAATTCTGTTTCTTCTTAAGATTTCTTCTGAACCTTAAATTCCACCAACCTGACGTTTTCTTAACTCTTTGTAATTATTCACTTGATTTATTTAAACTCTGTTTGAAACCCTCGTATGTGTGCACACGTGTGACTTTGCAAGGTAGATGGTACTGTTCCTTAACTCGCCCGGGGCCCACATCAGTGCGGAGCAGGGCTGCACCCCACGGCCGTCTCACGTGAGAGCCCGGGTCGGGGCCGTCACATTGTGCAGACGACTTCCCCGAGGAGACTCGCGTCTGCGTATGCTTGCGTGGTTTGTGTGGTAGAAATACTCGATGAACTTGTAAAAATACAGAATAAAAAATATAAAAATATAGAAAAAATAAAGAATTATAAAAATATAATGAAAAATGAATCTACCGGAGCAAACTGCATTTTATTTGTAAAGCGTGTTGTAATGAAAACAAGCTATTTATGTCACTTAACTGAACATTGAAAGCAGAGATATAGATAAGCACTCATTTTTTCTGCATGAGATCAAAATGTTGATTTGTCTGATGGGTAAGATCAATGAGAAAAGTTAAATGGGCGCCCTTATATGTGTTCAGCTACTGCTGCAGACTCCTGCTGGTGAACGTGTTCTGTACGTAAGATGCCTCCCGGGTCTGCAGACCCGAGCGTGTGCCTCTGCTGTGACTTGCAGGCCCGTGAACACGCTGACTCTAACGGGCCCGTTCAGTTTTGCCGAAGTTCACTCCTGGGTGGCGTTCTGCCTCCCTGAAGTTCCCGAAAAACCTCCGGCGGGCGAAGGCGTGACGTTTTACTTCCAGAACACCTTCCTGGACACGCAGCTGGAGAGCACCTACAGGTGAGTACGGCCTGTCACTGGCGCACGAGGGTTTGGACATAAACGGAGCTTCTAAATTTTCATTTGTTTGAAATAACAGAATTGAAATCTGTACTGTTCTAGAGAATCTACTGAAAAACAAGTAAAATGAATGTGTTTTTAAAAATGACTGAATAAAGATGAATATGAAGATCAATACATTTCCCATTTCCGATAATGACCAGTTCTTTGGGAAAAAAGAACCTTTCAGATTAGCAATAACAATAACAGAATGTTCGTATAGAAGTGGCAGGAACAGTCTTTATTAGAAATAGGCAAAAGTTACATGAAGAAACTTTAGAACTGTATTGACATAACTTGATTCAATGGGGTGATATTTCACCAGTCCTCAATACGAAGACATTGTAAACTTGGTGGCCCTTCCCAAATGGATTCAAATGCTAATTATCCTAATTCCAGTAAAGAAATTGCAGCAGAGTTTCTCTATGCAGAGACAGGAAGTGGTGCAGGCCCTCGGAGCCGAGGCCGTGCAGGTCTCGAAGGCCCCGTGTTCTGAGGTGGAGTCCCGGGCTGCGTCCCCACTTCACAGCCCCCCCGTGTCCTGACGGCCTCCCCCCTGTGTGACTCTTTATTCTCACTAGTCTTAGGTATTTATCGGGTTTTTTTAAGTATATGGTAATCTTTTTATGTAAGCTTGTGTCTCTAGATTATAAGCTCCTCATGGGCCAGGTCTATTTCTTAATCATCTTGTACGTATCCTCCAAGTACACACACAAGCACGTGGCTTTGAACACAGGGGCACTCCATTAGTGTTTGGAGGCATCCGAGTAAAACGCGTGCGCTCGAAGGAGGCTCAGAGACGTGTGCTTCGGCGGCAGACCCTCCGAGGTGCGAGCCTCGGCTCTGGGGCTTGCCGGCTATCCGGCCGCAGCCGGTCACCTTCCTCTCGGAGCCTTAGCTTTCCCTTCCGAGGACTGGACGCAGCAGCACTACTCCCTGAACTGTGATGGTTACAGAAGATAGGCCTTGTGGTCCTGCGTGCTTAATATGAAATGTCACCAGTTGCAGTTAAAGACGAGTGGGAAACCTCATGATTTCTAAAACATCATTGGGGTCCAAAGAGTAAGTCTGTATTACTCATCCTTCTAGTAACAGAAGAAAGAAATCAGTGTTGGCCTGTAGCTGGTCAATGTAAACTGTTTGTGTGTATGAAGATAAAAAGGGAACATTGAATACATGAGAAATGATGTATGTTAATTAGGGGACCTCTGGCCATCATAAAAAGCAGCCAGACACAAACAGGCTTACCCGAGTACGAGAATTTTTCAGCTCCCACACGTGCAGCAGGAGCCCGCCCGGGACCGCTGATCGGCTCCGCTGGTGGCAGCAAGACCCGGCCTCTGTCCACCGCTCGGCTCTGTCTGTGCCTTTCCTTGGCTTTCCCGTGTCGTGCCCTCGTGGCCCCCGCCATCTCTGTCCAGCTGTCTGTCTTGTCAGCAGCCGCAGAGCCTCTCGTTTCCACTGGTCCCGGGACTGAGTGTCAAGGTTGGGCCACAAACCCACTGTGTTCAAGAGGCTGGAATACATCACTCAGTGCTTCCTCCTGCAGCCCCAGCAACGGGGTGTCAGCTGGCCAGTGCCAGTGGCACTCTGCGGAGTGAGAAGGGGGAGAGAGAAGTGCAGAGGAGGGTGGAAGAGGGGGAGACAGGGAGACAGAGAGGGAGAGAGGATCTCTAAAGAAAAGCAGGGTCCTGTGACCGGAAGCGGTGGCAGTGGGTGCTGGGCACAGCAGAACAGAGGTGGCTCTGAGGTTTGCTGCCAGCTCCAAGGGGGAAGCATGTGGTCATGCTGTCCTTATGTGAGTGCGTCAGAGAAGACACACTTGCGTGCGAGGGAGCACCTCTGTAGTTTACGTTCCGAAGGCGCTAGCTGCTGGAAATTGTACTGGTGAGGACGAGTGAGGTCTTCCAGGTGAAGGACGCGCGAGTCGGCCCGTCTGTGGGAGGCCGTCTGCCCGTCTGCAGGTGTCGGACGTCTGCTCAGGCCCGCAGACGCGTTTGGGGCCTGAAGTAACATCGCAGTAAGAGGTACACGTTTAAATATGCTCTATATTAATAATGTGTATATACGGAAACCTAAAATCAAATGAAATCCAAACACTAGTTACAAAATATGCATTGACTGGGTGTGTTTTCTTCTAAAGCTGCTTTTAAAATGATTAATTTTGTAGAAAAGGAGAAGGAGTTTTTAAATCTGACAACATTTCTACTATATCCATCCTAAAAGATGTGCTCTCTAAAGAAGCTACAAAAAAGAAAATTAACCTCAACATATCATACGGTAAAAAAAGAAAAATGAATCTTTTTTTGTTTTGTTTTATTTTTTGGTGGTTGTTGTTACAATAAGAATGTTTCTGATCAAAACAACTTTCTAATTGTGCCTGGCTCAACTCCTTTTAGAGATAAATGAAGTATCAGTCAAACATACCTTAGAGCTAATCCACCCAAAGCTGGAGTACCAGTTGCTTTTGGCTAAGAAAGTGCAGTTAATCGATGCTTTAAAAGTAAGTATCTGTGTCATGGACTTACAGTCATTATTTTGCTCTGATGGGATTTCTGAAATTGTAAAGACTTTAAAGTTACACTGGATTGAAACGTGGACATTAAGTTGCCTCTGTTTTTAATTTAAAATAAGGAACTGCAGGTTCATGAAGGAAATGCAAACTTTCTGATACCAGAATACCGCCGTATTCTAGAAGAGGCGGATCACCTACAGGAAGAATACAAAAAGCAGCCTGCACACCTTGAAAGACTCTATGGTCAGTGGACTTTTCCAGAACACCTTGCCACGTTTCTTTCCTACTGGCTCTTTACGGGGGACCATCTGAGCGAGGCTGGGCAGAGGAGGCAGGCCAGGGTTGCGAGCAGTCACGAACCTGTGACAGCCGGTTTGTTGCTCACAGTATTTATGTTGTCGAGTTCATTTTAATATTTAATGTTTTTACTTGACAAAACGCAAGTGAAATTAAGAACCAAAGTAAGTTTAACAGCATGGATTTATATATATGAAGAAAGCTGGTGTGAAATGAGTATAACCTATGAAGCATTAACATTCAGGCCATATTTCATACGAGTAAGTTTCAGGTTTTGTTGCCATTGTGAAATGTGAACATGCAGCATTAATTTTTAAGCATAACTTAATAAGGGATATATATGTGCCGCGTCACCCCAAACTCGTTTTGCTTTGGTGGTAGAAGCTGGCTGTTTCATAAATTACGTTGAAAGCGGGAAGGCACAGCTTCAGTTTTGCGATCTGTACTGGGGGCCTGTTGCACGTAGCACACTTACTTATTTACAGCGCCTTCATGATCAGGTGGGGTGTTTCATCCTTACAGCAGCTTTGCAAGGTAGATGATGTGATCTCCATTTTTCATACTTTTTAACGTGAGATCTGAGACTGAAGAATTCATGGTCACATCAGTAGGTAGTGGAAAACCCTGCAGACCTCCTCCCCCCAAAGCGCGTGCTTTTGCACTGAGTCTTCTGGAGAGTTGAGTGGTGTCATAGGTCTACACTGATCCTACGCCTGTGCAATGAGTTTCTTATTTTATACCCAGAGCCCTGCTCACAAACTGCGGTAATAGTATCTTAGTGTTTCTTGTCTGGCCAGCACGTGATTTCACCCTCGCAGCAACTGAGACGTGGGGGGCACAGCCACCGCCTCTCAGCACCAGTCCCGCAACCCAGAGAGCTTCGGAAAACAGAGCTTTCTCCACAAATAATTTCTTGTCCCGTCTGACTTGGTCTGACTTAATTTAATGACAGCACTTCACTGAAACTGACATGAGTTTGTTTATATAGTCTTTTCCTTGCCGAAATCCATGTAGATTTTCATAAATCCACTTTCCTTTTCATAAATCCGCCTAGTGTAGTTATCCATACATTTTGTTGCAGAAACATTGCTGTGTTTTGTTATCGAATGCTGCCACTCCCTGCCCTTGGGTATCGTGCCATATGTGCTGTATTCCTTTTATTATCTTTCTAAACAGTGAAAAATTCTGAAACACATCTTGTATCTAGCGTGAATTATTCCCATTGTACAACTGAGAGAACTTGAAAGGTGAAATAATTTGCCCAGATCTTTGAAATTAGAAATATTTGCCTTCAGGTCAAATGCCAAGAATGATCGTCACATGGACGGCATATTTCAGTCTAAATAAACCTGTTAAAACCAAAGCATTGCAGGTTCAATTCCCAGTCAGGGCACATGCCTGGGTTGTAGGCCATGACTCCCAGCAACTGCATATTGATGTTTCTCCCTCTCTCTCTTTTTCTCCCTCCCTTCCCTCTCTAAAAAATAAATTAAAAAATCTTAAAAAAAAAATAAACCTGTTAAGAATAGAATCTCTACAGTATGTCAAAATGGTCAGCTTCTTGTGACAAACAGACCACTTGGGGTGTCATAAACACCAAGAGCCGTTCAGTACTGGTCAGCAGTTGATTTGGAAAGAGGGTTATTAGCCAAGTGATTTATATTTTGAAACTTGCCTTAAAAGCCCCCCAAAATAAGTATTTTTAAAGCATCAGTACTTTTAGGTTTGTGTATAAATAATAACATTACAGGTACTTAGAATAGACTATCAAGAAGTCATTTACTTTTATTAAATACTATGTCATTAATTAAAACTAATGAATGACAGGAAATTAACATTTTCTTTATAGGCATGATCACCGATCTTTTTATAGATAAGTTCAAGTTCAAAGGTACCAATGTAAAAACCAAAGTACCTCTTTTGTTGGAGATTCTGGACAGTTATGACCAAAGTGCACTGATTGCTTTCTTCGATGCCGCATGAACATATAAGCAAGGTAACGTTCCAGAGAAATGTCTGTTTAAATGAAATGTTAAAACAACATTACAGGCTAAGTGCACATGTAGTTTTACTTCAAGTACTTTTAAATATTATCTAAAAATATTTGATACGACTTTTTAATGTTTCTGTTTCCTTTAATGAATGCAACCATTTAAAAATAAATAGCATTTTTATTTTAAAAGTACAAGTGGAATTATTATAAGGAATTTTAATAAAGTTTTTGCAAATGGATGTTTTAACTTTTATGTTGAGAAATAATATTTGGAAAATAAAAATACACAGTGTGGGACAAAAGAAGGTTTACAGTTCATATGAAGAATAGTACAATAATGAATAAATAGTAATATTATACAAGAATAAACTGTTTTGCCTACTCACAACTGTAAACCCACCCTTGCTCCACCCTGTGTTTAAATACTGAGTGATACCCACACATTATATGTATAAACTGCTTTACATTTTCCTGAATGTATTTATATTAACTCTTTTGATTTTTACAACATACATCATTTTGTCAAATCTCATAAGAAAACTGATTTTCACTAAGGTTAAGTGATGAAGAGGACATGCTATTATTTTGTAAAGCTGGGACTAGAACCCATATTTGGGCACCTGGTTTGTGTCCTCATTATGATGTAAGCTGTCAGCCCGTGGAAATGACCTACCAGTTATTTTTTCTACGAGTTGAGACCGATTTGTAAGTGATTTCACTGTTGTTTGATGGTGCCCGTGCCCCGCTTGTGGAATGCTCGCATTGGCTCAGCGGTGTAAACTGTGGACAGGGAGAGGCCCGGAACTAGTGTGGATTGAGGGGGCCGGGCGGCCTTTCTGAGGGCGATGCTCTGGCCCAGTGCAGCCGGGCAGCCTCCCTGTGAGCAGGGCCCGAGCCGGGACGCCTCGTCCGGTGCTCCTGCACCGGGATCTGCGCATCTCCTTTCCGTCATGTGTGAGGGAGGGGAAATGAGACTTAAGGCTGTGGTCATTTTCTTCATTAACCTTAATTCATATTTATTCATATTAGAAGGAATGAGAATTTAATTTTTAAAGGTTGCTTTAAAATGGTGTAAAGATTATAATGAAAAATAAACTTTTTAAGAAGGGCATACTCACAAATTTGTCAGAAAACAATCATGCTTCTTAAGTACATTCCATTATATTTGTTACACGTAAGCCTTGTTATAGATTAAATGTGAAAATTTGTTAAAGGCACATATGGCTGAAAGAGTTTTATTTTAACACGCTCAGATATTTTACTATAATCAAACCACCTTCTTTTTTTTAAGTCCTCATCCGAGGATATGTTGACTGATTTGAGAGAAACAGCGACGCATTGCCTCCTGTAGGTGCCCTCACTGGGAATCGAACCCACCACCTGCTGGTGCACTTGGCCGGGGCACAGCCTGCCTTTCTACGTGGAACGCGTTATTATATCTGGGTCACTAGAATCCACTGGGTGCTTTTCGTTGGCTGCTACGGCTTGGGGAATAATAGATAAAAATTAATGACTGTCTAGTTGAATTTCTTGTGGTGCATTACTCTTTGTTACATATAGATCAACAGTAGTTCAAGGTGGCACCTCATCAAAGTAATGGCCTCTTCGGTAGGAGAAGTAAAAAGCCTAAGACCGGAGCAGCACCCGATGGGAGGTGACTGTATGGTCGGCCACCCGAGAACCTGTTAGTTAGAACGTGGGCCGTGAACGGACTCGGGCACGGCCTGTGCCCCTACGGACAGCCGCCGGCCGGGTACAGGGACACTCGCAGTGAACGGGGTAGAGGACGGAGAGTGGGAGACACCGCGGGCCTTGAGTGGCCGGGCGGGTTCTAGGCCTCCGGGAACCGGTCGGTCGGGCTGCCAGGAGGCGCCGGGGGACGGCGGCGCGGCTCGCTGCTCACCGCCCTAGGTCCGGGTGGAACGGCCTTCGCCCGGAGCGCCCGGTCCCCAGTTAAAGGCCGCGTCCCTCCGGGCCCCACCCTCGCCCGGCGCAGGCGCGTTCCCTCCCGCCGCCCGGGGGCCGCCCCGCCCCGTACCTCCCCTCCTCGTTTGCGGGCGCGACGGCTTTCATTCGCCCGCGACTTGTCGCTCGGGTGACGTCACGGGCCCGAGCCCTTCTCATTGGTCCATTTCAATAGTCGCGGGATACTTGAACTGCAGGAACAGCCGCGTCTCCGGCGGGCTGCTGGCTGAGTCTCTGGGTGATCTTGCTCCTCCACGCCCGGCGGTGCCTGCTCCTTTCGCGGCCTCGCCGGTTCTCAGCGATCCCGGGCGGGAGGGAGGGTGGGCGGGCTGGCCCGGGCTGCGGCGGGCGGCTACGACTGGAGCGCTGCTCGGCGCGGCCGGTCGGCGGGACCCAGTGCACGCTGCTTGGCGCCGCAGGGTCATCCCGCCCTGCCCTCGGGAGCAGGGATTTTAGGCAGCTCTGCGGCCCGCGAGGCGGGCTCAGCGCCGTTCAAAATGCAACCGACAGCACCCCAAGAGGACCAGGAGAACATCAACCCCGAGAAGGCGTCGCCCGCTCAGCAGCCCCGGACCCGGGCCGGGCTGGCGGTCCTGAAGGCCGGGAACCAGCGGGGTCCAGCGCCGCCGCAAAGGCCCAAGACGCGACGAGTAAGGAGACGAGCGGTAGTTTTGCATGGGTTTAGCAGGCAGAGGAGAGGCGAAAGAGCACCCTCCGGTCTTTTTTAAGGAGGTCTGGGTCTGGAGCCCCCTTGATCCCTGGTTTTCCGGCGTGCTGGGTTGTAGCTGGGGTAGCTTCCTTCTCCCATTACTCTCTCTGCCGGCACTGTGCGCTCGCTGCTTGTCTGCTTGGTGGTTGTATTTTTCTCTAGGTAATGGGGTCAGACCAGGCTCTGCCACATGAGTGCGGTCTTGGCCCGCCTCTGCGTCTCCCTCTTCGCTTTTAAACCCCAGGCTCTGGGGGCCGGCCCTCCTGCCGCCTCCCGGTACAGGGAAGTTAGAGCTTACCTCTAGTTTAGGAAACAACGTAAAAAATATTTGGCTTTCGGTAAATTCCGCCATTTTACCGGAATTGCTCTGTTGCTCCACCCCAGGAGGAAAGCGTTTCTGCCATCTCTCTCCTAAACTTGTCATCATTGGGTCACTCCATCCCTCTTGTGGCCTTAATTAGTTTTTCATAATTCCAGTTACTGTGACACTCTCTGATCTTCCCATAAATGCCTGTGACAAATGGAAACATCCCTTCTTTTCCCCGACCACCCAAACTCCCTTGCCTGGATTTTGCCCCAGGAAGTTTGTTTTCCTGTTAGAGTTGTGGGGAGTGAAAAAGCAGAGGTTGAGACCCAGAAGGGGAAGAAAGCAAAACCCTACTTAATAAGCTCAAAGCAGGTTATTGATCACCTTTTAGGGTGCCCCCCTTAAGGATCTTAATGTAAATGATGAGCATGTCATCGCCCCTCCCTGGAATGCAAACAGTAAACAGCCTGCATTTACCATCCATGTGGATGAAGCAGAAGAGACTCAGAAAAGGCCAGGTGAATCCGACAGAACAGAACGTGAAGATGTCCTGGCGTTTAATTCAGCTATTGGTTTACCTGAACCGAGAAAGCCACTGGTACCTCTTGATTATCCAATGGATGGAAGTTTTGGTAAGTTTTAACAAAAATCTGTATCAAATCAATGTAATCATAATTAAGTGAGTTGGATTAATGATATTTTGCATTTTAAGACATTATCTTCCCCTATCCTTAGACATAACGAGTTAGGTTTAATGTCACAAGTTTTAAAGGGTGTGACTTTTCTCAGACCCCACAGCTAATGCTAATGCATGACCCAGTGACCTAAAAGGACGGAAATCCTAATGGGGTGCTTGTTCAGTACACTGCCAGTCTCATCAGTTTAACCAGGTCTCAAACACGGGTTTTTATCTGACCCTAGAAATGTTCCCACCGTTGGGAGACTAGGTGTCAGTTGGATTCCTTCCCAAGACTCACTGGTGCGAACCACTTCGTGGAGTGCCGTGTGGGGTGCAGCCCTTGTGTGTGATGCCTAAATCTCCCCAGCCTTAAATTGAAACCGGTCTGAGCGATCCTTGGGTGCCGGAGAGGAGCATCGTCCACCCCCCGTGAGTCAGGCGTGGAACCATGGGGCCTTGCACTTGACCACACCAGAACAGAGAGGCCGGCCTGGACAGCCGTGCTCACAGTGCGTGCGCCTTCTCCACCGCTGCATTCTGTTGGTGGGGGGAGGTCTGGAAGGAACAGGAAAGTCCTTCGGGATTAAAATAATTTATGTATTCTTATTTAAAATTTGCACAAATCTTAACCTCAGTGAACCTGGGAGTGAAAATAATGGATGATGTTTTTACTTCAAAAGATAATTTAAAATCACAAAAAATGAATCACTTGTTTAATGTGGTATTAGCCCTGCTCGTAGCTATTGCCGAGATTCTGCTTTGACTACATCCGACAGGCCTCCAGGCGGCTCCTACATATTGTCTCAGAACCTGGATTGTAGCCCTGGCCCCGGATAACCACCGTGCCAATATCCCTCGTGGAAGCTGAATGATAACTGAACCTAACACCTGATCCTCACACTGATTTTCCTGATAGTATTTTCCTACCAGTATTTTTTCTTGTTCGTTAAAATCATTCTACAGCTAAGTGGACGGAGGTGCTAGAAACCAGAGTGAAATAGTCTGTGTGCTTTGTCATGGGTGCAATAAATGCTTTGATAGCGTGGGACTCCCTGCAAGGGCCATCCCTTCTGGCTATGAAATAGAAAATTAAACCGTGAACATAGCCGTGCTTTTGAACTCCCCCAGAGTCACCGCAGACCATGGACATGTCGATCATACTGGAAGATGAGAAGCCAGTGAACGTCAACGAGGTCCCAGACTACCACGAGGACATCCACACCTACCTTAGGGAAATGGAGGTGAGGGCTCCCAGAACCCGCCTGCCGTGCTGCTGCCCGGCAGTGAGAGGGCGTGTGTACGTTCTTACCTGCCAGTCCGGCACACTGCTCTGTTGCTGTACTTAGGCTCTGGCACGGAGCAGCTTTGTTGGTGGAGAATAATGTAACTGCAGAGTTTAACACTGCTGAGTGACTCTCTCAACAGGTTAAATGCAAGCCTAAAGCGGGTTACATGAAGAAACAGCCAGACATCACCAACAGCATGCGGGCCATCCTCGTGGACTGGTTAGTTGAAGTAGGAGAGGAATATAAGCTACAGAATGAGACCCTGCACTTGGCTGTGAACTACATCGATAGGTTCCTTTCATCCATGTCTGTGTTGAGAGGAAAACTTCAGCTTGTGGGCACTGCTGCTATGCTGTTAGCCTCGTAAGTCAGCTTGGTTTGTTGGGGTGAAAGTGATCGGTCCCTTTCTGTGGAGGGAAGAAATGTGGTTTTTAGCAGTGGGATGTACGGTTACACAAAGCAGAGAGTCGGTGACTACCTCAGGGGTGACGGGTGGGTGACACTCTTCAGGACGTAACTTTTCCAGACCTGGGTCCCAGGGCACCTTGTTGAGTGAACATGTACACTGGCTACATTTTCACACACCAAGACCAGCTTACAAAGATTGAAAGTGTGATTCCTTCCATTAAAAAAGCGCTTTCTGGCATATGAGCTAAATCTTATCTTCTCTCCATTAAGATATGAAAACTAACATGAAATTCTGAACAATATAAATAAACTAAAAAGAGAATAGGAAAACTAAATTTTGAAACTTAAACATGAAATGTTTATTTTTCCAAGAAAATTTTTTAAACTTTCGGTTACTTGGTGAACTCGGGCATTGTTGCTGTCTGGGGAAGTCTCGTGCCTCCCACGTATTTCCTTTGGCCGCACGGGGGGCGGCATCTTCCCCTCCTTTGTTGATCTGGGGCTCTCAGTGGGCTGTCACCCAGTCTCTGCAGACCTGGTCGGCTCCCTGTGGAAACTGGCGGTCGGGAGTGGGTAGGCTTGGATTCGTGGCGTGTGTTCTGCCAGAGGGAATTCAGAATTGGGGTATTCATGCTCGCGTCTCTTTCAGGACTGATGGCTGAAAACTTTCTTCATTGCAGGAAGTTTGAAGAAATTTACCCCCCAGAAGTAGCCGAGTTTGTGTACATCACAGACGACACCTACACCAAGAAGCAGGTTCTCAGAATGGAGCACCTGGTCCTCAAAGTCCTCGCCTTCGACTTGGCGGCCCCGACCGTCAATCAGTTCCTCACCCAGTACTTTCTGCACCAGCAGCCGGCAAACTGCAAAGTTGAAAGCTTAGCAATGGTGAGTTCTTTTATCTGGCTGAAGCGAGACTCTTCGGGCACCACTAGGGGCAGGCAAGCCCTGACTTCATTATGCAGCTTTGGTCGAGGGCTTCGTGTCTGGGGCAGATCCATGCTGCAGTCTGGAAGAAGGCCTGCCCCTGGCAAAGGGTAACAGAAGCTTAAGTCTTGGGAAACCGTAGCCGGGAGAGTCGTCTTCAAAGCTATTAAAAGAGGAGCCCTGACTGGTGGGGCTCGGGTGGGTGTCATCCCGCAAAGCAAGAAGTGCTCAGTTCGGTCCCCAGTGCAGATTTGGTCCCCACCTGAACCGCGTGGGAGAGGCAACCAATGGGTGTTTCTTCCTTCTCCTCTCTGTAAAAATCAGTATTTTTTTAAGTCATTAAGAGGAGAAACAGTGACAGGATGGAACAAACACTAAAACAGCAGCTGTGTCTAAAAGAGGGGGCCACAGGAGAAAATGGGATCAGGGGGCGGAGGTCGGAGGTTCGGATTCCAGGTGTCGTGACCACCGAGTGCGTCCCTTGCATTGCAGTTCCTGGGGGAGCTGAGTCTGATCGACGCGGACCCGTACCTCAAGTACCTGCCCTCGGTGATCGCGGGAGCGGCCTTCCACCTAGCACTCCACACGGTCATGGGGCAGAGCTGGGTAGGTGCCAGGGAAGTTCCCTGCCCGTCCTGCACAGCGGGTGGTGGTCTGGGGTGCCCGCCTGGGCGGCCTGTTCCGCACCGTGTCAGCGCGTTGTTGGGCGGGCCTTGAACAGTGCACTGGAGGACCCTGGCCGTCCAGCCGGCTGCGGGGGAAGTAGTAACACTGACCCGTGTCTGCGTGCACGAGGTGGCACGCCGGCCTGAGCTAACCGGGAGGCTGCTGGTGCTGAGCTTTAACACAGCTCAGGCTCCGCGCCAACTGGTGAGTTCGGTGTCTGCTCCTGGAAGTGGAACTCAGCGGTTCTCCCGCCCTCTGCCCCGGCAGCCCGACTCCTTGGTGCAGCAGACGGGGTACACGCTGGAGAGCCTGAAGCCCTGTCTCCTGGACCTGCACCAGACCTACCTCAGGGCCCCGCAGCACGCCCAGCAGTCGGTCCGAGAGAAGTACAAGCACCCCAAGTAAGGCTGCGCGTGGCGAGCGGCCGGGGAGCAGCGGGCTTTTCCGGGTTACCCTGCGGTCCGGGGTCCTTGACCTTTGAACTTCACTGGAGGGCTCCGAAGTCAGGCACAGCAGCCTTTGAGGCTGTGCCCTGAGCCGGCCAGGTTTCTGGGCGTATTCGAGGGGGTGGGGGGACGAACTAGCGCTTCTCAGTGATGGTTACTGAAGACGGGCGTTCTCCCCCCCGCAGGTACCACGGCGTTTCCCTCCTCACCCCGCCGGAGACACTACAGGTGTGACGGGAGCGGCCGCCCGCTCCCAGGCGGGGCTCCCTCCGAGGACAGGGCGCGGCTTTTACGTTAGGTCTTTACAATCACTTCTGAACGCGACGCAAGTTATTCTCAATACAAATTATGCTATTTTAAAGTGGTTTTAATTTGTATATCTTTTGTACATGTAACTATCTTAGATACGTGGCCAATTTTAAGTGGTTTTGTTAAAGTATTAACGATGCCAGCCATCAGGATAAGACTAAGAATTAATAAATCGATTTAGAAAACTTGGATTTTGTAAGTCAAATTTAATTTGAGGTAAAAATTTGACTTCAGGATTTCACTCAGAAAAGTTATTTTCTCCTATGGGGACTAGGGAGGCTTCTAAAACTTTAAGAAAAAGAGCTGTATAGTTTCAGGAAAACAGACAGCGGTTCTGACATTTTCCTAAGCCTCTGGACCATTTGCTGACTTGCATAATCAAAGCGAATCTGGAATAAATCTGTGTATTTTTTGGTTGCGATGATCCTAGACTCTTTGAGCCCTTTGGACACGCTAAGAAAATGCTTTTTCACTCATCAACTTGCACACTTTATACTAAAGTGACGATTATTTAAGACCTGTTAAGTTTTCCAGAAGGTTTATTATTAAAAACGTAATGTAAGAACTATATAAAGAAATGGCTAGATTTTATAATGGATTTGTGAATTAGAAACGCCCAAGGTTGCCAGCACTTAAATAAATATCCTTTTAATAATTATTTACATTGACACAACCACGTGCGTGTCACTGAGCGGGCCTCTTCTTCTTCCTCCTCCTCGCTGGCTTTCTGCTTGGCGCCGGTTCCTGTTTTGCACCGACGGTCTGTGTTCTGCGAATAGAGTGAGTGAACGTTTACTGACAGTGTCGGTACCGGAGGCTGGCTGACTGTGTGGGCGACACACCCCATCGTGCGCGTCACGTTCTGGGACCGCAAGAACCAGGGGGCCTTACCCCCGCGCCCCGCCCCCCCGCCAGCCAGTATGGTATATTTTCAAACTCAGTAAAACGCAGTGACTCCAAAAGGCATCCACGCCGTTTTACAGGACCAGGTGCTGGTGTTTACAGCCCCACGGTGGGGAAACCAAAGAACAGCTGGGCTGCCGGTGAAAGGCGCGGCTCTCCGGCCACAGTGGGCGGGATGAGAACAGCCAGAGAAAGCAGCCAGGAACGGGTACCTTATCGTCTGCGGGTCCTTGCCTGGCTCCAGAATGACCATGTCCTCCTCTTCGCTGTCGGACAGCACGATGGGGGCGTCTTGAGGGAGACAGAAAGCAGTGTGAGTGCAGGCAGGCCCCATGCACTGCCCCCCGTCACTTGTTCTGCACGAGCTGAAGTTCATGGCAACCCTGAGCTGAGCAATAAGTCTATCAGCACCGTGTTCCAACTGGCTCAGGTGACGGCTAGCATTTCTTTGTAGTGAGGGATTTAATAAGGTGTGTTCATTGTTTTATTTACTGGGAAACCAAGAACGTGTGACCGCTGCACTGCGAGGCCAGGAGGCGAGCCCGCAGCACCTCTGGGTCGGCCCTCGTTCCCAGGGCGGGGGAGGTTCCCTCACGGGCGTCCAGTGGGCGACTGGGAAACCCCGCTCTGCTCAACAGCCCAGGCCCTCTGGGTGCGGGCGGGCCGGCAGACCCCCTTGTTTCCTTCCTTCCCCCGAGGAACGACCCCTGCAGCTCTGACAACGGCGCGCACGCCATTCCCCAAACGCTCGCGATCGCATCTCCGTCTGGTCCCGCCCGAGCAGAGAAGGGAGGGGGTCCGCACACCTCACGGACACCCACCGCACAGCGTCTGGCTGGCGGGGCCAGTGTGGAAGCTGCACACGCCAGCTGAACCGTGCGCCGCGCCGGGAGGTGCCGCCGTTTATATCTTAGAAGCCGCCCATTTTCAAGACCGAAACATCTCATTCCTCCCTATTACAAACAGCACTGGGAAGAAAACACCTAGAAGCACAACTGGGCTGAAAGGCACGTGCGTTCTGAGGATGGTTGCCAAGCCCCCCCAGAAACACTGCTCCGACCCGCACTCTGGGGACGGCGCGTGAGGCAGACCCCGCCCTGCACAGCCTTGCCAGGGCCGGCGGCGCTCGCGTCCGGACGTCACTGCCTGCCTTTCGCCCGCTTTCCCTTGGGCGTGCGTTCGCTCGGGGACATGCGATGTGGGCTGACCCTTTCCCCAGTGGGTCTTCCCTGGTGGCTTATCAGTTCTTTGTGCTTTGAGTTCTCAGTGAGTTTCTCCCTTCGTTCGTGTGCTCGAGAGGGACTCGGCCAATTCTCTTAGGCCCACCTTCATTACTCCGTTGAAAGTACTCGTCTTCGAGCTCCCAGTGGGAGACCCCAGCTGCTCACCTCTCAACCTCAGAGAGGCGGTTCCCAGACACGTGAAGGGCACAGGCAAGGCTGCGTGCCCGGTGGCACCGGGACAGTGAAAAGCTGGTGTCCACAGGCAGTGCTGTCGGTAAGGGGACGACGGACCAACGAGGGGCACCGGACACTGAACTCACAGCCCTCAGACTGGCTGACGGACCGGCAAGCACACAGAAGGCCCAAGGCTTCGCTCGCAGTCCCGGGGGAAGCCGGGCCCGCGCTGTGACCACGGAGCGGGGTCCGGGAGAGAACACGCAACGGAGTGCGCGCCGGGAGAGCGGGTGCTGTAGGGCCCTCCCCCGGGGCTCCTCCTCCTTCCCCACGGCTCGGCTCCACGGCGCTTACAGGCGCATCTGTGTCCCCACCGGCGGGCAGCCCGGCTGTCACCGAGACTCAGGAGTGCTCAGGCCCCGGGCCTGGAGCCTTGCCCGCGATCTCCGCCCCCACTGCCTGAAGGACAGATCAGGGTCAGAGTCCAGTCCGGGCCAACACAGGTCTGGTCTTCCTGAAGACAGAGAGCCCGCAGGCAACAGCGCCATCTCCCGTACCACGGCCTCCGGAACGCGAGCATCTCCCGGGACCGCCCGCACTCCAGTGACTGCGTTTCACACCGCCGCCGCCCTCCTGCAGCAGCCACACGAGGCTGTGCAACGCCCGCGTCACCCAGAACTGCAGCGCAGAGGCCGGTTCTGGTCCCACGAGCCCCGCGTCAGGTGCTCAGCAGCGCACGTGGGCAGCGGTGCAGTGCCGTGCCGGACCGTGCACAGAGAACACTTCTGACACGCAGCGAGCGCTGCTTGGGCAGCACGACTCTGATAATGAACGTCACGTCACAGGGTTCGCGTCCCAGAAACGGCGTGCAGGCCCGAGCCCTGTAAGTGGCCCCCTCAGTGGCGGTCCAGGCACACAGGCGTAAGAGGAGAGAGACCAGGACACGTACGTCTGCACTGAGAAGGCGAGTGCAGGCCAACCGCAGCCCCCGCCCACCCCGCAGCGGTGACCCGTCCTCCAGACGAGACCTGCGGTGAGCGGTGCACACGCTCCCGCAGCCCGGTTCCCGCTTGACCCAGCGCGCCTCCCCTCCACAAACAGGAAGGGCTGACACATAAAACTACGGCCCCTGTTTGGGGAGACCTTCATCTGTAAGTAGGGCCCAACCACACACACACACACACACGACAGCATGTATAACTTATGTCTACACGTGTAAGTAACACAGTGTATAATGTATAATAAAAGCCACAAAGCAGCACCTACCCCGGCTCCCAGCGCTGGGGCCGTCCATGCCCGGGTCCACTGTCACACTGTCGAGGACAATGGCTTCGTCACTGCCACCTTCCTCCTCCTCCTCCTTCTCCGAGTCTTCCAGATCGCCCCAGGAGTTTTCTACTCCTTCTCCGATCTGCGCGGTGCCGGGAGTCCAGAGCACAGGGTCAGAAACACTCCACGGTCAAGGAAACCAAGTCACACGGACGCGGCTGCTCGACGCAGCGCTGACGGAGACTGGAAGCTCCCCCCACCCCCCGAGACTGGAGGGCCCCCCAAACCCTGAGCGGAGAACACTGACCGGGAGCTGGACCGAGGGCGGCTGGACAACGAGGAAAGGCAGAACTAGGTGGGGACTCAGGCGAGGATTTTACGGACACAGGGAGAGAGACCGCGAGACTGACTGCACGTCTCAGCTGGAGGACAGTACCAGTCGGAGAATGAAGGAAAACGGTGTCAAAAACAATGCGTGACGGCGGACAGAGTGCTTGACCATGCCCCTGAAGTCAGAGACAATGTTCAGAGGAAAGTGAAACGCCACAAACCAGCTCTTGAAATGAGAGACTGCGCCGAGTGCTGCGGGAGAGCCGAAGGGAAGAGGAGGCGGGTGTTACGCCGTGACCCTGACGCGTCCCTCTCTGCGCCCTGCATGCGCGGCTCACAAGACGCAGAAGACAGATCTCAGCGCGCACCCGCACACGCCCAACACCGCCACGGTGCCACGGGTCCCGTGATGGGGGGGGGGGGGGAACACGGCCCAGGGAAGATACACTTCGGGGGGAGGCTCGGCCTCAGCGATGATCTCCTCCACCCTCTCCTCCACGTCGGAGGTGTCCACGGGGGCCTTCTCCATTCTGAACGCCGTGATCCTCTGGTTTGCTATGGACTCCGCAAAGCCGAACTTGCCGCCTTCTTTCCTGCGAGGGTTTTTTTCAGCGGGGAGGGGGTGCGGGCGTGGGAATGGGGTGGACAGTAGAAGAAAAGACAAAACATGAAGAAAGTTACTTTTCAATAGCTAATACTGGAATAGTTCCTTGACTGAGCCGGCCTCGCCAGTCCCCGTGCCCATCCAGGGGAGTAACTCCAGGCCCGTCTCACTGCCATTTACGGGACCAGGCGCTGGCGCTGCTAAGCGCCTGAAGCACATGACGACTCTGTAAGCCTCGAACCAGCCACGGCAGGCCGAGGGTGACAGACCCTGATGCAGGGGACACTGACGCAGGGGACAGACACTGACGTGCTGGGGTACGGGTCCTGCTTACGGTCACGTGGTGAGAAGACTGGATCAGCCCCGTTTGAGTTCTTGTAGTTAATCTGATTTACTAGACTCCTAAAAACTCTTAAATTTTTAGGAAAAAAAAACATTTTGACATTCCGAGTGTCCCACCGAGATGAACAGATGAGGAAAGACCCACGTGTGCGGCCGCCCCCGGGCAGGAAGGACCCTCCACAGAAACACCTGCACCAAAACTATCGCGCTGCAACAACGTGGAACTCACCTCACTTTCTGGTCATTCTCCAGCGCCTTCTGTATCAGCTCCGTGATTTCCGCTACTTTCACACCAGCGATTTTACTGCACCTCAAAACCTATTTATAAAAACGGATTGTCACTTAAAGACACACCAAACAGCTTTCTCTAGCAAAACCAAGAACATGAAACCAGTTTTTCTAACTTTGTAATTTAAACCTGTCTTCCAAACATGAAATGAACACAACACAGCAAGTTCCGAGTTGCTTCAGGACACCCGAAGGACCGTCCTGGTACAGAACAGGCCGAGAGCGTGCCCGCGGCAGCGACGCACAGCCGTGCAGAGGCCGCAGGCGTCCACTGCAGGCTCGGGCGCTCGGCCTGCCCTCCGGGGGCGGGAGCCCCAGCACTGGGCTAGTGAGGCCGCAGAGCACCCCTGGAGGCTTCCAGAAAGCGAATGTTCTCGGGTGTCAGAGGCCTAAGGGATCGGGTTCCTTGGCAACAGGGGTCTGGGGAGGGGCATGATGCCGGGAATGACGGCGGTGAGGAAAGTTTCTATCTACAGCACATCGAATACAGTCTGTGCAGTGCAACCTGTCCGTTTCTCCTGTGCCCTCCCAACAACCAGGTGCTGACACATCACTCCCTGCTTCACACACAGGGAAACGGAGGCACGAACACGTGCAGAGCTGGGCCTGAGAGGCGCTCGTGGCACCCAAATGCTGAGCTATCTTTCACCTCGCTTCTATTTTTGACACCTTCTGGGGGGAAGAGAGGTCTGAGTCTCCTCCTTCACTGGGAAGTACACAGTGTCCCTCCGCCCAGGAGGGTGGGGCTCCAGAGGGCCGCAGTGAGGGGGAGGGAGACACGGTGCAGCCGCCCGCCGGCCGACAAACTCCTGGGTCCTGGAGCCAGACCCTGACATGCGCCAGAACCAGTCGCCGGAGACTCCCCTGCCGGACTCCGGCTACAGAGGGCGAGCGGGGAAGCGTCTGCCGGAAGAGACGGCCGGCCCTGGGCCCCGGGCCGCGGGCGGCGGCACCGACCTGCTCGGCCAGCAGCATGATCCCCCCGCTGGACTGCAGCGTGCAGATCTCCCGGTGCTTGTTCATGGCGATGACCAGCAGGCCGTCCATGACGCGCTCCTCCCGCTCGCTGGGGTCCACCAGCAGGAACGTGCTGCGGGGACACGAGGCGGCTGAGTGCACCGTCCGGGTGGGGGGGGCGCTCGTCCGCCTCGGGGCCACGGACAGTCTGAAAAGATGGCACGAGTACAGTAGACACAGGGAAGGCCTGTGCCTGCGGGTCTGAGCCGCTTTAATGGGAGAAGACACGAGAGAACTTTTGTTTCTATAGACACCAAACAATGCTAAGTGGATACTGCTGCGAGTTATTACAGTCAAGTCACATTAAGTTCAAATGGTTTTATTTAAATGATATGTAACTGAAATCAGACGCTATCACTTTCAGTAAATAACTCTTATGGCTCTTTAACAAAAACTTAAGACAGTGTGATTAATTTAAAGTCTCCTTAACGGCCTGCACTCCGAAGGTCTTCCAGGCTCTAACCGCTCATTTAAAAAACACCGCATCTAGGCCCTGCCCCAGGAGCCCCCAGGCCCGAGTGGTCATTGCGCCCCGGAGAGGAGCTGCCCACACCGGGGCGCTCTGTGAGTGCGCGACCCCGGCTTCCAAAGACGCAGCGGAACAAAAGAGTGTGAAGCACTCCAAGGACAATCTTTAAGGCACTGGTTACACATTAAACTACCTTAGATATAGTAAATAAAATGAAACGTGTAAAACCTAAATTCACCCGATTCTTTTTGCCACTTTAACGCCTGGAAACCTTCACACTGCACACGTGGCTCACCCACCGCTGCCCGCCGCCGGTCTAGCTCCCTCCGCAAAGCTCTGCACTGCAAGCCTTTCTCTAGCTCGTGCTCCTAAGCCTGTTCGCGTGTCTTACTCACACCTCCCTCTGCTTCCACAACGCTGTAAGGCTCGGCTCCCCCCGCGGGCACCACTCCACGGACCGAGGAAACGGCAGGCGAGCCGACGGCCCGAGACGCTGCCCCATGGGGAAGGGTCCCCCGTGGCGGCTCCCAGAGCCACTGCGTCCAGCGGGCTCCGGAGCCCCGCTGCCATCGCCCGCGGGGGTGCCCACCCCGCTGCCCCGGTTGGAGCCTGGCACACGGTCCTCCCGACACCCGCACCCCCAGAGACCGAAGGACAGCACTGGACCACGTGGCAGCGAGCCCACCGAGCTGAGACACACCACGGAAAGACAAGCGTGGAGCCCTCCTCGCAGCGTTTGCCACTTCTGTCGAGAAAGCTCTGTGCCGACTGCAGCCCCTGGGAAGGGCTAAGCTATAACGGCAAGTTCTCTCCTGAACCGAGAGGCGCTGGAGTGCTGGGGGGGGGGCTGCCGTCTGTCCACGGCACACCCAAGTGACACGGCCAAGCGCCCGGCAGCGCCGACCGCGGCGAGACTCACCCCTGGCGGAAGAAGGCGAAGCTCACGCAGATGGGCAGGTGGTGCACGCTCAGCGGGACTGGGTCCCGCTCCTCCGGCGCGTACTATTGGAAAGTAAAAGTCGTGAACCTGTGAAAAAACTGTCTTGCACATCAATACTGAGATAAACAGATGAAACCCCACGGATCCTCGGTGAGCACCTAAACCCCTTCTTTACAGTTACCCATCTGAGTCTGCCATTCACGTGCCTTTCAGCTCCACGCCTCTGCCACAGGCTGCACTGGCTGCACTGGGACCCGTTTCACACGCCACAGAGCCAGCCACTCACTCGGGTTCACGTGTAACGCATCTGCACCCACGCAACTGTCCCCACAGTGCAGTTCTTTAATACTGCCACTATCCTCCCCCCGCCCCACACCCCCGACTGCCCTCCAGCCTGTGCCCAGTCGGCTCTCCCTCCCAGCCCCACGCGAGCCCTGCGCTGCTACTCCCTGTCTCTGTAAAGCCGCCTTCCGGGGCATTCCCCCAGGTGGGACCAACCAGCTCTCAGTCTTTCATACTGGCCCCTTCAGCCCAGTAAGCTCCCCCCGCCCCTCACCCCCCCGCAGCATGTATGGTTGGTCTGGTCCCCATCACTGCTGACCCGTGGCCGCAGCACAGTCAGGGCACCCTTTGTTTCCCATTCGCCCGTGGACACACTGGGTTGCCGCCAGGTTTTGGCGACTACACATACGCTATGAACATTCACATAAAAGTCTCTGAGCGAACATACACTTTACCACCAGCAATAACTCTACAGTGGTTTTCTTTTGTGAGTGCTGATCACGCTCTACTTGTTTCCGCTTCCCTGTACCACGTCCCTTCTCCGCAAGGGCAAGTCTCCGCTGTTAAAAACTCCTGTGTCCCGAGCGCTCAGTCTCTCGGGAGGCTGCTCCAGCCCGATGCCTGAAAGCAGCATCCAGGTGGACTGCTCAGAGAGCCTGGTGACCCCTTCCGCACCTCCAGGACGCAAACCACCCCGCAGCGCGCTTTCACGCTCGTCGCACACACTTCACGTGACTTAAAGGAACACACTCGGCAAACGAGAGAAAGGCCACGTGAACTGCACAGGCCAGCGGCCCCGCCCCGCAGCGTCAGCACCGCCCGGGAGCTCTGCCAGCAGCGCAGCATCCTGGGTCCCCCACCGCGCTCTGAGGGTGGAGCCCAGCAGCGCGTTCTAACAAGCAGCTGATGGACTCTGCCGCAAACGAGCATGCGCTTCCCACTGTGCTGCAGTCCCCACCCACGCGGCCCCCAAACATGAGACCACCACTTCATCTGATGCACAACCCAGAGAGGTCATCTACTTTCATTCCAGAAAGCCAGGCTGGGGTGCACCTTTACGGACACTGTAACACAGGAGAGTTAAGAGACTTCAAAGACAATCTGACCTATGCAGCGTTTGCCTTATGAACAGATTTTAGAGCACACCTCATTTCCGCCGACAACTAGAGGCCACCAGCGCCCAGTCCGTGCGCCCACAGACGGGAGCACGGCTCGCCTACTCACCAGCGTCACCTCATCTCCTTGGACAGACACGTCGGGTCTTCGGAAGTGGCACAAGGCTACGATCGCAGCAATGCTGGCAGCATCGATAATATTTCCATCGTGATTTAATAAATGTAGGTCCACACGTATTTGCCAAACCTGAATGTGAATTTAAAACACACATAAATCCTACTGACCACAACCAGTGGCTATTTAAAAGGAAAAATAACACTGTGTGCTAATTCTTCTCTTGCTGTTAAAATGTGGTTGCTCCTTCTCATTATCAACAAAACTGCATCTAGAAAAATGTTAGGCCAGACCGACATCTGAAATACCAAGAGTTCATTCATCCTTCTAGGAGTCCACCGGACAACAGGAAGATATGTAAGTGTATGGAACCATTTTACATTTAACACTAGGAGTCCCCTAACTCTAAGCATCTATGATGACAACCCTACAAGTAATGCGAATAGGAAGTGTCCCAGTCAAGCATGGAATGTGGGAAGGCGAGGTGACTCTTCTGGAGTCAAAAAGACGGCCAAAAGGCCCTAGTCAAGGATAGCGTTCTACTACTGTCGTGCTGGGCGATTTACTGAGAATGAGGTTTGCGACGTGTGGTCCTGGCTAAGGCAACAAATCTATCCGGATGGAGGGTGCAATCCGCTCTTCAGCTCTGCACCCGTGAAAAAGGAAGGTATTGCCTGCGTCTATGGACTAACTTACAGAACATAAGAAAGTTAATTAAAACATATGAAAAACCACAGGCTGTCTGAATGAAACGTTTTCGCACCAACGCCAGCTGCATTTTCACAATGTTTTCCGTCCCTTCCCAGAGAGATGACACAGAGCTGCAGGGGCGGCACGCGGGGGCACCTGCAGCGAAGTGACCCGGTGCGGAAACGACGTGAGGTTTGCGCATTAACGCACAGCTGCCGGGACCCACGCATCAACGACACTCGCCCTGAGACTAGGAACCCCGGGCCCGTCCCCACCTTTTCACCAGCAACAACACAGAGAGACTCAGTGTCTATGCACTTCGAGTTCCTGAGACACCTCTCCAGGAGGCGGTTCAGCTTCACCAGGAGGTCTGACTGCCTGCGGAGACAGGGGCGGGCCGGTGTCATGAGCAGCAACGCCAGGCACCGAAACAACACCTCGCTGCGCTTCTACTCTCCTCGGGTCAGAGCAGTTGGTTTAAGGAGAAAATTTAAATACCTGCCAGGTTCAAAAGCTGGGGCAGCCATCTGAGAGAGTTCAAGGTTAAAAAACAGAATTCCTTCTGTTGCCCTATTGAGTTTTGGAGAAACGAGTTCACAGGAAACCTGTCCAAGAACTCTGCAAAGACAAAGTGCAAATCTGTTGATTAAATGCATTTCCTTTCCAATTTTAAAAAAAAATCTAAAAGTACTAATTAAGTTTCAATCTCACTCTGAGTAGTAAGTAACACACTCAGCATGATGACATTATGTATAAAGTACAGTAAAACATATACAAGAATAAAATGCATATTGGTACAAAGAGATGACAAGAAAAAAGGTCTTGTATTTACTATACTGCTTATTCCACAGATCCTTTTAAAAAAAACTGGTGACCTTAATTTTGCTTTCCTAAAACAAGTAACTATTGACACAAGATAGCATGCAAACTTGAGATTTCTTAAGAGTTTTTCTACAGCACGTTCACCAACACTATCAGACCAACGTCCCCACAACTTCCAAATGAGCATTAAAAACCAAGTTCTCACATCGCTCAGGAAAAGGAGGCAAGTAGGGCATATTTACTGACAAGACGTGCAGAAGAATTCGGAGCAATCGAGAACTATGTGATACCCGTGTTACAGAAAATGTACTTCTGATTAAAAACGTAAAGATTACAGAAACCACACTTCTTTTTGGCAGCTACACCAAGTACCGTCCAGACTTCCTGGCCGCTCTGTAAACAACAGGTCCCCCCATTCGGCTCCTAATTCGAGTCCTTTGTTACCTCGTTTTCCCAAGTTCCACCATACAGCACCCGTAGTCTGTTCCAAACGAAATCTTGATGCTCCTGTAATCATAGGTTTGCCTGCCATCCAGGCGCTGTAAGCACAAGATTCACCCGCTTACTCCTTCAACAGGTAAGCAGCGGCCGTGCCGAGCCGGGCCCCGGGCGCCCGCCCGCCCGCCCCCACTAGCAAATGGAGACTGGGAGCCGGGGCGCTGGCAGGGGCTGGGCTCACTCGAGCCCTGAAAAGAACCCACTGGAGCCAAGTAAAACCCGGGGGGCTGGGGAGGCAGCGGGCGTCCGGCAGGGCTCCTCGGGGCCAGCGAGGGCCCCAGCCGGAAAGCTGCGGACGGCCGGGCCACCTGAGCGCCCACGAGGCCCCAGGTGCCCGGGGCCGCGCACCTTCTTCTCCTCGATGGCGCGGAGGAGGAAGCGGCGCTCGCAGTTTGAAAGCGGTGTCTCCTTCATGGTGGCGCGGTCCCGGGACGCGCGGGCCGGGGACTGCGTAGGGGAGGAACCCGGGCCTCTCCACGCGCGCCCGGCTCGCTGGCGGCGCAGGTGCTTACGTCATCAAGACTCGGCGGCGAGACGCGCCGAAGCGGAGGCGGCGCGGCGCCACTGCGCAGGCTCGGAGCGAGGCGGCGGCGGCGGCGGAAGTGGCCGCGCGGAACCCCGGGGCTGAGCCCGGCGCGTCTCCGAAAGCAAAGACAGATTTCTTCTATCTCAAAGTGTAGCGGCGCGGGGCGGGGGCAAACATATGCAGTGGTGGTAGAAACCAGCCTCAGCGCAGCGCTGTCGCACCGCACCCTTCGTCAGTCGTAGCGGGGCGGGGCGGGCCGCACAGGGGTCCCTGTTGCTGTGCGGGGGACGGAGGCGAGGCGTGGCGGCTGGAGCCCGGCGAGCCGAGCGCGCGGCAGGTCCGGTGCAGGAACTCCGGCGGGGGCGGGCGGGGGTGCAGCGTGGGGGACGCGGGAGGTGAGCTGGGGTGCAGCCTCGGAGCCCTGAGCGGGCGACAGGAACGGAGAATGTCCCGGTTCGTAACCGGTGGTGTCGTAGCAACCCTTGGACTGAAACGAAACGTGCCTTTGGGTCCTCCAGGCCCCCAGTTGGGTTAAACCGGCGGACTGGTACAGGCGCAGAGAGACCCTGGTGGGTCGGCGCTGCCAATCACTGCGCCTTCCTGGAGCCGCAGCAGCATCCAGCGGCCCTGAAACCAGACTCAGATTCGATGCCGCCGCGGCTCACCCTGGCCCTCCCCAAGTTCACCCACCTGCTTCACCTTACTCACCCACAGGATGGGAGTGACAGACGTGATATGTCGAGGGACAAAGACGAGTGAACGCGTGTGAGCGCAGTGCCTGGCACGGTGTAGGCACGAGCACTGAAGTGTTTGTGGGGCGTATTTTGTTTCCATTTGCTTCAGGGGCAACAGGCCCCGGGACGCCCACACAGGCTCCGTTTCATTGCTTTGGTCTCTTTTCACTTTTTTTTTCTCCCCTATCGCGGGTACACTTTGTGCCACTTAACAATTCATGGACTCAATAAATTTCCGACATTATTTGCGAGGGCCCGCGCCCGCCCCCCCCCCCCATCCGTGTCCTAAGAATAATTCAAGTGCTGGAGAAACCCGGAGGACAAGATCCTGTTCCTCAAGGAATGTATATTCTCTTTGGAGGAGACGAGCAGTAAGAGCAAACCAATAAAACACGTTCACATGCTGCGTGCTGTCTGAGAGTGGGGGTGCTATTTTTAAGAGGGGTGTCCGCAGGGAAGGCTCACTCTGCAGAGGTGACATTTCGGTAACTAAATCCTTTGTGATGAGCAGCCGCGGTAGCATCTGGAGGAAAAGAAAAGTGTTTCAAGCAGAAGCAGCAACGTGAGCCAAGACAGGAGGAGCTCACGCGGTGGAGAGACAGGCATGGCGAGGAGGAGGAGGGAAGCGCGCAGAAACCACGTCCACGTGCTGGGAGAGCTGACTGATTCTCAGAGCAGGCGAGGGGACAGCAGGACTCAGGGCATGCGAGTTCTTTAACGACATATGTTCGTGTTTATAGCACAGCTTCACAACGGAACTGGCTCAGCCCATCCTTTAAACCCTTGGGTTCTTCTCGTGGGTGTTGAGTGATTTCTCTTCCCCTTCAGAAATGAAATAGGCCTTTCCTGAGACAGGCTGCCCTTTCCTGCAAGGGAAGAATGGGTGTGGAGGAAGAATGGACTTTGGGAGAGTTGGATAATTCGGAGCTTCGGCGTCTGTGTCCAGGTTGGGAAACAGTACTTAGTTTGTGTTAAGTGGTCAGGATGAGAACACCTCACACAATGTTCTGGACACGACAGCTATTCCGATGTGAGTTTCCTTCCCCTTCTGGCTTGACGAGGCTTCCCGCGACACCGCCGGAGTGCCCCAGGGCAGCTTGCTCTGGGGGGGGGGGGCGGGGGGGGTTGCCGCTTGGTTCCCCTGCCCGGGCTTTCCTCCCACCGTGGTGGAATTCCCGTCATCCTTTCCCACTTTCACTGTTACGTTGTTGTAATTTTAACACTGCAGCATTTGCATCTTGTTAAAGATAATCCGAAGGTCTATAACCCATGCCCACTCACATCATAAAATAGATTTACTTCACCTTGGCTTAAGTACGAAGCTTTTGGGACACTGAAGGGACCTTAGTTTTATGCGTTTGGGGGGAAAAGTTTTTGAAGTTCGAGAAGAGGTTCAGGTAGTGTTGTGCAGTCTGCTCTTTAAAAGCATCAGCCCGAGTTAGGGTGTTAACCTGGATGATGTGTCTAAATATGACCTGGTTTTCTACAGAATGTTTGAGTATACCTCTTCTGTCCTCTTTATTGGACATGCTTTGTCCTTGACCAGCGCCCTCCTGTGTCCTGGAGAAATGTCCTTCTCTGGCCCCACGTGATTTTCAGGTCACACTGTTAAGCAGACAGGGGGTACGGCCGGCCTTGCTCGTCAGGGCCCCGTCCCTGTCTCCTCTTTCACTCTTGACCCGGGTGGGGCTGGACAGAGTTCTTCCGTCGGCCTTGGCACGTGAACTCTGGGAGACAGCAGCTGCTTCCTTTGAGAGGGTTGTCCACCCTAAGGACCAGGCTCTTGGGAACATCCAGGGGCCCCCTGCCACCCTGCCACCACAGGGGGAGAACCTGTTTGAACCCGAAGTCAGAGGGAGGCCGGCAGAACTGAGAGATGGAGGAGACAAGGGGAGGGGACAGAGGAGGCCCCGGCCCCAGGACTTCCCAGTCAGTGAATCGGTCCCTTTGCATCAGCCTTCTGCTGAGCGTGTCCATAAGGGTCCAACTCCGTGCACTTCTGCCAGAGTGCTGCGATCCGCACTTCTTAACCCGTGCAGGGACCACCGAGACTGGCCCTGCGCCTCGTGAGGGAAAATGGGTGGAGGGCCGTGGCAGCACGCCTGGGGGGATCGGGTGGGCGGGTGGACAAGTGAGGAAATGGGCGCGTACACACTGTTTACCGTGTAGTGTGTCTGCAGTGCAGCTGGTCTGTGCTGAAACTGGGTTTCCAGAAATGGTCCTGGGAAGAAAGATCGCAAAATGTTAAGACGTTTATCCCTGGGTGGTGGGATTCTGGGAAGTTTTTTTTTTTTTGTGAATTGTTTTCTTTATGAATTTCCTAAATCTTCTATAAGGCATATGAATACCTTTTATCATCAGGAAAAGTGAAAAGAAAAAAAATTATGTTTTCTTTTTCTCATTCTGACACATTTAACTATTTCTTTTAAAAGGCATTTTGGCTTCACCTACATTTTTATACAGACAATGGTTTAATTGTTGTTTTTTATGACCCCAAGTGGAAACCACATAGTTACCATGTGAAAAGCTTTTATACGTTGACAGTTGCTATTATCTGAATGTTTGTGTTCCCCCTAATTCACACATAGAAACCCTAACCCCCAAAGGCGGCAGGGTGAGAAGGTGGGGCCTTTGGGAGGTGGGGGCGGAGCCCTCATCCGTGGGATTAGTGATCTGACCAGAGAGACCCCGCAGAGCCCCTCCGCCAGCTGTGGGCACCCCGGGAGGCTGCGACTCCCAGGAGAGGTGCCACCCGACCATGTGGACACCCTGATCTGGCACTTCCAGCCTCCAGAACCGTGAGCAGCGAGTCTCTGCTGCTTCTGAGCCGCCTGGTCTGTGGGCTTTTGGTTGCAGCAGCCCCGACGGGCCAAGACAGCAACCACTGAACACTAGTAATCACATGTCGTACGATGTAGTGTATATCTTCCTTCCATGTTTCTCCTTCGTATGGTAAACGAAAAACCCTTGATAGCAGATTACCAGGTTCCGTGTCTAGTTTCTACTGAATCACTAAAAGAGCTTTCCCTTTCATTCTTATTTGCTGTGCTCAGGAATCTATGTATGATCTCTCGTATGACTATTACTAAGCTTTTCCTACATGTTTACATGAACAAAAAGTGACCGGCACTGAGCTTATCATAAATAACCACAACAAAACGAGGGAGGACGAGAAGCAGGGGCATTTGATTTCCTCTGCACCCAGACTGGAGGGACATGTGGATAATCCTGGACACAGAGGAGTGGGCAAGGCTGTCTCTCAGGCACGTGGCTGAGGTCTTCTCGTCTGTTCTCGGGGGTAAAAAGAAGATTCATGCTCACTGATAAACTATGTGATTTAATGTCTGAATGGTGTGTTCCAGAAAAGTTCTGTGCCAGTTAGTTTCTACGAATAAAATCCTATCTTAGATAGAATTATAAATAATAAAAGTAGAACTTGTCATTGTGGGTTAAAGTCATTGTAACTCAAGTAACTATTATAGGGTGTGTTAGAGGGTGTGTTAGAGGCAGAATAATGCCCCCCCCTCGAAAGATGTTCTCATCCTAATCCCAGGAATTTTTATTAAAAACAAAAACAAAAACTCCTGGCTGGCGTAGCTCAGTGGATTGAGCTTGGGCTGTGAACCAAAGCATCACAGGTTCGATTCCCAGTCAGTGCACATGCCTAGGTTGCAGGTCATGGCCCCCAGCAACCGCACATTGATATTTCTCTCCCTTTCTCCCTCCCTTCCCTCTCTAAAAATAAATAAATAAAATCTTAAAAAAAAAACAACTTGTATGGCAACAGTTATTGTGCAGATGTGCTTAAAAACTCTGAGGTGGGAAGATTCTCCTTCCCACTTGGACGCAATGTAATTCCCAGGTGAGGGAGGCAGTGCAGTGAGGGGGAGGGGGAGGGGGAGGGGAGGGGGAGGGGCAGAGGAGCCGAGAGTCGGGGAGAGCAGAGCGGAGGCTGCGCAGGGAGAAGGGGCGATGCTGCGGGCCTCGGAGACAGACAGTGCGTGGACCGAGGAATGCCGGCGGCCCGTAGGAGCTAGAGGAGGCGAGGGAAGGGGTCCCCCGCAGCACTGCCCGGATGCACGTGGCCTTGCTGATACGCTGCAGGCCCCTGCCCTCCGGAACCGGGAGACAGCAGATTCCTGCCACCTGAGCCATGTGCTTGGTGGACGTTGGTTGCAGCGGCGGTAGGAAACAAGCACAGACCGCCAGCTCAAATTCAGGATGCCAGGTTGCAA